GAGGTTCAATCTCAACGAAGACGTTGACAAATTTGTTGTTCCATCAATAAAGAAGATTGGTAATTTACTTGATCAAGTTGAGATATCTAATGTTATTCATAGTGAGGGGTTATTGTTATGCGTCATAAGGCACAACACTGGGCTCATGGTTTGGAACCCGTATTTGGGTCAAATTAGGAAGATCGAACCCAGTAACACTTACCACCTATTAGACATGTATGCTCTCGGATACGACCACAGCAAGAACCGTAACCACAAAATTCTGAGGATCTTTAATGATTATGACTCTTATGCATGCAAGTTAATATGTAACGGGTACGAAATTTACGATTTTATGTCTAACTCATGGAGGAATATTGATGTCGCTCCCCACGGGCATACATTGTCTTATGCACCCACCGTGTCGTTGAAAGGAAATACTTACTTTGTTGCTATAGGAAGTAAAATAGGGGAAGAGGTAATGGGGATTAAATATTGTTTACTATGTTTTGATTTTACAAGTGAGAAATTTGGACCGCATCTTCCTCTGCCATCTCACGGTGATCGTGTGGCTATATCTTCTGTCAGAGAAGAGCAACTTGCAGTGCTATACGAACCTAGAGATACATCTAAGATGGAGATATGGGTGACAACTAAGATTGAGCCCAATGCAGTGTCTTGGAGCTACTTCTTAAAAGTTGATGTTACTGATTTTAAATTTCATGCTATGGTTAGGAGTTTCTTCATTGACCAAGAGAAGACACTCGCCGTGTTTTTTATGGACGATTATAAAAACATGTTTACCTCCAAATGCATCGCAGCTTTCATTGGAGAACTTAAACCCACTTGGAGTTTCTCCTTCTGGACTTTCTCCATGCAGTTGTGATGTTGAGAATTTCATTATACTTGCCAAGCCATAAAAACAAAAAACAGAACAAATAATACAAGAAAAAAAATATTTGTCTTTCAAAGGAACCTATATAACAAAATCCGAGGGCAAAAAGAAAAAAGACTCACCAGCGGGTTACAGTGTCCCAAATCCAGTATAAAAGTACATACACATAGCATATATGTTCTTTAGTTTAAGGGCAAACATCCTGATTTCGTGTCGTGGATTTAACTTTTAAACATATCAGTTAGTGAAATTGTGGTTGTTTTAGAATCTTGTCTTGTCTGAGAGAGTTTCCGGATATGTTTATGGTTTTGAAATCTGGTCACGATGTTAATGGTGATAGACGTTAATCAATGCAAATTTGGAAATGGTATGTTCAATGGGATAATTGGAAATTTTCTTTATCCTGGTTCGCATAAATTAATGGAAGTTTTTTATTTTACTTTTTTCATTTCCTCTTTAAGTTTAAAAGAGGTTTTGCAGAGAACTTGTTTTTTTTTTTTTTTTAACAACTGTTTAAAACCCTAAATCTCTATTTGAAAACAATGACGATGATGTCCGATCTTCCACATGATTTGTTAGAGGAGATTTTATCCAGGGTTCCATTGACATGCCTTAGGGCAGTGCGATCTACTTGCAAAACATGGAACAATTTATCCAAAGAGCAAATTTTATGTAACGCAAAAGAAAGGCAGCAATTTATGGGGTTCATGAGGAAGGATAACAGGGTTTGTTCATTAAGATTCAATTTCCAGGGAATCCTCAAGGGTGAAGAATTCGTTGACTCATCTATAAAGCCAGTATGTAATTTCATTTACCAAGTTAAGATATCTAAAATTGTTAATTGCGATGGCTTATTGTTATGCATTACAAGTGTAAATACTGAGATCGTGGTTTGGAACCCGTATTTGGGTCAAACGAGGTGGATCAAGCCCATAAAGGCTGACATGACAGGCGTCAAGTATGCTCTCGGATATGACGACAACAAGAATCGTAACCACAAAATCTTGAGGGCTTTGTATGATTATCTCTATAGCGGAAAAAGTAGTATTATTCGATATGAAATTTATGATTTTAAATCTAATTCATGGAGAGTTCTTGATATCCTTCCCGACTGGGATATACAGTTTTACAGACATGGCGTGTCATTAAAGGGAAATACTTACTTCGTTACCACAGGGAGAAAAAAATGGGAATGGTCAAAAGTGAGTGAAGATTTTCTACTCTGTTTTGATTTTACAAGAGAGAGATTTGGACCGCATCTTCCTCTTCCATTTTACTATGATGTTTCACATGATTTTGTGGGTCTATCTTCTGTTAGAGAAGAGCAACTTGCGGTGTTATTTGAATCTTTTAATACATCTGAGATAGAGATATGGATGACAACTAAGATTGAGCCCAATGTGGTTTCGTGGATACCCTTCTTAAAAGTTGATAATACTGATTTGAAGTTGGAGATTGATGTTGGGAGTTTTTTCATTGACCAAGAGAAGAAACTCGCAGTGGTTTTCGAAAGCCGCGGAATTGAATCCAGAAAGAATAAAGCTTACATATTTGGAGAGAATGGATACATGAAAAAAGTGGATCTCGGAGAAGCTGTGACTATTCCGTATTGTGGCCCACGTTGGTGCTCTTATGTTCCAAGTTTAGTGCAAATCAACCAGTCTAGTACTACTATAGTGACAAAGGAAAGAAGGACACTCTTTATGTATATCTTAAGTCATCTTTATTTCATCCTTTTACTCGGTTTTCTTCTTCTCTTTTGTCGTTTCCTTTTGATCTATTCTTACTAGAAAAGCAGAACTAATTTTGCTGTTTCGACCAAAAAAAAACATTTTCAACATTTTCGTTACCCAAATAAAAACACTTCACACTGTGATACATTTGGAGGTCAACATGTTTATATCATTGTGATCACAGCTTATATCATTGGAAAGGATGGATATTTGAGAAAAGTGGGTTTTGGAAGAGCTGTGAATCTCAAAGATCTGCCGTATGGTCGCCCACTCGTGTGCTCTTATGTTCCAATAAGTTTATTGCAAATCAATCAAGGCCAAGTATTATCGCCTATTGGCCAAAAGGAAGAAAGGAGATTATTAATCAACCAGTCATGTTATCAATACTTTATTTGTTTTATACATCATCTTCATTTGCTCTCTTGTCTTTTTTTTTTTTTTTTTGGAAACAGACTAGTCAATTATGAATCTGTTTTCTATACCACTCAAAAGCTTTGTTGTATTGAAGACTTGAACAAAGTATTTATGGACCACTAGAGCTTACTGGGTTTTTTCATTTTCCTTGGGAGCTTGATTATATATACCTGATCTCGTTTATGAACAAGAACTTGGGGTTTCTTCTTGTGTGGGTGTGATGTTGATAATTTCTCATATTCCATGATAATTTTGCCAAGCTAAACAAAAAAACAAAACAAACGGTGAAGAAGTTTTGATTTAGAACATTCTTAAAATGTCTTTCAAAGGAACCTAGAAAATATAGAATCAGTGATCAAAGGTTTTTGATCTGTGCTTGTAAATAACTAGAATTTAACCCGCGGTATACCGCGGGGCTATATTTTTTCAAAAAATGTAATGTTATTTTTTTAAAGATTAACTGAAGATATATCATATTAATTTGTATTTTTAAATGTAGATATCTAGCTATCTATCAATTTTTGAAGTATAGATACGAAAACATACATTTTTTTTAAGTAACGATGTATGGTGGATTTTAAAATTTTGAATATTTTACTCTGCAGTATACCGTAGGTCGGTTTTTTTATAACTAAAAATTTTAAATTTAAGTTAGATTTGTTTTGTTAATATTGTTTCTTTTGTTTTGTGTTTAAGATTGTATAATTGTATTTTGATTGTTAATTTTAGGATTTCATCCGTGATATACCGTTATTTATTAATATCGACCCAAACCCGTCATCCCATATAAACCCGTCTATATTATCTCGTTAGCTACATTATTAATATTATAAAATCCAAGAAAATAAATTATTATTGTTATAAAATCTAATAATTTTAGGATCTCACCCGTAGTATACCGTTCTTTGAACGATTTTAAATTTATATTACTAATATATATTTTAAATTTATCATATAAAGTATATGATTTCAAGTTTTTATGTTTTTTTTTTTAATTTAAATAAAGCAACGGCTTAAATGATGATATATATAGTTTTTTTTCCTGTATGTGTATTTGATTTTTCTATGTGAATATTTTGATTATTATAAATTAGTATTTTTATTGCTATGCAAAATGTTAATATAAATATTTGCTATAAATTTTTTTGAAGATATATGGAAAGATTGTGTAGAGATTTTTAGAAACAAATTAGGCAAGATATTGTTTGGTTAATATCTTTTATTTAAATTTTGTAAAAATAATAATAAATGCCAATGACATTCTTTGTAAATACTGCTCAACCCCAGGATTTATTTGCTAAAAGTGTTCCAAAAATGTATATATAGATAAACAGTAGATTTGAAGAATTTGTAGAATGAGTGAATATTTTAGGGGTCAAATAAAATGTGAGTTTGTATAACTAAAGATATCGTAGTGGTTTACAAAAATACACATCAGTGCGACGTTTTGTTATATGATCGGACCCGACCAAATTTCATCGGAATTTTGTAAAAGATAAACACTAGGGCCTAATCGTTTCGCATTCTACTGCAAATGCGCCTGCATTGTTTGTTGATCAACTAGGTATTTTGCATTTAAATGCTAAAAATCCACATTGTCATATATACTAAAATTTATGGATTTTGTTCACTAAAAGTATACCAGCACAGCGATAAGTTTAGTAGAAATCACCAAATACAAGTACCAGTCTTTCAAAATTCTGATTTTGAAATTCGTAAATTTGTATTTTAATAACGAAAGCTTATAATTTTGTTGTTAAGAGCTTTAGTCACACCACATCATCATTAATGTAGTTATTTTCGGATTTGTTTAAATTGGCTAAAAAGCAAACGAATTAGGTAAATTTAACATTCAGTTTAATTAGCCAATTAAAACAGAATGCAAAAGTTCATCAAACCTCCGAAAAAGCGAAAATCATAACTAAAGTTTCTCAGAAAACCCCAAATCCAGAAACCCCACCTTTCTCCAATTCTCACATCTCTCTTCGCTCTGAAGCAAAGAAAAATATGCAAAATCCTTTGTGAAAACAAAATCACATTTGATTTCTGAGAATTTATTTATTTTCTCTAAGGTAGAGAGTGAGGAGAAGAAACTGACAAATCAAATCTCTGTAATGCACTGTGAAGATCTCGAAGACCAAGGCGAAGAAGAAGAAGACGAAGCACCCAGTGATTTCTCGTAGAGAATGGTGGCTGCGATTCCTCAAGCAGCGGCTATCTCCACCACCGACTCTAAGAATCCACCTCGAGATCGGCAAGACAAACCTCAACTCACAGCTAACAATGGCGGACTACAACGAAGACCTAGAGCTGCTAAAAATGTCCCCTCGCGCTACTTATCTCCTTCTCCTTCACATCCCACGTCCACCACCATTGCTACATCTACTTCCTCTTCTTCTTCGTCTTCGATACTGAGGTCAAGTAAGCGATATCCTTCCCCTTTGCTCTCTCGCACGACGAATTCTGCTTCTAATTTGGTTAAGACGCCTTCCTCGTTGCCCAAACGGTCTCAATCGGTGGACCGTCGTCGTCCGTCGGCAGTTTCTGACACCAGAACGGAAATGTCGGCGGCCACGAAGATGCTTATCACTTCTACTAGGAGTTTATCTGTTTCTTTTCAAGGAGAGGCGTTTTCTCTTCCGATTAGTAAGAAAAAGGAGACTACCACGCCGGTTTCTCACCGGAAATCTACTCCGGAGCGGCGGAGAGCGACACCGGTTCGAGATCATAGGGAGAATTCTAAGCCGGTGGATCAGCAACTGTGGCCAGGTGCTTCTCGGAGGGGAACTTCTGACTCTGTTGTGCCGAATTCGCTTTCTAGAAGCGTGAATTGTGACAGTGATGGTAGTGGGAAGCTTGGATCTGGCTTTGTGGGAAGGTCAATTCTGCAGCATTCTCAGAGTTCTAGGGTTTCTGTTGATGTGAGATTGAATTTAGATTTAGGAGGATGTGATGGAATTTTGGAAATGAGAGATGAGAGCAAGATAAGACCAAGCACGCATCCAAGATTGGCTTCTAGTGTTTCGTGTGACTTTACTGCATCTGATACTGATAGTGTTTCATCTGGTAGCACTAATGGTGCGCAGGAATGTGGTTCTGGTGTCAATGGTGAGGTTTCTAAAACAAGGAGCTTGCCGCGTAATAATGCTATGGCTTCTGCTAAATTCTGGCAAGAGACTAATAGCCGGTTAAGGCGGTTTCAGGATCCTGGCTCACCTCGATGTTCTAGCCCAAGTTCCAGAATCAGTAGTATCTCATCATCAAAGTTCAGTCAATCGAAACAGTTCTCTAGTGATAGTCCGTTGACATCATCTCCTCGCGGTATGACTTCTCCAATAAGGGGTGCTACTCGCCCTGCTTCACCAAGTAAGCTTTGGGCAACAGCTACATCAACTCCAGCTAGGGCACTTTCTAGTCCTTCCCGAATGAGAAATGGAGTTTCTGAACAAATGAATGCTTATAACCGCACCTTGCCTTCAATTCTATGTTTCTCTGCTGATATTAGGAGGGGAAAAATTGGGGAGGATCGCGTTATGGATGCCCACTTGTTGAGGCTTCTGTATAACCGTTATCTGCAATGGCGGTTTGCCAATGCGAGGGCGGACTCTACTTTCATGGTACATAGACTGAGTGCAGAGGTATTCTTTCTTTTAAAATTATTGCTATGTTAATAATTGTGAGTATATGATTGTGCCTGCTTGGATCACATGTGCTTTTAGCCAATGCATAAGACTTAGGGAAGACATGATTTGAAAACTATTTTTAGCTATTGGTGCAGTATATATGTTTAACTGTTTAAGCCTCTAAACTGTGCATTTCTTTTGTGATAATGCCCTGCTAATATACCAACATGGCATACTTATGCTTCTCTGGTAAGAAAAGATCCCTGATAAGTCTCTAGGACGTAGAACAGTGTTTGATTTAACTGTTGTGCCTTTCTACATTTTGGATTGTGCTGCATGCTAATTTTTGCCCAATGTGTGATGACACAGATGGAAATATGATGAGAATAAGCATGAAAAAGGTTATGAACTCTAGCTATCGTTAGGATATGATATTCTTATAGATACTTGAGACTCAACTGTTGAGTCATTGATGTGGTCCAGTAAACTAGACACAATCTGGTGAACGCACTATTTCTTTTTTTGACAGAAAAACCTCTGGAACGCATGGGTATCAATCTCGGAACTACGCCATTCTGTCACTCTTAAACGGATCAAGTTGCTTTTGCTGAGGCAGAAACTGAAACTAGCTTCCATCTTGAAGGAGCAGGTGAGAATATGACTGCACCATTACAGATGTGGAATGTCGATGGTTGTTTCTGTATGGTAATTTTTTTAGTTCTGCATCTGTGGAAGTTACTATCATTAATTGCTCAAAATCGTCTTCTCATGGCATTCTGAATCTTTGACAAGGAAACACGTGAAGAAACATGAAAGCAGTTTACCTCAAAAGTTCAAAACTTTTGACATGTGTAAAGAAAAGAGATTATGACTTGTTTTCTGTAATTGCTCTAACCTTTTCTGACACTGACGAAATTATTGTATTTGGCAATTTTAGATTGGTTATCTAGAAGAATGGTCTCTTATGGACAGAGATCATTCAAATTCTTTGTCAGGAGCGACTGAAGCTTTGAAAGCGAGCACGCTTCGTCTTCCAATTAGTGGAAAAGCCTTGGTGAGTGCCTCTTTGCCTGACCCTGATATGGTTGTTTTGTCTTATATTGTATACTTAGGTAATGAACATTAGATTCCTTTTTCTAAATGGTTTTAATGACTTTTGTGTTGTTAGGTTGATATTCAAGATCTCAAGCATGCTGTTAGTTCAACTGTTGATGTCATGCACGCTATGGTGTCTTCGATTTTCTCGCTGACATCGAAGGTAAATGCCTTGTCTCAGATTATAACGTGAATGTTGACTAAGGAAGCTATCTTCTCATTGCTCTTTACCATGAGAATACAGAGATGCAAGCCAATTTCTTGTGATCCTATCTCCTTGCCCCATTTATCTTAATGGTTATTATAAGATAGAATGTGGAAACTCGCTTTTGTCCATTCTTATGTGCATATGTTCAAAACCAGTTAGGATCACAAAAGTCCTCTAATGTGTTTCTTATTAAAAAAGCTAAATTATTTCGAGTATTCGTTACTGCTACACTCGCTCCGGTCAGAAACTAGAACCTGGTTGTATGAAAAAAGTACTCTTTTTCGTGCTTTGTGGACCATGATTTTAATCCCGCTTTTATTGGTGCATTTTTCTTTCTTTCTTTTGCTGTCATTAATAGGTGGAGGAAATGAATTCAGTAATGGCGGAAATGGTGAATATCACTGCGAAAGAAAATGTTTTGCTTGAACAGTGTCAAGGATTCTTATCAAGAGTAGCAGCAATGCAGGTTTGAATGCTCTCTCTGCTTTCTACTTTTGCATTTTCTTCCTTGCTTAGTTTTTATACTCAAAATCATGCCTCTTGCTAGGTAACGGACTGCAGCATGAAGACGCACATAATACAACTAAGCCGGATATAAACCAACCTGACTTCACAACTGTAGAAACTGATCTCCTCTGAGCTTACACGACTATTCACGCCACTTCACAACATGAATGATTTCTAACAACGTTTTACACTCCCATGGCCTTCCCTCGGATTCCCAAAACCGCCTTTATTGTTTTCAACCGGATCAAGGTGAGATTCTCGGGATATCTGTTTCACTGCACTCTGGGATTCGACGTTTTTTTATTTAAGTTCCTGCATTGGAGATTTACAGAAGAGAGAGGTAAAAGAATAGAATGTGGTGTTTAGTTTTGCCTATGAAGTTAGCTTAATTGTATACAGAAAAAGCTTCTAATAGATCTTTGGCTTTTGTTCTCTAATGAAGAAAAAAAATGTACATAAAGATGAAGATATCAAACTCTCTTATTTAGAGTTGGATTTCTTGCTGTTTTCTTATTTCCCATGTGTCGTTTCTTCTCTTTTGTGTATAGACTTCTTGTCGTTTTTATGTGCCGCATCAATGCGTCTTTAGTACGTGTTTGTGTCATAGTGTGCTAAAAGAATAAGACAAATGACGTCACTTTTTATTTGTTTTCTAAGTACACAACCAACAGGGACACCAAGACTTGGTGACCAAGGATCGGTTATTTTTTTAATAGAAGAAAAAAGAACAAAAAAATGCCTTTTAATGGGGATGTGTTTGGATAAGATTATAATTGGCAACACGTCAAGAACATCACAGTTTATATGCAAAACGACACGAATGGAATGAATTCAATTGATAATATTGTTTAGTTCTTTCAATATTTTGATCTATATCAAGTCTAAAATCACTACCTTGTAGCCTTTTTGTACTTGTCATTCACGTAAATTCTGAACTCTAGCTCTCTTTTATTCCAATTTTGGGTTCACTTTATTTCTATATTAAATATTATTTATGTCGATCAAATAAAAAGAGTATTGTAGTGTTCTTTTGGTATAAGATATCTCGGCACCGCCTAACCAAAATAGCAACCACTTTATACTTAATTAGAATATGCTTTTTTGGTGAAAATTAACTAAGTAATGTTGGAGAACATAGATTTCAACGAAACCCTATGTGGTTCTTTTACATTTGCGACGCGTATTAATAATGACCTATACTTAATAACGTGTTTGGTTCTGATTATTAAGATTAGGTAGAACCGTACACGAGCCAATACAGTTTCTAGTTTAGTCTTCTTTCTTCAGCTTGAATATTTTATCAAAGCAAAACAGAAAAAACGAATATATGTTTGGTACACTATCAAATAATCAAATTAATTAAGAGTGTTAACTTGGGAAAAATCAGTTAACTTCCTAAAATCAAATTAACAACGCTAAGTATATACTATTTAATTCCCACTTTCAGATCTATAATAATTAGATGGTAGAAGTTAGGCTCTAATTAATGTTTTAAGCACAAACCTAAGAACCAATACACAGGTTCGTGGTCACATCTTTATTTATGATTCGATATAATCAATTTCAAAACAAAAATTAAATAATGATGCATGCATTTGCTAACAAGTAACAAGCATGTGCAATTAATTTATGATTTTAATACGAATAAAGAAAACAAGCTAGGCTATACACTATAGTTTTAACGGCCAATAACCATATCGGAAGGTATGACAAAGAATATAAAAAGAGAAAATAGTTTCTTTTTTTAATTATAAATTGTTATTTATGGACCAAACTAATAATACATGTGCTAAATACTAATGAAGGCAACGAATCCCACATGGAAGGATTCTCGTTTCCCCAACTATTTATACTCTGTGTTCACACATAATGCCACGTGTCCAACATTATACAGAGTGGACTGATCAAGAGATTAGTTACCAAAGTAAAAATGAATTTCTGACTTAATCAATCATCAAATCTTTGTATCAATCCCTAACAATATACGAATATTCAATCCAAATCAGAAAAATTAAAAACTGTAACTAAAAAATGAAAAATGAAAAATGAAAAATTACACAAGAATTAATAGTCGAATATTAGATTCTTAAAGAGAAATCTTCTTTCTTGATGACTTGGTTGTGATCGGTCAGCAAAAGCGGTTTTTTACCGGTCAACGGACTCAAGATCTCTTCGTCGACGATTGGGTTGTTATGAAGGCTGAGTTCTGGTAACGCCGGTAGGTTTAGATCAATGAATCCACGGTGGCTCCTTTCTTCCGATACCGTGCTCGACACGCTTCCACTGTGACTGATTGATTTGCTTCCTCCTCCTCCGCCGAGGTTGCCTTCGTAGTGACAGCGTTTGTGACCGCCGAGTGCTTGACCCGTCGGAAACACTTTGTGACAGATTGAACACTCGTGAATCTTGCCGGAGGCGGCAATCGGATGTTTTTCTCCGACGATGGAGATGGTCGGAGCTGTTGAATCATCGGCGGTTGAGATTACGGTTGGTGGTTTGATACGGTGACTTGCTTTGTGACCGCCTAAAGCCTGATACGAAGGAAACGCTTTTCCACAAACGCTACACTTGTATGGAAGGTTCTTTGATTCTGGCGGCGGCGTTAACGATTGCGACTGTTGATGAAATCGCGTTTGAGACGGTTGATCTTTAGCGAGCATGAGAAGACAAAGAGCGAGATACTCTTCTTCTGTAAGATCTTGATTCTGTGATTTGGGTCGAGATCGAGGCGGCGAGGAGGAAGACGAAGAAGGGCTGTGAGAACGCTGACGTTTGGAGCGTTTGCGTTTAAGCCACGGCTCAATGAAAACGGCGTCGTTCATCAAATCTTCTTTCGTTTCGATTTTGGTGAAGGAAGTTGGAGAATTCATCGCTTCGAGGGCCATATTCAGACTAATCTTTTAAACTGTTTGCTTTTGAGGATCAGAAATTGAGAGAAAAGTTCAGAGAGTTTTAATCGCGAATATGGTGAGAGAGAGAAGAAATTAGAGAGTGAAGTGCTTAAGAAATGTTTGGACTTGTTGTTTTTATATGGAAACCACGTGGCAGATGTGTTTTTAAGTCGGTCAAATTTTTATCTTCTTTTTTGTCAATATACTCCTTAATAAACCTAACACTATAGTATTAGTAAACATGGAAGGAAATTTCACAATGTTTTAGTATCAAAAATATGATTTTATTTTTATTCTTATTATATAGCATTTTTTTGATAATATATCATCTTTTGCTTGTTAGCTCTTGATATGTGTCAGATATATCTGATAGAAAATTATATTAGTCTTAACAAATCATATTTTTAACATATTTATTTTGTTAACTAATTTTAAGATTTTCATATTTATGGAAATAATCAGTAAATACCAAACCAGCAAAGTAAACCAAATTTGACCAGAAAAGAATAAAGAGAAATTTACTGTAAAATACCGGGTTGTTTTTGGTCACGGCTGACCTAATAAGTTTTGGTCATCACGAGTGAGAGACCGGTTCAAAGTCAATAACCAGAAAAGTAACAAACTGGTAAACCCACAAATAGATTTTAGCTTATATTAAAAAATTAATTAAATTAAAAAAAAAGAAGCATACCTTTCCCGTGGAGCTGACTTATGTGTTGGCTACGCGCCACGAGTCGTGTGGGTCACGCCTTAAACCAAACGCGTACACGCCTACTTACGTTTTTTTTGGTATTAATCTTCTTGAAGATTTATCGAATTTTCTAGATTTTGTTTTCATTATCTCTTATCATGATCTTAATTATTTATTAATACTATTCCCATGCTAATAGTAAATGATTTTTTTTTCTCAAAATTTTATAGCAAATAACTCGACAAGATTCGTTTAATAAAAACACCTGGATTCTACCCGAAAAATACGTAGGAATACTTTAACAAAAAAAAAAATACGTAGGAATAAATTAAAGGAAAGAAACAAATTGGAATTTTGTTATCAAAAGAAAAAAGGGAAAAAACCCGAAAAAATCGCCATCTATTTTTTTTTTGGCCGTTTAATACCTGTATTTTTAAAATTGGAATAAAAATACCTAGGTTTATTGTTGTTGTCTTTTAAAATCTTCGTTTATTAAATTTTAGTAGATTCATACCTCCGCGTTAACGGCCGTTAACACTGGTAACGGAATCATTAACCAGGGTTAAAAGTTAACCCCATGACATATACGTAATGTATAGAATCGTTTTCCAAAATCTTACGAATATGTTGTCCTGGTCCGATGGTCATACCAAAGGTAATTATACTCTTGAACCAGAGTTCGATCCCACTTCCAGGTTTTTTAGACGATTTTTTTTTCACATTTTTTTTTTCTTCTTAATCTGATTTCGTGATATCCGCCCCGCCTCAGCAAATACAAGACCCACTGTTTTCCTGTGTTTAATCCACTTTTCTCCGACTGTTTGAAGACCTGAGAAGGAGGAGGAGGAGATGGGGGACGTAACCGCCTTGGTGGTTGGTTTCTAGGGGGTTCTCTGCTATTATGCGGAGGAGAAGCTTGCGCACGTGGAGGAGGAGAGGGTTTTGAAATCGGCGGCGGTGGTGGAGAAGGAGTAGGTGGCGGGGGTGATGGTAATGGTGGCGGTGGAGAAGTAGGAGGAGACGGCGGTGGTGGTGGAAAATCCCTAAACAGAGACGGCGGCGGCGGTGGTGATTGTAATTAGGGTTGGGGTTGATTTTGTTGTGATTGGACAACAAGGAAGGAAGCCATGAAAGCTGAGAATCATACCAAGAAATAAAACAAAACCCATTAATCACCAGATTGACGAAGATTCGATCCCTTGACGAAATATATGTTGATACTTTTAAAAAAAAAAAAAAAAACAAAAATGCTTCAGTGGTGAAATTCGAACCCTGGTTATATGGGTATCAAAACTCAACTATCACCACCAGACCACGGCAATAGGTCTGCAAATATAGTCAAACATTTGTAATATATACCTTTATAAATACATGGGGTTAACTTTTAACCTCGGTCAATGATTCCGTTACCCGTGTTAACGGCCGTTAACACGGAGGTACGAATCTACTAAAATTTAATAAACGAAGATTTTAAAAGACAACAACAATAAACCTAGGTATTTTTATTCCAATTTTAAAAACACAGGTATTAAACGGCCAAAAAAAAAATAGATGGCGATTTTTTCGGGTTTTTTCCCAAAGAAAAAAAGAATGTTGAGCTAACTCGAGTGGAGTTGAGTGTAGGTGAGGAAAAGATTAGGTGTGGCGTGGCGTACCGTATTAGTAACTAAAACGGGGCGTGTTTATAGGACACGTGGGAGTTCCGTTACCACTTGTAAGGCCCATGTCACTTTTGTTGTTATACCCAACAAGCAAAAACAGTGGACGTGATTTATCCAAACGCGTTGGCGGAGACGTCACGTGGCATTTAAGACACGTGTCAGTTAGATAATAGCACAGACAACATCTTTGAGGAGGAAATACAGTTTAAGACGCTTTCTCTGATTCAGATTCTATACTCTTCTTCTTCTTCTTACCTTTTTAGGCTTGCTGGCTCTGTAGAATATGGGCTTTGTTTTAGCCCACTAAGCTCGAAATATGTAAGTCCCTTATCAGACATCTAACGGGCCTATATTCGTTGAACTCGTGATTTACATGATTCAGATTTTGAATCATTCGAATTTCGAAGTTCCGACCATTTCGCTAATTCGAATTCAAATAAAATTAATTTTTCTCTTTTGATATGTTGAGTAGATCTAATCGACTCTTGTTCTTTTGGAATTTGAATTCAAAATTAAACTACGCTTCTTTTAAACTCTCTCTCTCTCTCTCGAAAGTAGAAACCCTAGCATTTGTGATCTTCAACGGGAAAAATGACGACGACTCCGTCCGCCGGTCGTGAGCTCTCGAATCCGCCGTCCGACGGCATTTCCAATCTCCGATTTTCCAATAACAGTGATCATCTCCTTGTTTCTTCATGGGATAAGGTTTGAGAAACCCCTTCACTTGACTTTTTTACTGATTTGATTCAAGTCCTCTTTCCTTCATCTGAAGTTTTTTTTTCGTTTGTTCTGTGTTTGTTGAATCTAAGCGTGTGAGATTGTATGATGTGAGCACCAATTCGTTGAAAGGGGAGTTCTTACATGGCGGAGCAGTACTCGATTGCTGTTTTCACGATGATTTCTCCGGCTTCAGTGTTGGCGCCGATTACAAAGTCAGAAGGTATTGTCTTCTCTTCTCTTCTCTCCGCTAAGCTATCATTATTCGTTTGAAATGAGATTTTTGTGGTGATGTAGAACAAAGCACATGATTTTTTTATCCCCTCTTACCCAGTTTGAAGCGAGATTCGTTTGTGAATTTGGAATTCTTAGTCCTTAAATTTTAATTTTACAGTACTGAAATCAAATGTGTATAAAGTTTGCAAGCTAATCTTAGTCCTTTGAAGAGACTCTTGGCATAAGCATGTTTCCCCTCAGAAGTTGTTGATTTTTACAGCGATTTTTCTATTGATAACTATGCAAACTTTCTACATTTAGCAAATGCCTTAAATCCGTTGTAGAGTTTCATTAATTTAAAGGGTTTTCTCTGGTTATACTGCAGGATTGTATTCAATGTCGGCAAAGAGGACATTTTGGGGACACATGACAAACCAGTGCGATGTGTTGAGTATTCTTATGCTGCAGGTAGGTAGAGTGGTAATCATGCTCTTTAAGCTAGTTTAACACTGACGATTTCTGGTGCTTTTAAGTTCTAGAAAACTCATAGCTAAGCAATTTTTGTTATATGACTCTGATGATACATACTTTAAAATGGATGATTTAGTACCTTATTTGTCATGGACAGTGAACTTTGTTTCTGATTTCTTCTAATGTAACTATATCCGGAACTCATATATTTTGCTTTCAGCATTTTGGTTCTTTTTTACTTCCCCCAAAGTAATGCTGACATATTATGTTTTTTGTGATATTACAGGACAAGTGATCACTGGATCTTGGGATAAAACAGTTAAATGTTGGGATCCAAGAGGCGCAAGTGGGCCTGAACGCACCCAGGTGGGAACATATTTGCAGCCAGAGCGCGTTTACTCTATGTCTCTTGTTGGACATCGTTTGGTAGTGGCAACTGCAGGAAGGCATGTAAACATCTATGATCTCAGAAATATGTCTCAGCCTGAGCAAAGAAGGGAGTCTTCACTGAAATACCAGACGAGATGTGTGCGTTGTTATCCTAATGGAACAGGTTAGATGGCTGACCATATCCAGAGTTGCTAAATTTTCTCTTCCAATTCCAAAGTATACCTCTACTCTCAGTTCCTCTTCTTCCACACTAATGAGTTTCTGAAATTGAAAAATTTACAGGATATGCTCTTAGCTCTGTTGAAGGAAGGGTTGCAATGGAGTTTTTTGATCTATCAGAGGCTGCTCAAGCTAAAAAGTATTTTCCTTTTGTTTTTTTTTTCTTTTCTCTTTTCCACAACTTTGACTTACAGATGTATTTGAATTTGTTCTCAGATATGCTTTCAAATGTCATCGGAAATCAGAGGCCGGAAGGGACATTGTTTACCCTGTAAATTCCATCGCCTTCCATCCAATGTAAGTTCTTATCTTAGAAGAAGTCCAACTGTTTCGTAAATTTCTAGATGTACTACTTCTTACAAAAACAAGAAGGTTCAAATAATAATCCAACTAAATAAGGGAGTAAGCAAAAGATTATAGTTGATGTGTTCAATCCTTGTCCGCTGATTGAAATGGTTAAGATGAAATTCTAATGCTGAAGAGAACAAATGGACTTTGAAAGCTAGTTCAAAGCTGCTTGGATGCTAATATAATGTGTGTGTAAAACAGTTTCTGTTACTAATTTGTTTTTGAGTCTAATATAAATTAGACAATATGTTAACTTATGCTTGCTCTGAGAACTAACGGGAAAAATTATAATGCTGAGAAATTTCTCCTGTATAGCTACTTTCCCATGTAATTATCTGAGATTATTGATTGCAGTTATGGCACCTTTGCAACTGGAGGTTGTGATGGTTTCGTTAACATTTGGGATGGTAACAACAAGAAGAGGCTATATCAGGTTAGTAACGGGCAAGATCTTTTGGTTATTATTCTCTCAGTGTTAGTGCGACACAAAATTTATCTGCTCCTTGTTCCTTTTGTAGTACTCAAAGTATCCAACAAGTATCTCGGCACTGTCATTCAGTCGAGATGGTCAGCTACTGGCTGTTGCTTCAAGTTACACATTTGAAGAGGGGGAGAAATCGTAAGTAACTTGTTCCCTTTCTAGTCCTTTGAAGTTTTAGAATAGTATGTCTTTGAAATCTCTGATGATTTCGACACTGGTTTGATTGGTTGCTTGTAGAGATAACATAGCAGAGAATAACCCTGTGCCTTAATCTTACAGATTATCACAAACAATTTAATGCTAGGATTGTAATTTCTTTGTATTCAGTTTCGAGTTAGAATTTTCTTTGATTGGGTCTCTGTTTGTGAGGTTTTGCAGGCAAGAACCGGAGGCCATCTTTGTAAGAAGCGTGAACGAAATCGAAGTGAAACCAAAACCCAAAGTATACCCGAATCCTGCGGCGTAGAAAGGAAGAAACACAAGTGATTTCCTATGTTGGTTGTTTTTGTATTTGCTAGGAGTTTCCTAAAGATTGAATCAATTGATCAACGTATGTTTGAGCTTTTAATTAACTAGTGAAATACCCACATTTGCAGTATATGTTTAAAAGTCTTTGTAGTCAAAATCTCTTTGCAAACATATTTTATGAGATGACAAATTTCCAATGCTTACATGAAGTTTCTACAGAGTTTAGAAGACAGAAAGAGATCATTCTACAGATTCTTCGGTGAGTTCAAATTCTATTTCTTGTAGCAGCGACCTAATGTCCTTCGACTCCAACTCTTCTTCGACTCTGAAGAATCTACTGTGAACTTCCTTGAGTAATTTCAAAACATTGGCCAATCCACCGTCGCTTTCACTCTCGTCTGTCTTCTCCTCAGAGTAAGGTATTGACTCTTGGCCTTTGAGTCTGAAATAGCTGTACTTGCTAATATCGACTAGGTTACTCTTGTGATCGGGCCAAACGGTACGCGTATCATCCACAATCACCACCCCACGCTCCTCAGCCAAAACCAAATCAAGTGTCTTCATATGAGGGGACTCGTTTTTTGTTATCACTCTATCCTCAAAATAAAGTTTATTTGGATCAATCAACTCCAAGACTTGTTTAGCGTATTCGCGACTACCCTTAGTGTAAACATACATGGTGAACATCTGGTTGGCTTCTTTCAAGAATTCACGAACAAAAGGTCTTAGCTTTGTCAAGAATTCCATTGGATCTCCTATGGCTTTGATCTTCCATAAATCTTCCCTTGTTGCTGAACCAGCTTCTTCGAGGAGATACTTCTCTGCTTGGAAAAGACTTGGAACCATAACAGTATGGAGAAGCGTGTGGTCCAAGTCAAGTACAAGGTGAAGCTTCTTCTCGTTGAGACAAGAGAATTTCGTTGTAAAGCACTTGTTTAACGATACAGCTTCGTGGCTTAGCTGCAAACCGTTGAAAATATAATCGAATGCTCGGCCTTGGCTTTTATTCACTGTTGATTTGCAGGCGATGCAGATTCCGTGAAAAACGTACCAGTGACCACAACTACTAGAAGAGGATAACGATGGAGAGGACTCGTTGATCTTTGGTTCGATCTTTTGTCTTTTGGCCTGCGGTTCCGAAGAAAAATTCTCAACTACAGACATGGTTTCTTTATTGATAAACAAAACCTAGTATGATCAGAAAGCTAGACAGAAGAGAAGAGAGAGATTAGTGTTTGTCTGTTTGACGTTTAATATGAGGAACTCGTGATCTCTTATAGAGAGAGACCGTCACTAGATTATGGAAAAATGGAAATCCTAAACCTGCCTGAATTTGTTCTAGTAAGTGACCATTATGCCCTCTTACTTGATATGTTTCCATTTTTGAGAGCTCTTTGAACCTTAATATTTTCTGATAATTGACGATTATACCTTTATTTTATGCACTTTCTACTGATTAGGGAGGGTCTTCACTTTAAAAACAAATTGTGATTTTTGTTTGTAGTGTCTTTATTGAAAATAAATGGTTCTTTATGAAAAGTAAATTTATGTATTATGATTCATTAAATTAAAAAAATAAGATAAATTAGATGAGTCAAATATGAGTTGTCAAAAAATAAAATAAAGAAGAGTTAAATATGAATAGACTATTTTAGCTAAATTGTTGAATGAATATTGTTTACTTTTCCCCCACAAAAGTTGAGTTCAACTTCCACATGTCCATGTCTATGCTTTTCCTATGCCAAAGAATGATAAATGTTAGCTTTACACAAATCGGTGGATAAATTAGATATCCACGAAAACAAAGCCCAAAAAAGAGAAGCAAATCTCCGATAAATGGAGAAACTAATCGAAGACCAAGAGAGATACAATCCACAAAAACGAAACAAAAAGCAACAACAAAATTGAGATCTATACTGAACGCCACTTGGACAAATCAATCTAAAACTCCAAGATGAACAAAACCCAACCACAAAAAAAAACAATACGAGCCCGCAATGCAGCTAACGAAACTTGCTATTTGGTTTGTGGTTAAGAATTCTTTTTGAGTCTCTGTGTGTGAGGTGTTACAGGCATGAACTAGAGGCCATCTTTGTAAGGAACGTTAACAAAATAGAAGTGAAGCCCAAAGCATATCCAAATCTTGAGGTCCTAGAAAGGAAGATTCACAACTGATTTCCTATGTTGTATTTTGTATTTGCTAAGAAGAACCAAAGAGTGAATCAATACAACGTATCTCTGAGCCTTAAATCAACTAGTGAAATACCCACATCCACCATATATGGAATATGTTTTACAGTATTTGTAGTCAAAAAATTTTGCAAACAACTTTCTAATGAACGAATAGACAAACTTCCAATGGGAACAAATTTCTACATACTTAAAGAGATCATTTTACACAGAAAGCTTCGGCGAGCAAATTCTATATCTTTTAGCAGCAACCTAACGTCCTGTGACTCAACCTCTTCCTCGACCTTGAAGAATTTACGGTGAACTTCCTTGAGTAATTTCAAAACATCGGCCAATCCACCGTTGTTTTCACTCTCGTCTGTCTTTTCCTCAGAGTGAGGATTTAACACTCGGCCTTCGAATCTAAAATACTTGTACTTGCCAATCACCACTAGGTTACTCTTGTGATTGGGCCAAATATTACGCGTATCATCCACAATCACCACTCCACGTTCATCAGCCAAAACCAAATCAAGTGTCTTCGTATGAGGACTCTCATTTCTTGTTATCACTCTATGCCCAAAATAGAGTTTCTTTGGATCAATCAGCTTCAAAATGGCTTTAGCATAACGGCGAGTACCCTTTGTGTAAACATACATTGTGAACAGCTTGTTGGCTTCTTCCAAGAACTCGCGAAGAAAAGGTCGTAGCTTTGTCAAGTATTCAATGGTTATGGTTATGGGATCTCCTCTGACTTTCATCTTCCATAGATCTTCCCTTGTTGTTGAACCCGCTTCTTCGATTAGATACTTTTCTGCTTCGGAGAGATATTGAACCCTAACGGAGTGGAGAAGCGTGTGGTCCAAGTCAAGGACAAGGTGAAGCTTCTTCATGTTGAGACAAGAGAATTTCGTTGTAAGACGCTTCGTTAACGCTAAAGCCTCATGGCTTAGCTGTAAACCGTCGAAAACTCGGCCTTGGATATTTTTTTCCACCGTTGATTTGCATACGATGCAGACTCCATGACGAATGTACCAGTGACCACAGTTATCAGGAGACAACAATGGAAACGAGGGTTCCATGATCTCTGGTACGTTCTTCTGCCTTTTGGATTCTCGTTCCGGAGAAAGATATTTAGCTACAGACATGATTTCTATGATCTATGAAATGAACCCTTTAGGGTGAGAATCTTAGAGAACTGATCACAGATTTGGAAGCTAATTCACAGAAGAAGAAAAAAACCCTAATTTGATCAGAAACCGGGTCAGAGGAGAGAGTGAATAGGAACTCAAGATCTCACCTTCTCGATATCATTCGAGATCTCACTTTTCACGTATTTGACTAGGTTATTGAAAAAAAGAAAATCCAAAATCTGTACTCTGTGCTAAATCTTCGCTTATCAAGTTCAAGTAGATAAGCCCATTTGTAAAATCGCATATCTTATAAATATATGATGTTATGTATATTGACTTGTTATCGGATAAAATAACATAAAATTTGTTATAACCAAAAATGTGATATTATATCTACAAATTAAATGTGATATTATGTAAATTGTATAAATTAACTAAAAAAAAATTAAATTAAAAACCAAAATCCCACTCTCCGTGAAGTTTTTTTTTTTTTTTTTTTTTTCCGTGAAGTTATTTTGTGGATATAAATATGTATAATTATTTTGCAAATAAACCTCGTTTGAATACAAATGTACTTTGATATGATTTATAATTAATTACTAAAAAATTACGTTAAACCAACAAATTAAAAAAAAACAAAATTACTACAAAATCGTGACGTAATTTCCGTATGAAAAATATTTCTTCTACTTCCCCATTTCCGTTTGGTTCGATACAGTTAAACTGATCATCCACTAAACCGAACCCATATAAATGTCACTGAAAATTTCCAGTTCCTTCTCTCCTTAACCGGAACAACCAATAGAGATACAAAACAAGAAATTGTACCTTAAATCCTAATCTCACGACCAAAACGAATTTTGTCTTTCAGAACAAAAAGATCAGAAACCCTAAAGGGACATTGTCTTTTGGAAAAAGTTTTGTTGTTGTTGTTGTTGTTGTTGTTGTTGTTGTTGATTAGACATGAGATTGGTACTACGTTGATGACTTAACAAAGAAGTTGTCTCAACATGTTTCAAAAGAATCCTATAAATCTTGTTCCTCACTCTACCACAAGCCTCTGTTTCAGACTCTGACATCATCATCATCACCATTTCCTCTTCTTCCTCATCTTCTTCTCCTTTAACAATGGCGTCTAACCAATCACTCACTCTTTTAATCTGATACATTGTTTCCCCTACTTGTTGACTGCTCATTTCTCTCCACTTTGTTTCATTGCTGATCTCATCTAAATACTTCTCAACACGGCTTAGATACCAACTTCTTCCTTCTTCCTTAAGCCAGCTTCTGAGTTCGCTCGATGCTCTGCTTAACCTCTCCTTTCTCTCTCCCAATCCCGAGTCACTTTCGGTTGTGTTATCTTCACGTTTATCAATTTCTTGAGCAATTAGGGTAAGACCCTTTCTCCCGGGGCTCTGTGTAGGCTTACTTGCGGTAGAAGAAACCAGTTTGAGATCGGTAGCTAATGCTGATTTGATCCACTGAGTCGCCTTTTCGCGTCTCTCATCTCTTGTTTTGACTATGTTTGAGTTGCAATGCTCTGTTTTCTCAGTTGATAGTGATTGAATGATGAGCCTGCTCTTGCTTAACTCATCTTGGAAACTCAAGAAATCTTGAATTGGTGGCTGTTGATTTTCTTGATGTTGGTTTCTCCTGTCCGAAAGCTCCGAGTATGACCTTTATATATAACATTTCAGTTAGAAAATTGCTTGAGCAAGAAGGCACAACTAATTGTGTCTCAGTCAAAGTTTTATACCTTAGACATTTGAGCAATCTTTCAGCAGCTGAAGCCTCTAACAAAGCTTGGGATGCAGCTCGAATAGCCGTATCTCTCTGTCTCAAAATTTCCTGCCAAATTCGTGAGTTAGCTCTCTTTCAAACCAATAAAAACCCTTTTCTCTGATTGATCAAAAGCTATCAGTATTACCTTTCCGAGATTTACAACTTTTGGAGGAAGTGAATCCCAGAGAATCTCTGTCTCTGTCCAGCTTCTTTTCCTCGATATCGAATCTGAGGATTCAAGGGTATTGCTTTTAGGTGGAAGAAGGTTCTTACTCTTATTACTTCCATTTCCATAGCTTAAGCTTTTAGACCATCTTGGAGAAGGTGAAACCACACCATCTCTTCTTCTTGTTCTACTACTTGATTTCTCCTCTATCCCTCCATAGCTTCGGATAGACAGCGAAGGTGAAGTCTGAAAAGATATATAAAAAAAAAAAGATATCAGATAATCGCGCAGGAGATGTTCTTGCGAAAAGTCATTTCTTTAAAACTTACAGCAGAAGAACTTCGAGCTCTTGAAACATGTTTAGTCTCATGATCATGATTCTTAATCATGGATGGATCTAATGACTCTCTTCTCTTCCTATTATCACCTGAGCCTATCCAACTTCTCCTCCTAGCTACTGAAGAAAAAGACGAAGAGCAACTCGAAATCATTGATTCTGTATCATCCTTTTCTTCCATAACACTCGAAAGGTTTTTCGATAACCCCAAATCTGTAAAATTTAACTCAGACACGCTTGAGTTATTCCATCTCGTTCTTCTTGGCTTCTTCACTTGGTGATCGTAGTTTTCTTCCATATCCGATAGACCGACACAGAACTTTTCGATCCGTTCTTTAGGGATTAGATCGATTGGATCACCGCTGCAAGCCCTTCGACCTGGAGTTGGTCTAATGCCTTTGATCATAGGAACTGGATAAGCGAATTCAAGCTTCTCTACGAATATCAATTGCCCGATTTGTAACTTGTCGTAGAGGACAAGATCGTTCTCTTCCCGTGGCAATGAGACATACATTGAATGTGTTGAATCTGTTATCCTCAAGAAGAAACCTTTGTTTGGCCATAATCCTCCAGCTGCTAACACAGGGATTATGCATCTTATCTGCAGCAAAACCGGTCTGTGATCAACGTCTCTTCGCACTTTCCCGACTCCCATTTCTTCTAGAAGCTTGAAAAGAACACCTGATCTTAGTTCTGCCATTGCCAGAAGCAATGCTTGTAAATGTATCAGATGAAACACAAAGAGAAACGAATAGAGAAGGATACGTTTCTCAATCTGTTGCATGCAGACAAGACCAAGCTAATGTGTTTATGTTTTGATTCTTTTTAGAATGAAGTAAGGGGTTTTTGGGAAATCCTTCATTCTTTTTCTATGATCAAAAAGCCATAACGTGGATCTTTCTTCCTTGACCGCCAAGCAATCAACAGATCATTATTCTGTGTCCTCTGTTTATTAGTCATTTCGTTATTTTGACAGTTCTCTTTTACTATTCTTGGTCATTCTTGTTAATAAGTTAGTTTGACCAAATTATTATATTTGATCAATATAGTAAATTAACGATAAACAAATTAATTTCAAATTTATTACAAATTGAATGATATCAAATTTATTACAAATTGAATAAGATAAACAGAAAATCAGACATAATTTTTTCTTTGTTACATAAAATTAACGACTATATGCACAAGCTAAGTCTTTGTTGCTATATCCAGTGGCGGAGGCAGGGGTTTGATAGGGGGGTCAGTTGACCCCCATGAATTTTCAAAAATCCATTAAGTGTCCTTAGCAATAATTCTAATGACCCCAACTTATAATAAATTTTGACCCCAATATAAAATTAATGTTGCAACTTGAAAGAAAAAATAGTCCAAATATTTGAAAGTTGGATTCTCACTAAAATTTTAGACCCATAATTTACCTTAAATAAAAGAAATATTCACCTAATATTATTTTAGTTTTTACAAAACACAAAATAAAAAATATCATGTGTACTATCTTATATTAAAAAAAATTTTGACCCCCATAACATAAATTTCTAGCTCCGCCACTGGCTATATCTTGAGAAGAAGAATCTTTATTCATAAATTCTTGACCAAAACCTGATGATCTCTGATCAGACTTATCCATTATAGCAGGTGGATTGTAGTCTGATCTAGTTCGACGGTGAGAAGATCCCTGCATCGAAGAAGAACCTTCTTGTCCCATCATTAATGGTCGATAGCTTCGGCTCGATCCTACAGACATCGATCGATACCTCTGATGATCAGGCTTATGGTCTTTCTTGATAGCATGAATCAGATATGGAATTAACCCCTCCATTAAAGTTCTCTGTTTCTGTAATACAATTTTTTTTATAGAAACCCAATATTTATACTATGTGGGATAAGAAGAGAAATCAAATTTGTATTGTATTAAGTTGACTACTATAGGTTCAAATATTTGGATAACTATTGACCCTGTTTGTGGTATTATACCAAATTTTTATTTAGGTTTTGGTCATAATTGATGATAGCGTTACAGTATTGACTTTTGAAAATAAGAACTTTAGTAGAATCTGTGGGCTTTGTTTTTTCAGATAGAAACCGTTGAATCTCCGGCCAATCTAACGTTGAGATGATGATAGATTTGTTGATCACTGTTAGAACCAATCACAAGCGTGTGGTGTCCGGTGACTAGTTTCCTTTTACCGTGAGTATCCACAAGGCTAAGTGCTTTGCAGACATCAAACTCAACGGTAACTTTCTCTGTCATGCTTCTTCCAACTTCTACTCTCTCAAACCCTACCAGTTGCGTCTGTGGCACGCCACCACCTACCAGAGTTCTTGAACACTTTGGCGGTTTCCAGAACACGAGCACCACGTGGCTTCCAGACCGTTGCCCGTGGTTCTTGACCCCGATAACGATCCGGATCTTGAGATTGTGGCAATTTACGGTGGAGATATCGACTGAGGTTGTCTTGTTTAGGTTCAAGATTGGATTGGTTTTGATGTGTATGATCGATGGAGCTGAGAGAACGAAAGTCGAGAAAGAAGAGTAGCTAAGCCCGTATCCGAATTTGTAAATCGGCTTTCCTGTGTAGAATCTGTAAGATCTTCCAGGAAAACCAGAGGTTGAGTTAGGTCTCATGTTCATGTCTGTCATTGCAACCTTATCTGCAAACTCTTGTGAGTACCATGTCTCTGGTAGTCTCCCAGCTGATGCAACAACAAACACAAATAAGTAAGTAATTGTGTCTAGCCTCTAGGGTTTAATTAGGTTTTAGGGTTAAATTAAGAGGCTTACAAGGATTGTAGTCACCAAAGATGACTTGAGCTATAGCGTCTCCTCCAGCTTCACCAGGATATCCGACCCATAAAACCGCGCTAATCGTGCTCAGATTCTTGGCGAATGAGATATCTATAGGTCCGGCTGACATTATGACCAACACAACAGTTTTCTTTGCAGCGTTAGCCACATCTCTCACCAGCTTTTCTTGGTAACCCGGAAGGGTTAGGTTAACCCGGTCAAGACCCTCTGCCTCTACCGTCTGATCCAATCCAACCACCAAAACTGTCACATCAGCCTCTGAAACCGCCTTGACCGCTGCTGAAATTAGTGTTTGCTCACCACATTTGACATCTTTGCACCCCGGTTCGTAAACAACCTTTTCCGGTACATACTTTTGCAACCCTTGTAAAGGGCTTGTGTACTTACAAGGAACACCAGCATAGTTACTAATCATTACCTTTGTAGCGTTTGCATTTGGCCCTATAACTGCTATTTTCTTAACCGCGGTCTTCGATAACGGAAGATCTCCTCTGTTCTCAAGCAGCACAATCCCCTGTTTTGCGGCTTCTAGCGCAAGCATTTGATGGTCCTTGCTGCAGACATCAGACGGTCCAAGTTGACCAAAGGGAAGTGATTTTGGATCTCCGTCAAAGAATCCGAGCCTCATGAGAACAACGTAGTTGTAAATCAGCGCTTCATCAACCTCTGATCCGTTCAGTTTCTTAAGCTTCACTGCATTCTCTGTGTACTTACCTAGAAAATCTCCACAGTTCATGTTCAAACCTGTTTCAGACAAAACAACATATTTACTTCTCAAAGATCAAAATGGCATATCTAATGTAATGATTATTTTGAGATGATCATCTAAAGATTTTTGCCTGCTTTGAGGGCGAGAGCAACTGCGTCTTCACGTGTCTTGGTGTAATGAATGTCATCGAAATAGACCTGGATGGAATCACAATCCGAAACGATGTACCCGTCAAGACGCCATTGGCCACGGATAACTCCACGAAGAAGATTAGGGTCTGCACAAGTTGGGATGCCATTAACTCTGTTGTAAGAACACATTACACTGCTCACATCTCCTTCCTCTACGCAGCTCTTGAATGGCGGCTGATACGTGTCTTCCAAGTCTTGCTTCGTTACCTTCCCACCAAAACAATAACAAATCCATCAACATTAAGGTCAATTATAAGCTCTTGAAATTTATGTATATATATATATATATATATATATATATTACCTTGGCGTCGAAATGGAATCTATCGACGCCTTTCCAGTTATCAAGATCGTAAGCAGTGTAATGCTTGCAACAACTCGACACCTTAAGCCGCCGTGACTTTCCGGCGTCGTGAACATCTTGTAAGCCCTTAACGTAGTTCACGGCGTATTTCGAAACAACCAGAGGATCCTCCCCTGGCGTCTCTTGGCCACGACCCCACCTTGGATCTCTAAAAATGTTAACGTTGGGACTCCAATAGGTGAGTCCAGCTAGTCCTACGTTGTGCATCGCTCGAGCCTCCGTCGAAACCACTTCTCCCATTTTTAGCCACAACGATGTGTTAAAGCTGGCCGCCGTTAATATCGTCGCCGGGAAACTCGTCGCCCCAGGCACCGTCCCGTTGAAACGCACCTTAAGAAAGAACTCAAACGTTAGCGTTCTCATTACATAACAACTCATGTATGTTCGTTCATATCAACATATGTATAGTTATGATGTTTTTACCCCTGGTCCAACGTCGGAGACGCCGTGGAGAGCTTCCGACCACCACTCGTACGGAGGAACACCGAGCCTTGAAACTCCTGTGGCTTTGTTTACGAGTTGCTGGACCTTTTCCTTAAGGGAGAGACGTGAGACCAAATCTTTGGCACGTGCTTCATACGACAACGAGACGTTGCAGAAACCATACTTAGCCGTCGCAGGGTCATTCCTGTCACACGCAAAGTTCTTTTGAGACTCGCACAGTGATGAAACTAGAGCTGCTATTAGCAGAGAGACACTCACAAATCTTCCTACACTCATCGTTCTCTGTTTTTTTTTCTCTCTTATGGAATAGAAGACAGAGTATGGAGTTAGTTTTATAGGCGGGAAGAGAAGATAATTAGTTTTACTATTATGATTTTTACTTCATTAAAGTTAAATCAGTTTTCCCTTTAAACAATTTACCACAACTTTAATGATGACATAACATCACTTGTTGGTGAATATTTTAAAAGAGAAGTTAAATCTCCATGTGTGAAGTGTAGAAGGACCAAGGACCATCTCTGTTTGTCTTACTTGCATATAAGAGTGAGCCAAGTGTTTTCCACAAAGTGATGAGGACAAAATGTGAAGTTTAAGAAAAGGGTTTTGAAGAGTGGCTTCAAAGATACTACAAAACCATTCCAAATGTCTGTTTCTTGTCTCTGGTCCTAAAGTTAGAGATGCAGATCTTCAATGTCTCTAAGTTCCACAGTTCCAGGAGTCTTTTTGATGTCTGGTTGGTTCACGACTAGCTGACCGCAAGCGCCGCTAATATCCTGACCCATTTCTTTGCGAATTGTGGTTCGGATCTTGTATGTTTCCCTCAGGATTTTCTGGAAACTTGATACGCTTTGTATGCTGCTTGTTTCAAATTGGCTTGTGGATCCAATTGGATTAAATGGTATCAAATTTATGACCTGTTCAAGAAAAGAGCACAGACTTTCCATAAAAAAATGTCATCAGATAACTGCAGAAACTTTAAGAGTATTTAGACATCTAAGACTTACCACTTGAAATGTCTTTAGCAATTCGCCGAGTAGATGAGCGTGTTCCTCTTGATCATTTACTCCATCAAGCATTATGTACTCAATGAAGATCTTTTGTTGACTGTTAAATCCAAGGAAAATGTAGGACTATGTTATAAATCTTTAATTTACCTGTGGGGATTGTGGTTTTAACATATAATAGCAAAAAAACAGTTAAGAATTACATGAACTACCTGTTCTTTTGGAAAGTTTGAAGTGCATCCATAAGCTTTTGTAGAGGAAAGGCTCTAGCTGCTGGCATGATCTGGCAGCGGATTTCTTGAACTGGTGCATGAAGAGATACAGCTAAACTTACACCGGGTAGATCATTGTGTAGCTTATTAATTGCGTGAACAATTCCGACCTATGAAAATGAGATTAGGATCTAGGGAAATTTGTTTACCACTAATAAAAAATGTATCAACACAGGCCTTAGGGGGAGAAAAAGAAAATCAGAAAGAAAATCCTATTAATCCCCAAAACATCAAAATTAAAAAGTAACCAACTATACCAAAAAGCTGACAGCTGTCTAGGAAGCTGTAAACTGCATGGTTTAATGGATTGAAGTTTATTGATCACTTCCCGTTTTCAAATTGACAAATTCCACAATCTGAAGTATTCCTACCAAATTCAATGAATAAGTTTCTCTGTTTTAAGAATGTTTCAAGGTAGCTTTCTCAGTACTTACAGTTGATATGGTAATTCTTTTGGGTGACAGCTGAAATGGCTGTTTTAACATGACGCGTACAGCTTCAACAACAGCATTGTAGTTATTTAAAGGTTCTCCCATTCCCTGATCACAATCATCAAACCAAGGCAACAACTGGTGAATAAACTTCCATCAATAAAAATGAACATTAACAAATAACCAAGAAGGCAAGGTGCACATTGTGTAATATAAAATGCAATGACAGAAGCAATATACCATGAAAACGATGTTGCGTATATCAGCTATGCGAGAGGCGTGAACAAGCTGCTCCACAATTTCTCCAGATGTTAAATTGCTTTTAAATCCCATGGTACCAGTAGCACAGAATGTACAACCCATCTTACAACCAACCTATTGATAAATACTTCACATCAGATGTCTTTATCACTGCAAAGTGATTCGATAAACCAAGATGATACTACTTGATAAAAATCAATACCTGAGATGAAATACATAACGTAGATCTTATACCTCCAGGACGTGGTTTCCCTCCTAACATCCCCAACCGAGTATCGTATCTCATTACCACAGCTTCCACCAAAGCTCCATTCTTGAAGTTCAAAACCAAAAGCAAGAATCCAATATGAGTTCATCAGATAACAGAGACATTTCAAACTCTCAGAATCCATTAAAGCAATGTGTTGTAATCACAAAGTAAAAACCTTTCAGCTGCCAAATCTTCGACACTTTTTTTTAAATCATAATTGTATACAGAATCAGATCATGTCCAAGTTACTTACAAGAAAAAACGAAGAAACAGAGAGAGTATAGAGTACCTGGAGCTTGATGAGGAGTTTTGAGGTTGTGCCATCTGAGGAATGGAATAGGGAGTGAAGAGACGAAGTAAGAGTCTTGAACTTGGAATGGAGGAGAGAGTATGCAGCAGAAGGCAATGAAGGAATCTCGTCCCAAACACAATCAGGATTCTGAATTACATACTTCCAGATTGGAATCGCGAAATTAGGGTTTATTCCCGCTGATTCAAATTCCGATTTGATTTCCGAGGCGTCGAACACCGATTTCAACTTCATCGTCGTCGCCGATTTTAAAAGCCCTAAATTTGAAAAGCAAAACTCTCAGCCTCCGTCACTGCGGAAATTCAAAGAAGAAGCTAAAACCGGTTTGGTTTTTGGTGGAAAATCTAAACCCGGTTTGATTTTTTGGGGAAAAAGTTAAAACCGGTTTGGCTTAACCTTTTTTGTCCTTTGTTGTTGACGAGCCGGAATATAAATACCCAATTTTCACTTCAACATTCCTCAGCTGCTCGATCTCTCTGATCACAACAATCGTAAGCGATGAGAGGCGGAGCTAGAGCCGATGAATTCAATTTCAATACGAATCCATCAACGCCAAACGCTGGTCAGCCGACACCGATGTACCCCGCCGGTGTTGTGGGTGGCGGCGGACGGAAGAAAGGCGTTGGTGTGAGGTCGTGGTTGGTACTTGACTCGTCGGGGAAGTCGGATCTAAAGGAAGAAGGGAAACACTCCATCATGCGGCGAACGGGATTGCCGGCGAGAGATCTTCGGATTCTCGATCCACTGTTGTCGTATCCATCTACTGTTTTAGGTAGAGAGAGAGCGATTGTCATCAATCTGGAGCATATCAAGGCAATCATCACCGGTCAAGAAGTTTTGTTGCTTAATTCCAAGGATCCTTCCGTGTCACCCTTTATCGATGAGTTGCAGAGGCGGATTCTCTGTCACCATCACGCCACTAAACCTCAGGTAATTGGAGAAATTAGGGTTTTTTCCACTGTTCATTTGGAGGAATTTTTTTGGAGCTCTTTTTGTTTATGGTTAATTGCATTGTTTGGGAATTGGGAAGTAAAAATATATGGGCTTGACAATGGAATATGTATATAATAGCTAATGTCGTGTTGGGACGTGGTTGACTCTTTGATTTGTGCAATGGTGATGCTATGTGAAGAGTATGATTATCAAGTTTAGCTACTAAACACTCTATACTCTCTTTCTATGTGTCGTGTGAAGGAGGAACAGAAATCTGAGGGAGAGTCTCATACGAGGACAGACCCTGCTCAAGGAGAAGCTGGAACGCCACAATCATCTGGGGATCAAGGGAGTGAAGCCAAGAAGGATGCGAAGCAAAGTCTTGAGAATCAAGATGGATCTAAGGTTCTTCCATTTGAGTTTGTTGCTCTGGAAGCCTGTCTTGAAGCTGCATCAAGCAGTTTGGAACATGAGGTAAATACTTATGTTAAGGCTCCATGACAAAGCATTTTTCTTCTCTTGTTTGGTATTTGATTCATTCTTTTAATGTAGGCCTTAAGATTGGAGTTAGAGGCTCATCCAGCCCTGGACAAGCTTACTTCCAAGATCAGTACCCTTAATTTGGAGCGGGTTCGACAGATTAAAAGCAGGCTGGTTGCAATAACTGGACGTGTTCAGAAGGTGTTATGATTCAGACATTCAATTGCTCCTTTGATATTGTGATAAGGATTTATCATGTTTCCTCGTAGATGTGAACCTAAGAGATTACCATATTCTAACCACGTTTGTCTATACTTTTCTCTTTACATGTTCTAGGTTAGGGACGAGCTAGAACATCTGCTAGACGATGATGAAGATATGGCTGAGATGTATCTTACGGAGAAGTTAGCTCAGAAACTTGAGGATTCGTCAAATTCTTCTATGAATGAGAGTGATACCTTCGAGGTTGATCTTCCTCAAAGAGACGAGGATGACAGGCATGTATCAACTTTCTGAGCATACTACCTTCTATTGTTCTGATATAAGTTTAACATCTGCCTTTTTACTCCAGGCTTCCTCCCGAATTTGCATCGTTGGCTAACAGAGATGAAAGATATCTACAAGGAACTGATGCTCACCATCTTCTTATGAGTGCTCACAGTGCACTTAGCAGAAATAGCCGTGGGACTCATACAAGCTCAACGAGGAGTGCCATGACCAACAAATTAGATGTGGAAGAGCTTGAAATGCTTTTGGAAGCATATTTCGTGCAGATCGATGGTATACTGAACAAACTATCAACAGTAAGTAAAAATAGACCAGATACTATTGGTACTCTATTTGGTGGTGATATTCTTCTTCTAATACGTTGCGGTTGTGTGTGTTGTTTTGATGAAAAAAGCTAAGGGAATATGTGGATGACACGGAAGACTACATCAACATAATGCTAGATGACAAGCAGAATCATCTTCTGCAGATGGGTGTGATGCTAACAACAGCTACTCTGGTGATGAGCGCCTTTATCGCAGTTGCTGGTGTATTTGGTATGAATATTAGGATAGAGTTGTTCAATGATAATGAAGCTGGTCCAAGTAGATTCATTTGGACTGTAATTGGAGGTTCTATCGGCAGTATATTCCTCTACGTAGGTGCCATCGGGTGGTGCAAGTACAAGCGCCTTCTTGAATGAGTCGACCAACAACATATTGGGAGAGGAGAATAATGTGGCTTTGCCACAAATCTATTTAATCTAACGAGACTTTTTATGTATATCCTTCGTTCTTGGAGGATCTTACTACTCTCAGACCTTTTTATCCATCTCCTTGACTATTTGCATACTTTCAATTTAATAGCAGACAAGTTTCCATCTACAGAGTTGCATAGTTTCCTTGTTGCTTATTTTGATATCAAACTTTAGATACAAGTGTTTTGTTTCTTTGTTTGCGTTTACTGTTTTCCCAAAGGATTAACGTTTAACATCGCTCTTATCAAAACTAACTCAATCGGTTAGATAAAGAGCGATTAGAGAACTGGAATTTCCGGTTTAGTTTGCCAATGGAAACTGGATTTTATAATGGTATCGCAGATCGTTTTTGTGCACAATTCTAACTTATGGGGGTTTTCCTGATACTTGAAGAAATATAAGGCGGAAACTGTAATATTGAGGAAATTTTGAAGGGAAAATTAGATAAAAAGTTGCAGGCGTGGGAAGAGAGAAGGCTAAGCCCTAAAATTTCATCGGAGAAGAGAAACATGTCGACGAGGCGAGAAAGCAGAGATTCAGACCCTAAACGACACCGTTCTAGAATCGATCGCGAACCCAGGTCTGCTTCTTGAGATTTCTGCTCTATCTTCATCTTCTATTATAACTTTGAAGCAATTAAAATGAACATCGAGGAATCGAAATGCAAGCTCATTGTTGTGGAATTTATGCTTGTCACAGTTGTTGTTTTAGTGTTGAAGTGATTGTTTTGTATCATCCTATGATCTGTCTGCTCTAATTTGGTCATATTCACTCTCGAAAACTGGAGATTTTTGATGAAGATGGTCAATTCTTTAGAGCCTAGTTTTGGTACAAGTTTTTGAAGTGGTTCTCTAGTCAGCTCTTCAGAAATCACTCTTACTAGAGCTAATCACAGTTCCACAACTAATTATTTATGTTTGTCTATAGCCCCAAGAGATCAAGAAGAGATGACAAACCTGATGCAGAACGAGTTTTGAGTAAGAAGGATTTGGATGTTAGAGATGGTAATGCTGATGCAGAGAAGAAACCACGTCACTCCTTGAGAGATGCTGCGCCGTTGGAACCTGATGCTCATGGTTCAAGAAAAGACGGTGAAAAGAAGCACTCTGAACATCATGAGACCACCAAACAAGCTTCCCATCTATCTCAAGTGCCTCGTTCTAGACCATATTCTCAGGTTTCAAAACCTTTCATTATTTCCAATCCGATAACGTTCTTTTTGTTACCGTCCTAGTAGATGTGTGGTCATAGGATGTCTTGGAAGTTTTTGGTCTGCTGAAATGTTTTTTTTACTGAGCTTCATTGCTCATGAAATGGCAAAAAGATTTAATATTTGATCTCATATTAGCTCAGTTAAAAATTTTGGTGAGATAATTGATTACTGGGTTCCTATTTACTGCATATTTAGTCTTTAATCTGTGCTGATGTGATGGGATTATTGCGTACAGTTGAATGCCTAGCAATGCTCAGCTATATGTAATCTTTGGCTTGCCTGTGCGTGTCTTATAACAGCATGATGATCTTCCTAGTGATGGAAAAGGTGACAGACGACCAACTTCTGGTAATTCTCCCCAAATTATCTCGCCTTTCCTTTTCCTCATTCCATAACCTTTAAAAGAATTGCCAAGTCTTATGAACTTATTACTTGCTTTGAAATGTTTGAAGAGAGAGGATCGTGGAGAAGTTCAAGAGGTCCGAGTAACCGAAGAGGTGGAGATGATGACAAATCACAGCATCGTAAAGACGAAGACAAAAGCTCGTGGCGACATGATAGCGACACCCAAGGAACACTCTCTAGGAAACGACCGGCCTTCAGAGAGAAGAAGATTGCAGAGGAATCTGGGAATAACACAGACAGAACAAGAACTGAGGAGGGAAAAGACACAAATCTAAACTATCGCAGACAGAAAGAGAGAAATTGGAGGAGCAATATGCATTCAGAAAGACATGAGAGACCAGCAATGGGAAGAGACAGAGTGTGGAACAGAGATGATGAGAGAGGCGCCGGAAGCAGACAGAGTTATCGAGTTGATAGAGACAGATTCAACGGCAATGGGCGAAGTGGGTTTAGCGGAAGCTGGACAAGGAATGAAAAGAAATGGGACCATGACTTGTTCGAGGAGGCGAACAAGAGTCCAGCTAAAGCCACCGAGGAAGAACAGATTGCAAAAGTTGAAGCTTTGTTGGCTTCTTGAAGCAGCATATGCTATGGTTCTTGATATGAATTCGCCTCTAACATTATAATATCTCAGTTTGCAAGTGTAGAAGATGATGTCTGAGTTTATATAATGAAACTCTCTTATGTTTTTTCCAAGAAAGCAGCATCGGTTTAAACTTCAAAGACATTACACTCTAAACCGGACTTTTCTTGGGTTAACACTATTTCACTTAAACTCCATGAAAAGTAGGACTGACTTGCCGACAAAAAAATAGTAAGACTGACTCAAGAATCAAGATCCTATCACTAAAAGTCAACTATACCAAATTTTAATATATTTTTCATGTTTCATCGATCAATCATATATGTTAGATGATTTCTATATTGGTTTTCTTTTATTTATTTCCAGAAACTATACATATTATCACAAACTTGATCTCCTTAATCAAAAACACCAAATTACTGAAGGAAGAACAACAAAAAATGACATGCATAATATGAGGCAATAAAAGAAGTTTTATCAGAAAAGAGTTCGCTTGCCAGGACGATCAGCAACCTTCAAGGTCTTATCGATGAGATCTCTAGTCTTCTTACGACGGATCGCAACTCTGACGCTGGAGCTTTTATCCATTTTGATGTAAGGTTTCTTCTTCTTCCTCAACAAACCCACCTTTGACTTTATCGTCTCCATCAAACTCTCCAACTGTAATCCCATCTTCTTCTTCTTGATTCTCTAAAGAACCCTAATTAACTAAGAAAGAAGATTCACTTTTTGTACTCGCAGCTCCTCAGACATATTTATGCGTTTGTTTTGATCTTTTAACTCTAAACGTTACGCTTTTGAGTTGTATACCCACACACCTTCTTTGGTTTTATGGAATTGATTGTGAAATATAGGGCTTTGAATTTGAGATATTTTCGATATTGCCACTAGTTGTCCTTCTTTGACTTTTGAAATATTTAATGGGTAAATTACACGGCAGAGCAGTTGACCATGTTTTTAAACCATGGTTTGGCAAAGTGAGATTCAGTTTTCAGGTTTTAGCAAATATTACATTTTTGGACGAAAATGCCCCTGCCATCAAAACGAGTGTACAGTAAATATGTACGAAATAATTAGCCAATTTAGTTAGGTACAGTAACTAGTTAGATACAGTACATGGGTTTTGTTGGTTTTAGACTAAGCTACCGTGTAAAAAAAAAAAAATAGAAAAAAAAGAAATAAAATAAAATTATTATTATTTTTCACCCTCTTTTGTTTACACATTTTTCTTTCTTTCCAATTATGTAAATCTTTATTATTTTTGTACTTTTAGTTAAAATTCATTTTTTTCTATCTTTTAAGATCCATTTTCATATTTTTTTTATTTTTACTTTTCATAATAATTTATTTCTTAATTCTAATTGTTTCGTTGAAGACAATTCGAGATTAACAATATCATGTAGTCATGTGTACGTACACGGTAATAATTTAAGTGCATATGTGTACATTAACATATAAATAATTTTTATATTTACGTTTAAAATATTTTTTTGAACATAAAAATAAAACACACAAACCATGTACGAACTAGATCTGAAAAAAATTACTAAAAACCAAAGAATCGAACCGAACCGAACCTATTCGGAAAATAAGAACCGAACCCGAAACTGACAAAATATCCGAACGTTATTAAATTTCTATATCCGAATAACCGGACCCATAGTCGAAGAACAATAACCTAATCCAAACCGAACCGAAAAACAAATGGATACTCGAAATATAGGTATATACCCATCATATCAATTATATTTAGATATTTTATATCCAAATACCCAAATTACAATTTTAAGACTCGAAGATGTCAATTATTTTAGATCGAAAAATATCAAAATAACCAAAATATCCAAAAGTTTTACTTATATTTGTCAAAATTTAAACAAATTTTATTTAAATTTAATACTTTTTAACTTTTATTAATATTTTAGGTGTCCGGAGCATAACCAAAAATATCTGAAACCAAATTGAACCGAACAAAAATTTTAAGATACCTGAATGGGTATGAAACCCTTCTACCTGAAATACTCTGTACCAAACGAGTCCTACTGGGAACCAAACTTAATCTTAGAATGCTTAGGTTTTAGTACGAAATATTATGGTGACACATACATCATTATTGAGACGATTTACCATCATAAATACGTGCATACACATGCATATTAGGAAAGTTAACGTATACAAGTACATCTATTGGTGATTATGTACGTAAACATGTAGTACTGTGTACGTGAGAGACGAGGTAGTAATCGTGACAGAGAAAATGGTGGCATTGCAGGAAGATAAGTACAACTATCACAGAGAAGTGAGTTTGGATACATCCTTTTTATTCATAGTAGGGGTAAGTGTAAACATGTTTGTGTCATTTTGTCTAATCCGTTAAGGAATGCGTGAATAATATGTGCATGATGGAGGATCTTGCTGATGAAACTAACCTGGTTAGGGGGTGAAAACGCAACAAAACCACATTGGAGGCTCCAAATGTGAATGAAAACAATGAGAAAGTATATGAGGAAGAAGAATAAAAAGAGGACAATAAAGAGGGTGATGATGACGAAGAGGAGAAAGAGGACGATGGACAACAATCAATCAAGTAGGAGAATGTCTTGGAACCAACTATAAACGGTACTAAAGGTACTAGCGAAGATTATAGTACAACAAGTGGATTAATTTTGTTGTTAAAAAATATGGGATAGGACATGTCGGAGATATTCGTGACACTCAACCAACTATGGGACCAACATGAAAATTCAAATGATTAATAGAACCATATACGTATACTAATGAACATGTACGTGATGAAAAAAACATCGATCGTTTTGGAAAGAATGGTGACATTCAACTATTTGTGAGTCCTAACTGGGAGGTAAAACATGATTTTTAAAAAAATGTACGTACACTACTAAATACATATGTACACGATGAAGTATGTAAAGGTGAATGTTTTACGTACACGAATAGATGTGAAATGAATGGTAATGGTGTGCAATTTAGTATTGGAAGATCGGTTTACCTGAATCAGAGTACAATTTATTGATAATAAACGAGTCTTACGAAGTGTATAATGACTTTTTTTATATTGCTAAGTGGTGAGGTGGAGATGCTCAATATTGACGATGTTCCAATCTTCGATGATTTAGCTAGTCAATGTCCCACTGATAAGACAGAAGTAGAATAGTACAATAGGGAAAGCATTTTATGTTGGGAGTGTGTTTAATTATTAGTTTTCACAAATGACAATATAAGTTTATCATGAAATCAAACGTTGATTTTTTTTAGTGATGCAAAAATATACAAAATGAGGGATTTATCAAATATGTTGAATTAAAAAATCCAAATCAGGATGCACAAAATAATTAAAGAATATTAGACTTGAGCATTGGACAAGAACATATTGCGAGGATATTGGTACAAAGTCATGTCTAACAACATTATACGAAGATAGTGGTTAGAGATTTTTTACAACCACTTTAATGTTGTACCATTACGTTCCAGTAAATATTTTTGTGTACGTATATAGTAAAAGACATGTGATTTAGGCATTTTTTGGATGTAACTGTTTGGAGCGGTCGTGTACGTGTACGTGTATCTCAAGATTATCATGTACGTTTACGGGTTTAGTTTATAATCTTTTCTATTTTCCACTAATAATATCGTGTACCATTAAGTTCCAGTAAATATTTTTGTGTACGTATATAGTAAAAGACATGTGATTTAGGCATTTTTAAAATGTAACTGTTTGGAGCGGTCGTGTACGTGTACGTGTATCTCAAGATTATCGTGTACGTTTACGGGTTTAGTTTATAATCTTTTCTATTTTCCACTAATAATATCGTGTACCATTACGTTCCAGTAAATATTTTTGTGTACGTATATAGTAAAAGACATGTGATTTAGGCATTTTTAAGATGTAACTGTTTGGAGCGGTCGTGTACGTGTACGTGTATCTCAACATTATCGTGTACGTTTACGGGTTTAGTTTATAATCTTTTCTATTTTCCACTAATAATATCGTGTAACATAAATTTCATTAAAAAATTAAAATCCGGAAATGGTGTAACATTCCATACTTGAATTCCTTCAAGGTATATTGTAAAATGCTAGTCAAATTAACCAAGCTTTGTAATGTAAAAATTTGTAAATATTACACGTACACTGCCTCAATAATGGTACATAATCTAAAAAAACGTACACGTCCATATACTCAAAGGCATCATTGTAAGTTTGTATTCATCTTAAACCCGAGTTTCTTCTTCTGCAACCCTAATTTTGTAGTCATTGTTCACAATTTTCTCTTAGTCTTTTGTTTCTTTTACGTTTTATTGCTTTATACACATAAATTTTGTAAATCTAGTTTATATTAGCATATTTTGAAGTCGAAAAGCTAAAATACAAACTCTGTAAATATTACGTACACCACCTCCACAATAGTACATAATATAACAGACGTACACGTCCATAAAATCAATACTACGTACACCATAACTTGCATACACGTACATAGAATTAACCAAATAAGGACATATTCCTACCAAAAATATCTTACCAATTTGTTTCCAGTAATTATATGAATTTTGAAAATAAATTATAAATTACAAAATCATCATTAATTATTAATCTGAATAATATATATAAATCAAATTGTTTTACAAGACAAATAAATTCTTGCTACTATTTAACATAAATTCGTACAAGACAAATAAATTCTTGTTGAAGATATCTTCTTAGATGACTTCACGAGAAACATATCACTCTCTCCATGTAAAGGCTGACAGCATATGCAACATTTCTTCCTTGTGAAATATGGAAAGAAGATGAACGGTATTAAAAGCACCATCGACCAAAACCCAATCCTTGGGAATCTAGCTCAGTCACAAGTGAGATATTGGATTTGGACATCCTTTTCCTTTTCACGTTTCTTCAACGTTTGAATCTCCTCTCGTAACAATAAGTCTTGGCGTGGGCTTCTCGAGGTGTAAGAAGAGGACGAGCATCCGTCCTCGAGTAATTTACCAAACCCAAAGCGATGGCCTTTAAAAATTAAAAACCAACATGTCACTATAAAAGACAAAATTAAGAGAAAATCATAATCCAAATTTCTATGTTCAATTAGGACAGATACACATACACATAATTTCACCAACGTGTTTTGGGATTTACATATATATTATACTCAAATTTGGAGAGTCCTATAAAGTATGTGTTGGTTTAAGTATACTCTTAAGATCACAACGAAGGCTATTTAATATAAGTATACTATAAAGATGACAACAAAGCATAATAAAAATTTACTCATAGACATTCGAAACAAACATGAGAGTGAACATTTACGTAAATGTAACTTACTTCAAGCATTATGGCGTCAATCTCTAATTGTGTGATAGTGTTTGACTGCACATCCTCATCTCCTTCTGTTTGCCGCTGCGAAGCGGTAAGTTTCATGTAAACTCTCAACTCCTAATGAGAGTTGGCTAAGTGAAAACTGAAAATCAAAAACCAACTTTAAACTCAAAAATCTAAAACACCAATTGGGTGATACTCGAGAAAGTTAGTTACTGAGATTTTGCAGAAAATTAGTACCTGAAATTCAAGCTAATTTTTTTTTTGCCAACCCTTGAAATCCTCAGCTAGTTGGCTGTCCCACCCCTCTTTGCTCATATCTCTTGAGCTTCGCTTTACTATATATGAAACAATACAAGAATCCTCTATCATGAGTCAAGGAGATAGATAAATCATCGATTTAAGCAATTTCTGAAGCATAATCCATCCTAATTGCATAATTAATGACTATCCAATCAATACAGATCCCATATCAAAATAGATCTATTAAGCAAATTAGATTCAATTTACACACCAATTAGAGAGGATTTGAAAACCTTTTTGGAAAAATTGCAAGAAACGCAAGGACCTGAAGGTAATGTCACTTCCTTTTTGGAGTTTCTTTGAAACCTAGAAGGAAATTACCACCAACGCTTCTAATTTCTTTATCTCCGTCTCTGTAGGAATCGATAAATCAAACGATTCAGATCAACAAGCGAGATCGATCATCAATGTAAACGAAAGAAATTGAAGTCCGAACTGTTCTTGTGCTCTAGCGAAAAGAGAGGACGAAATTGAAAGATACCGTAAATTCTTCCAATTTTTTTTTTTCAAACATAAGAAAAAAAATATTTAGAAGCGTAATGGAACGAGAACAGTTCAATTCAGAGGGCAAATTGGTCTAAAAAAGCCTAAATGGCTAATTGGTGAGAAGCCCATGTCACTTTGCCAAAATATGGTTGAGAAACTCATTTTCACGCTAAACGTGAAAATTTCTTTATTTAATTTAGTAGTCAACTACTGTATATGTCATCAGTAATCACATTTGCTTTTGTCAACAATCACATTTACACAATGTAACACACACACAAAAAGAAAAAAAGAGTCGTATCTTTTTTTCTCCTTTGCATTCACATATAATAATAGCATGATGATAATCTGCGTAACGTAGACGTAGTGTATGAAGTTTTTTCTCTTTCCAAACGTATAACAATGTTAATTATCATTTAATTCCGTTGATTTAAAAATCAGGAGAACGACGGAAGACATATCTTGGATTTATGATAATACATAGATGCATAAGGTACAATATAATGATGCGTGTCTCAATATTTTATTCCCACAATAATATTTTACACTTAACGGATTCGGACCATCGGCCTATTCTAACCCATGTTGGTGTTAATATCTGCTCTGGAAAACGTTGGAGAAGGCGGAGATGTTGCATTGCTCGGACCGCTTGGAACCAATCTTTTCGTTCCGATATCTGTTATGGAAAATGATGGAGAAGGCGGAGATGTTTCATTGCTCGGACCGCTTGGTACCAATCTTTTCGTTCCGATATTTGCTCTGGAAAATGATGGAGAAGGTGGAGATGTTGCATTGCTCGGACCGCTTGGAACCAATCTTTTCGTTCCAATATTTGCTCTGAAAAACGATGGAGAAGGTAGTGATGTTTCATCGCTTACGACACTTGGATCTACTCTCCTTGCTTCACCATTTGGTACATAAAATGCTGGAAGTTGTAGAGATTCCATGTTGTTCGTACTGTTAAAAACCTTTTTAGCCGCATCGTAATCAGAAGCAAATGAAATTATATCGCGATTGGCTAAAGATAATGTTAGAAAAATGAACTGAAGCACCACAACTCCAAAAAATCCCTTCATATTTCGTTTTGGCTTCTCTTTGTTTTGTGGTAAATTTTAAGAGTCAAAATGCGATGTATTATAGGCTGAATGAAGATATCTACGTTATAACAGGCTTTTTAAATAATCAGATGTATTTAGTATTTGCATATTTATGGTAAACGGACCATTGAGAAGAATAGCACTTTTAAAGTCAAAGTAAATATCTAAAAACAAATCCAATAAAATCTTGGCAAAATAATACTAAAGAAAGAAAATATTTTGAATACAAAGAAGGTATGGATTTCTCTTGTATACGCAACCAAGTTAAGACTCAATAATAAATATTTTGATTTTGATTCTAATAATTTACTTATGAAACTACAATGACATTTCATTTCAAATGACTTAATATACAAAGATTTCAAAAGTTTTTTAGTTTTAAATAACACTGGATTTTAATGAAATATTTAAAATCTTAGTTGAATAACACTAAACTTTAAAATCTATTAATCATGATTTGCAAATATAAGATTTAATAACACCAGATTTTAAAGCATGATTTAAAATCATTAATTGAATAATAGTGGATTAGTGTTAGATATTAATTCCATTAAAAACCATGATTGAATAACACTCCCTAAATATCTAAAAAAAATCCAATGAAATCTTGGCAAAATAATACAAATGAAAGAAAATATTTTGAATAGGAAGAAGGTATGTATATGCAACCTTGTTAAGAGTCACTACCTAATGCATATAATTTTTTGACAAAAAGATCAATCTTAAAGTCAACCCAAATCAATATAAAAAAAATCTAGATAAAGATGTAGGAAAGGATGACTTTCTTGCAAACAAATCTCATGATGAGATAGAGTACACAACCTAATCATAAAACTTAGATAATATAGTTGGCTCGAACATATAGTTTAGTAGTTTGTGTTAATATAGTCATTGCATCACAATCTGAGTTCAAAATCCGCATAATTTCTATTTTTAATAATAAAAAAAATTATCAATTTTAAAATAGGTGAAATTACCTATTCAACAAAAATTGGTAATAACAAAGCAAAATTTTAAAATAGGTGAAATTACCTACCCAGCCATTTCTCATTACGTTAAAGCTGGAGCTCATGATAACAAAATAGTGTTTATGATGAGACCGGTTTCAACAAAACTCAATCCAAGAAAATCCGAAGCCTAAACAACTCCAAACATGGGAGTGAGATATTAACCTGGTGTAAACATTTTCAATACCTACCACATTCTCCATCTTCAAGCTCCTCTTCCTTTGTGTGCTCACTCTCTTCCTCTTTCCTACGCCGCTTTATCCTCCCCTCAACCTCTGCTTCGGGGACCAAACCTCGCTGCAATTGCAGAAAGCTCCGAGATTAAAAAGCTTGACATAAACCATATGGAGCTAAACCACTTGTGTGTCTAGAACTAGGCTCAAGAGATTGACAATGTGTTAACAGTAAAAGATATCAACACATCAAATGGTTTTGGACCTAACTGAGTCAAGACTGTTTTCAGTAGAAGCAGCACTTCTGCAACCAATCCAAATACTTAATGAATTGTCATGGATCGAATAATACTATACCACAGTATACTCTATGGTTTTCTCAACTTAAAACCCAGACACAAATATTACTCTATACGGTTATTTTCTATTTGTACCTCTCTCTCCTTTAAAAAGTGATTTAGTGTACCTGATGTCTTGATTTCTTATGGCCACCGCCAGCTTTTTGGGATTCTTTGAAATGGTCTGTGTCATTTTCCTTCACACTAGTATGTCTTTCTCGATGTCGGTTATGGCTATCTCTTCCTGATCTTCTACGATCTTTTCCATGGGATTCATTCATATCATGGTTGTAATTACCAGCTGCACCTTTCTTATGATGATCGTCACTGTCTCTTTCTCGCACTCTGTCCTTCTCTCTTCCGTATTTATCTCTCCCCTTGTCATGTTCCTCTCTCACATCCTCGGGTACCTGTAGAAATATAACATTCTGTGAGCTTGCGGACATGCCATCAATACGTAATAGTTGAATCATCTATAACCACAAGTTGAAGTATGTTAGTGCACTTATGGTAGCAGCTACGACCGACAGAGAATCTCAATACCGTTAAGTTCCTCTTACAGTCTAAAATGACTCCAATTGACATACTAGACAAAGAATTATGAGAGTTCCACCAAAACTGTTAAATGCTAGACTCGAGCAAACTGTTTCATAGACACAAATCCACCATTACCTTCTTGTTCTGTTTGATCCTTTTTGATTGCTCTTTGAGGAGTGAAACGTAATCTTCGAATGTCTGCTTCCGGAAGCTCTCATCGCCAATAGTACTACATATACAGAAGCAATAAATAATAGATAATCAAAATACTAGAAAGGGCACAAACGTGGTTGCTGTAACATCGACATAAGAAACCCATTCTAGAAAAGCACAAATATTCTATATACAGAGCAAGACAATTTGGTGATAGAGATGAATATGAGAAGGAAGTTGGAACTTAGAAGACCTAAATATAGCAGAAAAACAGGATCCAGTCAGAAACTTTAACATGAAAGGGTAGAATAAATGAAAAACGTACCGGCATTTTTCACTACCTTCAACAAGATGTTTTGATTCCTCCCATGATGAAGAGGCAGTTATATCCTGCACCAAAGCAAATAATCAGGGAGAAGCAAGACCACCACCCTAAAGTTCATCCATCACATAACATTATACAGAAATCAAACTAAACAGATTCAACACCTTGAAGGAGCGAAGCATATCCACCAACTTTTCAGTCTGCCTTGTCTGTTTTCTGGCTTCCTTTTCTTCCTTCTCCTTTGCCCTTTCCAGCAAATCATCAAAGACTACCTGAGAAGCATCACCAAATTATTTGCAGTCATATCCAAATGAAACATTAAAGGTTAAATAAAGAATATGCTAACACTGAAGTGAGCGTTTTACTGTGCTTGAACTAGTTTATGCATCATGAAGCAAGAAGACAGTGTATCTTCACACATCATCTGGAAATGAAATTTTAAAAGTCAAGGCAAAGATCTACAGACCTTTAGTCTAACGTCAGGAATAGGTGGAAAACCAATATCCTCGGAAATTGAGACCTTGAACTCATCAAATGCTGATCCAGCGGATAAATTTACCTGGAAGTAAATTGAAATTATTAAAAACCTATAAAATCCATAAATACTGGCAGAAACAAAATGCGTACCTTTCTCAATTTCAATACATCCTTTATCTGAGACTTGAGTTCGTGGTACTGTGAAGAAAAAAATACAGATGGTTAATTCAGGAATCAAGGACAGAAAAAAAAAAAAGAAGCAAAAATAAACATGAAATGGAAACAGAAGACGCCTCTATTCATAAACCTAGCAAAATAATGCTACCAGAACTACTTAGTAAAAAAATTACTGTCTTTCAAAAGGAATCAGTCTAGAGACCGCAAAGCAGTTTTTCTCATCATGTAACAGATTACAGTCACTTTCATGATATTTTTGAAAGTAAACTATTGAGAAAAATCTAGTACCCTTTTTTTCAAATCCTCAACAGCATCTTCAAATAAGTCTTTTGGAGTAGCTCCAGAGGAGTTCGACGCAATTGCTGAATATACTGGTAAATCTTTGACCTGAGATGTAGAATTCATTTCCTATCAAAACAGTTCAATACTTGAAATGGAATAATAATTCTGGGTGACATAATATGTAGTTGAGTTATATAACCTTCATTAAATAATCACGCCATATAGTTTTGGCAGTAAGCTCTCCTGTTGCAATATGTTCCTCTATCAGCCCACGGAACTCATCACGATGCTTTCGCTCTGCTTTTTTGAGTTCCTCCTGTTGTCATGAATAGCAGATATAATGAAGTAATATTCAATACAACAAACAAATAAATGTCAACTAAAGGCCGAATACCTAAGTACCTTCTGTATCTTCTTTTTCTCCTCTTCTTCTCTCTCCAGATCACGCAGATACTCCTGTACAAGAGTTAAAGTTAGCCGAGTGTGGAATGGGAAGATAGTTCATGATCAATGAAATTACCTGAAAGATTTCTAGCTGATCAATTTTCTCAAGACGTGAACATCTTTCATCCACTTCTAAGCGGTCCTGAACTTTGCGCCATTGACTATTAGGCTGAAGATGGAAAATATGAGTCAGAATGAATTACTACAATATAGCATGGAATAATAATAAATTTAAAAGGCGGGACAATCACCTTGATGAAATTGCAAGATTCCAAAAATCTTCGGTATTCAATTATGTTCCGCTTGCGATCCTCAAGAGCTTTCACACGCTCCTTATAAAATTAACCGCATTACGAACAACGGAACCCAAATCAAAGTTAATGTCAAAACTTTGAACAAAGTAAAATTATTTTGATATTTTGTCCTCGCATATTATAAAGAGTAAAGACACACGTTCGTAAATGAAATTCAATTTTTAAGAGAAGGTACACACTTGACTAACAGATGTGAAGTTTCAAATGAATGATAAAAGTTATTAGAATTAAGAAAAAGTCTCAAATGACCACTCTGGGCAAAATTTTCCAGTGGAAAACTAATGTCAAAAATACATGCATGTATATAAAAAAGAAATGGGAGAAACAAAAAAGCAGTTACTTTTCAAACAACACAAGATTCATTAATATATACACCATTTAGTACCTTCTCTTTTAGCTCACTGACATGATCTTCAAAAATATTACGACGGTCTTTTTCTCGTTCAAGAGCTTTGCAACGCTCATCGTCTTCAAACATTGTCACAGCCTTACTGGATTTAAAAGGAACATTATATCACAAAAGAAATTGCAGTAATTCTCGTGGGGAAAAAGAATGAATTGGACCAGAATTATTCTGGAGAACAAACCTCCACCGAGTAGAAGGAGTAAGTTCCACGCATTCCTGGTATAAGAAAAATCAATGTCCAAAATAAAGATAAGCGGCATGCAGGTGATTTTATGTACTTTATAATTTCCTAAAAATGAAAGGCAGATATATCATCTTACCTCTAACATCCTTTTAAAATCTTCATACCGTTTTCTCTGTCTGGCTAGCCTTTCCTCCTCAGCTGCTCTTTTCGTTTGAAGTAAGAACTGAATCACAACAAAACACAATTAACATCTGGTCAGATGTACCTATTAAGCATCACTGTTCAAACCTAGAGAAGAATGTGACTGTATTATATCTAAACATCTGAAATTTCTTAAATTCTCTTCTGATAAATTATCTTGCTAGGTTTAGGGTATGTGATAAAACGAAGTAACCTCATTGAAGGCTTGCTTCCGCTCTCCAAGTGTCCTCAGAGCACCGTATCTTCTGTCATTAATAATTTCTCTCATGGCCTGTGACAGAAACCACCTAAAACTTCAGAGCCATGCTCAAGAACAGCTTATAGTGAAAGTTGTACTACCTGTTCCCATGTCCAGTCAGATCCAACATTGGCAGATTTCAAAAGTGATTTGAAGACATCCCCAGCTTCCTATATCGTGAAGCAAAATTAATTTATGCAAACAGATAAGACCAGAACTATGCTCAGACATAAAACCAATCCTTCTATCGGATGTCCCCAAAGGAACATGACATAAAACCAATCATACCGATTTATTGTTAAAGGAAAAGTTTATTGTCTCTTGATTAATTTGTTTTTCTTCCGTTTGACTCTCAACTCTTTCACTTTCCACCATAGGTTTTTGGCTTTCTTCTGGCCCAGTCCCACTACCTTGCTAAAGAGCAGATGGACAATTATGATAAACAGATACAGAAGAAATGCATGCTAATAAGAAATACTCATTGCTAAGAATTAAATACATTTGCGTTTGTAGCTGACATGTCATCTGAATCTCCACTGTTCCCGACCGAAATTTCATCCTTCTCATCTCTGCAAAGATAGTCAATAGAAACTTATTTAGGTCGTGATACTCACAACTAAAACTAAATAGAATAAAAGAGAAAGGGAGATAAAATTGCAACTGTCAGTACAATGTAGCAGCAGAAGTTTTAGTCACAGGGACAGAAGGACCATCGGTTTCTGAAGCACACAATTGTGATGTTTCATCTGCAATCATCTGAACTCGATCAACATTTTCGACCGGAGAAGAACTTCCAGGAACTGAAGCTGGCTGCTTCCAATCAGAAGTAAGAGCTAGTTTCTCACTGCCCTCAGAGGTTGAAGTTTGGCTTGGTAGACTAGTCGGAGCTGCAGTTGATGCAGTATCAGAACGAGTCAGCACCTTAGAAACATCAATAATGCCTTCTGCATGAGGCCCTTGAAGAGATGCCTTTTCTGCTTGTTCACGTGCAATCTGGCGAGAAGAGTTAGAATTCACACAACGGGAAACACAGAAATTAGAACACAGAAATACAGAAGAGAAGACAGTAATTTGTCTTAAGAGAAACCTTCATTTCGTCAGGCATTGTCCATGTTGATTGCTTCGTAATCTTATTGTAGTAATACCTGCAAACATATTAAAGATTCAACATCTGAAGCTACAGAAGGAGATTTTTATTTTTCATCAGTTGTATGTTAATGAAATAAAAACTTTAGTTGCATACTCACTTTCTTCCATCAGGACTTGCATGTTCTTTCCAGTCAGTTCTTGCATCTGCTCTCTGTATCAGAGAATACACATTTTATACATTAACTATATACCCATACCTTTTTGGTTAATCATTGCTTCAGATCACAAAAGAACAAAGGAAGAAAGAATAACGGTCCAGTTCAACAGAGCATAACAGAAAATAGGATATTGGCCACGAAGAATAATCACAATTGTTGTCCCTGAAAATATCTGAACGTTATAAGAAACAGACACTGATGGTATCCTCCCATATTCCTTTATCTAGGTTACGAGAATATCTAGATAGGATGAACTATATCACTAATCCCTTTCATCAGCCGAAAATGAGCAAATGTAAGAACTCCACAGGATTTCACTGTTGTCACTTTCGTGTAACCCTAGCACCTATCACACAAGCTTGCACCATTGGAATTCTAGATATAAGCTCATATTTACATTCATATTAAAGAAAACATGTCCACCTCAAACCAAAGTGCAATAACTACTAGTAAGCAGTATATGTTAGGACATGGCACAAGACAGCTTTGAAAATCAGAATGAGTAGATCATTCCTGAAACTTCATTTCTTTAGCTAGGGAAGCTTACAGGACTTTGGGTGATTTTAATAGACCACAAATAGATACATAAACAGATGAGCCAAAATAAATCACCTCAAAAAGAGTCATCAACTCAACAGGCTTCTCCCAAGTGGACTTCTTTGTTCTCTTGTTGAAAAAATATCTAATAATAAGCAAAAAAAAATCAATGTCATCCACCATATACTCGTACAACTGGAAACATGGAGCTAAAATAAATTTATTCTACAAATTAAATGATGAGAATAAGATGTGTTCAGGTTGGGAAATACACAACGGTTGCACAATGTGCAGGACAATAAATCATCAGGAAACACAGACAGAACATCAAACACTTTCTCTGCAGAAAAAATAGAAGTAAAACCGGATGCCCAGCCAACAAATCCTGTGATTTTCAGCACATCAAACTCATAAATATCCAAGATGTCATGAGTATGGTTGCTTCCCACTAAAACTTATGCTTGATAATAAGCCAACAGTTCAATATTTTTCATGCAAAATCCAGATAGAAGAACAAATAAGCAAGCAAAATATCATCAATATGAATAACAAGCAAGAATTAGATAGAATTCGTGTAAAAAGAAAGCAAGAGATAGGTTCATTGAGTGAACAGATCACATATCATTACATTTAACAGAGCTGACAAGTTTACCAAACAAGTCTTTACCGAAATCAAAGAATCAAAAACATATGACTAAGAAACGTTAACAATGAAAAACTTACTCAAAGAGCACAAAAAATTCAATTAATAAAGAAACTATCATCTGCAATAGCCAATGATGTGCTCTCCAAATTTCACACAATGGTAAAAATAGAGAAACAACTAAACAACTACACAATCTAGAATTAGCTTTTGCACAACCTTATTATGTGCTTCCAAGTTCCCAGCAGTTTATCTCGTTTGAATATCAATATTTTAGTTTAGCATCATATGTGAAAAACGCAAGCAAAACAATCAAAAGAGAATAAACAAAAGTCACATGACTTGTAATTCTTACTTCCTTCCATCTGCAGAGGTATGCTCAACCCAATCTGTTAGAGCCTCTTGAGAAGGTATAGGTTTAGTAAAAGCTTCCTTCAAGTCGCAAAAGTATATCTATATTAGTATTGCAACCAAAAAAAGTTCAGAAGGTAGTTACAATAAAAGACATGGTAACAACCTTTGGTTGTTCAAATGTCGGATTCAGGATAGAAGATTGTGCAGTAGTCTGGCTGATAGATGCTCTATGTTGTGCCTGACTATGACTGCTTGGTCCAGTGACTTGTGGTGGTGCCCTCGAACCTTCGTAAGATGTGGCACTCTGTTTGTTCACAGAGTTAGGAACTAGATATCTAGTTTCTGTAGATATAACACAAAAATATTTTCCTTCCTTACCGGATAAGAAAAGAGTGCCCTAGGGCCACCAAAGCCAGTCATACTAATATCTGGAGTTTGTACATAAGGCTGATGCAAGGAGGTACCAGAAGCAATTGACACATTTGGCTGTGAAACTAGAGTTGGGGGTCCAAGTGGAACATGTTGAACTTGCACCTGATTTAATTGGCTGGGTCTTTCATGTGAATGGTGCATTGACTGTAATAACTGAGGTGCATAAGATTGAGGTGGATATCCAATGTTCAATACTGTGCCACCTCTGCCAACACATTGAAATTTCTGAGAAGACAATCGAGCAACTGGCTCAGACTGAGGAGCTTGAATGGTAGGATGAAACTGTAATGAAATATATGCAAAACACATGTAGGGTTGAGCTGATAAATAGTCTTCAGATACATATAAGACATAAATCATTACCTGAAAGTTCATGGGTGGAGCAAAGCCTCGGGGTAAATCTATGGAGCTAGCATTAGGATGCTGGAATGGCTTTTAAAAACAAAACAAAACAAAAAACGCTAAATTAGATGTAAAATTCAAAAAGTCATCACAAGAATATAAAAATACTTAAATCACATATTCAATGGTCAGAGCCATTTAGAAATTAACCCACAAGCCAGCGGCCTCAGGGTAAAAGAGTATTGGAATAAAGAGGGTGCAAAATAGAACAGATATAGGACAAAAAGAGCACGCTCAGTAGTTTAATCCTATGCCTACCTGAATGCCAGGATACTGATGGTTATTAGCCATCTTCCAGCAGTAGTAGCCTCAGTGCAACCAATGGAAGATCCACCAAATAATAATGGAAACTGCCTGTATTTGATCTCTGTATGCTCAGTTGAAATATGGAGAAGAAAACTAGACCTGTACAACAACCACAAAATAGGAATTAGGACGTGAAATGGTAGTCTACATTTATTTGCAATATGCAAGCAACAACAATACCCCTTGCCTTCAACATGGCATACAACGATGTCTACATTGAACACGGCAAACCCCAATACAATAAAAAGGTAAGGTATAAGCATGGCATTCAAGCAGGTCTCTGTTCTAAGATGGTTAAATCGCCCACCATCCTCTCTGTTCAGAAAGTCCATGTCTTAGTTAACCATAATTCTAAGTGATTCGAAACAAGTTCACAATTTCTACTTGATAACCGTCTGATCAAAAAATCGAGTTTAGAAACAGATAATAAACTGTTCAAAATCTTACCAGGTTGATGATCGTGTGGAGTAACTTAATAGGCCATAGAATGAGTATAAATTATCGAAAATGATCCACAAATCAATCAAAAGCTTAAAAGTTTTCAACTCTAGGTTTCAGTCTTGCAGATTACATGGAAATTACAACTAAGGCCTTGTTTGTTTCATCATTTGGCATTTGCATCCAAATGATCTATCCAAATGGATCATTTGGATGATGCATCTGAATGATGTTTGTTTGATCATTTGGATAGTTCATCTTAATGATGCATTTAAATGGACCTTTGTTTGTTTGATCATTTGGTAATTCATCCACATCCTCATCTAAATAAAATGACTAAAATACCCATGCATTTAAATAGACCTTTAAAACCAACCAACGTCACTACTTTAGTGAAATACATTCATAATGTAAGATTAGAGACATAATAATCAAAGCAGTGTCTTAAAATAGAGCAAGAAGAGATTGGTTTTGTTCCTCGATTTGCTTAATTTAGATAGAGACTTTACCAAACAAGTATTTGCTTCTCGATTCAAACCCAACTCCTGAAAGAACAAGTCAAGCATCATCAAATCCAGCAACAAAATCAAAACTTAGAAAACACATCAACCTACAGCTACGTGTGTGCACTATTCCATAAGAAACGAAAAAGAGTAAAACTCCTTAAACCAAGGATAAACAACTACCTTCATAAGGTGATTGTGTAGGACCAAGAATCATAATCCTCAACTAAAGCTCTAAATGTTTCCCGCAAAACAAGAATAGTAAGCAAAACGACTGAAACAAAATGAGTGAGACTGCAAAACCAGAATCTGATCCAAATCAATACCTGCATAATTTGATCCAATTCAATTAGACTGAACTTGATTCAACTTGATGATCAATAAAATAATCTGTAAAATAAAAATACACTTTTGAGTTAGCTTCATCATCCTCTAGAACATTATTTGACTACACATGAGCTGTTATACCCATTAAGCAAATGTAAACATGATAAAGCAAGAAATGCTAGAAACTCAACCGTAGAACAAAAAACACTGAATAGGACATCTCAAGTCAAAAGGACAAGTCTTGATATTTTCTAGAAAACAAACCTTTTAGCTGTTCAAACAAAGAGCATCCACACGTCAAAATATATTCCTTTTAGCTGCAAGAAAAAGAGCAATAAAACAGATTAGCAGATATATAAACAAGAATCTTGAGAATTTTAAACATTTACATGAGAACTTTAAGCAAAGAAATATACGGATTGATAAATTGATTATCACTCAACTCAAACACCATTTAAGCAGAAATTAGACTTGCATGAATCAAAGGGAATTCAATTATACCTGGCAACCCCTGCTGAAGATAATCCAACTAAGACTTTCACCTAACCAATGTAAACATGATAACAAAAGATCAAAAAGAAAATCATTCACATGGATCAAGATTTTTTATTATTAAAGATGATAGAGTTCACAAACACAAAAAAAAACAGAAAGCAGAGAAAAGAGATAAGAGACAACACTCAGAATCACAACTAGACACTAGAGTTCCCAAGAAACATGAAAGACACAAGACACTAGACACTAGAGTTCACAAGACAATATCTTGTTCTCATGCATCCCTGCTTGCTCATCACTCCACACAAGATTCTTAGTTTAAGATAGAAATATATGATTTCGTAAAAATCAATCTAAATTACAAAAAAAGCATTAAGTAAAATATGAGTTTAAAGGGGAAGATACTCACATCACCACCATCGATAGTTGACATTGTTTTTGAGTTGTCCCTGAAGGTATAAAAAGAAGCAAAACCAGTTAACAAAACTAGTTTTAAATCACTCTTAAGCAAAAGCAATTCAAAACCATGTCAGTGGAAGAGTGGAAGAGTGAAAGAGACACTTGCGATTGAAAGCCAAAGAAAGAAATAGAGACAGCTTTTCAAAACCACTCAAAAGCTGGAAAAAACAAATCAATAACATGATCCAACTAATTCTCATTCACACAAAATAAACCTTGCAACATTGATACATAGAGAAAAAACTAGGCAGTGAAAGACACTCATCATTGAATGAACCATTGTAACTCTCTTGTAACTTCTTTTTTACTATGAAACTAAACATAGTAGCAGCAACCTCCACACTAATAAAGATTGAAACAGAAGCTATTAATTAAGGTCTCTTACATGAAGCCACACGGTATTTAGATTCATCATTCAAAAGATGGCTTAACACACAACAAATAAACATAAGTATTTAAATTCTCATTCCTCATAGTTCGTGATTCTTTGATTCAAGTCACCCTTGTTTCCCTCATACGTATATATCAAGACTTCACCAAGGAACACGAAATCAAACAAAGCCACAACACTAATCTCCATTGGTACACATAAACTCAATACAAAATCATGAATTAGAGATATATCATACCTCTCAAACAGTGGTTGCAGCGATTTCAATCCGTAACACCTGAAACCCACTTTGAGATTTCAATGACTAAAGGAGAAATCGAATCCAATAATCAAACCCATGAGTCTTACCTCTCAAACAATGGCCACAGCTAATTCAATCCGTAACACCTTAAACCCACGCACGAGAGAGAGAAGAAGAGATCCGGCGAAGCGATCAAAGACGAGTCGAGTAGAGTGAGAAGGTCAAAGAGGAGTGGATTCCGGCGAGAGATCCGGCGAGATATCCGGCGAAGAGATCCGACGACGAAGAGATCTCGTTTCTCTGTGTCGAAGAATGTCTCTGTGTCGAGGAGTGAAGGAGAAGAAGGTTTAGGTTTTTGGTGTAATTCTCTAAATTAGGTAAGGGTATTTAGGTCATTTTATATTTTGGACTGAATCAGCTCCAGTCAACTGCTCCAATCAGACTCAGCTGGATTATGATCATTTTTGGATGAGTTTAATAAAAATCATCCAACTGGTTCATCTCACTCTTCTGTAAAATTGTTGTAAACAAACATCATTATTCATCTCCATTCAGATGATCCATCTGAATGGAGAAAAGAACAGCACCTAATTTATACGAAAATGAGACTAGAAACGAGCTCATTCAATCAATTTCTACCCAGAAGATACTCATTTTATACCAAACCCTAATAAGAACACTAGAAATGAGAAAATAAACTTCAAACACTTCTCAATTGCTTTGAGTCAATCGCAGAATTCAAACACACGCCCAAAGGAACAAAGATAATTTCCGGCGAAGAGAAGGAAGAATTGCGGAAAATTACCAAATCGCCGGCGAGGAAAAGTCGATGAAGAAGTTGAACTCAAAGTTCAGAACCAACACGACGGCACTGCGCTTCACCTATTAAATTATTAAAATTAAAAAAATATATATATACGGGGAAAAAATGGTCAATTTGGTGTCTTTAGCTGGGCCAGCCAACCCACGAGTTTTGGCCCAAATGCGAGCCATGTGTACATTAGTAGGGATATTTCGTTTACTTTTGTATCGGTTTAGTGTAATTTAGTTCGGTTTACTACTTATTTAGAGATAAATTCTTTAAAATCAGACCAAATTATAACTTTGTTTTTGATCAAAATAAACATGTAAAAACGTATCACTAAAATTGTGATGTGCATCTTTTTATTTGCAACGCATTATGCATGTATCTCACAGATTTTGATGCAATGTAACAGATAATATAACAATATTACATTAACAATTTTAAATTTCATACCTAATATTAATAGAATATAAAGATTGTAATTGTTTCTAAAATAGTAAGAAATAAAGTCTAATATGCGATAAAATAAACTTAAAGTTAAAAATTATTCGGAGAGCACTCAAACTGACGACGGTTGGTATTGAATGTTCAACTATAAATATAAGACAATTTTGGGTCTGTTTCTAAAGATCGAAAAAATGGTGAGGAAAAGCAAAGGTCGACAAAAAATCGAGATCGTGAAAATAAAAAATGAAAATAACCTTCAGGTTACTTTTTCAAAGAGAAGATCTGGCCTTTTCAAAAAAGCTAGTGAACTTTGCACACTTTGTGGTGCAGAAATCGCTATTATTGTATTCTCACCTGGTAAAAAGGTCTATTCTTTTGGTCATCCAAATTTTAATGTTGTAATGGATCGTTTTCTTAACTTTAACCCACCTCGTCCGCATCATCACAACAATATGCAACCTAATGAAGCCCGCCAAAATGCAGCTATTCAAGATCTCAACAATCATCTCACTCTGGTAACTCTACTTCTTCACTTTTTGGTTCTTCATTTGATTCAAATTTTATCATAACAATATAGTATCAAATATCAATTTATTTACCAGGCAATCAAAATTGTTTTTTTCTCAAAGTATTATATATATATAAATAATAGTTTGTTAGCTAACTAATAACTTTTAGACAAGCTAAAATATATTGTTTTATCTCCATTTATGAGAAAGTTGAATTAACATTGAAATATATTGAGTTTTAAAAGAGTAAATGTCCATAACTTTTTGGTTTATAAAAAAGAAAATCAATATATATTTATGAATTGCTCGATATAAACTCATTATATTCTAAAGAAGGTGAAATTTGCTCACACATGTAGAAATATATTCGTTTGAAATCGAAATATCAGTGTTATACATGAGTTGTTTGTTTTTGTAAAAGAAAAATATTAATTGAAAATGATATTATGTGAGATTTAATAAATTAATACAAATGAATAACAAAATTTATATTTACAGGTGTCAAATCAATTAGAAGCAGAAAAAAAGATAACCGGAGACTTAAAACAGAAGAGAAAAGATAATAAAGTGTTTGGGAATTGGTGGGAAGAACCAGTAGAAGAACTCAACATGACCCAACTCACTGAATTCCAATGTGGTTTGGAAAATTTGAGAAAAGCAGTGGCATATAAAGTCTCCAAGTACCATCAAGCAGATGTTGATCGTCGTAACTTTTATGCTGGAAGTTCTAGTAATTTTGCTTTTGGGATCTCAGGTGATAATAATATCAACAGTACTGAATTGGATCTGTTTAATGATCAAAGAATGGCGAGCATGAATTTGTCCAACTATAACCACAACATGATTGTTCCTAATCATACATCACCATTTGGGAATAATGGTAACAATACTCAAGGCTTTGCTCCGGAATACAAAGCGGAAGACAGCCAGAACCAAAGCCAATGTGTTAAGCAAGAAAATGTGTCTGAATATGCTCATTACCCTCACTTTGGACGTGATTACTAATAGTTTATGTTTTGTTGATTCGGCTTGATAAACACAGTTGTTTTTTTTGTTGTTATTTTATATTTAAGATGTCTTTACTTTACACATAATTACTTTAAGTTTTCCTTTAAGATATTGTTTCAATTCATAAACACAATGTTTTTGTTTTGTTTTGTTTTGTTTTGTTGTTGTTTTATACTTGAGATGTTTTAGCAACTTATAATGAACTATTCTTTTTTTACCAAATTCTATAATTTTAAATATTTTGAATAACTTTTTTAACAAATGTGTTTCTCCAATAACATCAGATATATAAAAGTTATATTTCCAACAAAAATGTATTATAGAAAACCAAAATCTTCCTATGTTCAATGCAATCTATATAATAGGACTCATTGCTCAAGTTGATCAAAAGGTTGAACGGCTTTAGAGATATACCTTAGTAATAATAATGTAAAAGCCCAAGCTCATAACTACATAAATCATTATAAATAATTGCAAATATTTAATACTTTAAACCAAATTAGAATGCACAATAGTTAGTTATTTTTAGAATTTAGAATCATGAAAAAATATATATACTATAGTTTCTTAAACAGAAATTTGTATTCTTAGTTCAATTAGAATGGTGATCATACCTAAGTATATCCAAGATTTTTATCTGATTCTAAATTTCATTGTCAACAAGATAACTTGGATCATTTCATGATTGTAATTCAAAAGTTATACACCGTTAATTACAAGCCGAGATTCAAAAGTAAATATTTATTACTAATAATTTTTATAATTTTGCATGACAACATATATAACATAAATATGTTTGTTTAATAGTACGACCCTATCGCATATATATAGTACGTATACTAAAAATAAATATAACTTAGTCAATATTAAAGAAATGTATGGAAACAAGAAGAGTTAATTTTTTTATGGAATATCATTTTTCTTATGAAATTTGATGATTTAACTTGTACGCATGTGTCATATATTGGTGTACTAACTAACAAAATAGAAATTTGGATTATAATATGAATGAGAGACCCTATACAGCTGCGGCTCGACAGTCTCCTCACGATCCTCTCTGTAAGACAGATTGGTCTTCTTATTAATCACTTGACTTCTATTCTTAATTATACTAGGGCGAAACCCGCGCTCCGCTGCGGGATATTTTTTTATTGTAAGTTTGTTATATATACGTATTTTAAACATCGAATATTAGCTGAATTTACATATTAATATTATTTTTATAACTTTGTTTCATAAAAACTATTGTATAATATTAATTCGGGTTTTGCGCAAAAAAACCCTCCAACTCGCTCATTTTTGCAACTTTACCCTCCATCTCCGAAAAATACAGATTAATACTACGAAGTCCCAAATAATGTGCAATATAACCCTTATTCGGGTATTGTAAACGTTTTTTCGGTCACATACATTGGTTTTTTAAAATTCTAAAAGTGGAGTTGAACTCTTCATCGCGAGGGCTTCGATTTGATATATCAAATGTCAAAATTTTACGAACTTGACGATAACGAATAAGGGTTATATTGCACATTATTTGGGACTTCGTAGTATTAATCTGCATTTTTCGGAGATGGAGGGTAAAGTTGCAAAAATGGGCGAGTTGGAGGGTTTTTTTGCACAAAACCCTATTAATTCTCATCAATAATGATTCAAACAAAAGTGTAGTCTGTACATAAATATATAAGCAGCAATTTATATAAGAAATATGTGGATCTTGGTTCAAGAACTAATCCCATGTCAAATTTTACAATCTCAAAATCACAGTAAACGTTATGATTCCACACTAATAACCAAAAACACCACTTCACCAAATCGACAATCCAAAAGACGTTACCAAGTTATTACGTTATTGGTTTGGCATTAAATAAACTTAATTCTTTTGGTTTAGTTGGTTTAACTCCCGGTTCAATAATCAATAAAAGCAAAGGCTATAGAAACAGCATTAATTTCGTCCAAAACGGAAAAGCATTAAGAAAACAAAGTTTGCTTTTTCTATGTTTTTTCTTATATCACTTATTGAAACATTTTTTTCCTGAGATCCAATTTCTTGGTCATTCTTTGACGAATTTATCGTTTTTGGATGTTGAAAGTGTTGATTTTGGAGATCTTTAGTTTTGGAGGTCTGTTCCCAGATCCGTATGATTTTATCGCCACTACAAAAGCAAGAACACCGTCGGCAGCGGGAATCCAGGCGATGCTCTAAACACGATCAGACATTCAAGCTTCTGAACTTTCACCAACTCCAGTTTCTTATCCATCAATATCAGCTCCAGACTCCAAATTCAAGAACTCGCTGGATCAATTTCAGCAGAGAAGCCTATAGATTCGACGAAAATATAATTTTTTGCTATATTAACATTGAAGAGCAGAATTAAGAGTGTCTTACTCAAATCAATGTTTCCAAAAATCAGATGGTGAATGGATTGTCTGTCACTTTGTCCTTAAATCTGTGAATTTGGCGATGATAAATTGATTCATCTTCACCATTCGCCATAGTGAGGAGCTCTATATCTCTCTCTTCCTCTTTTGAGAAATCTCTCCTTTCGAATTTCGAATTGTCTGATATAAAGATTGAGACTTGAAAATTGTTAATTCGGAAACAACAATGGCCTAACAATTTCCATTGACAATGAAACATTCTTAAATCCAAAAACCACAACAATAGAGATCAAATAAGACAAAACTTTTTGTACAACTTAAGTCTGAAATCAAAATCCAAATCAAACCGTTGAGAAATGTGGAGACTTACGAAGATGTGGAAGTTGGGAGTGGAGATGGGGACACAGTAACACAGCTCTTAAGTGGTTTGCAAGTCGAAGCCAACGAGCTGAGAGACTCAACGTTGAGTAGATACAATTAGAGCTTTGCATAAGATGTTGGGCTATTATTTTGGTTGGACCTAGACCTATGTTTATATACTCAAATTGAATACTAACTTTTCCCCGTAATTTGGAGATCCAGTCTTCGAATTTGAACATGAAAAGCTAATTAAGCTTTGCATAAGATGTTGGGCTATTACTTTGGTTGGGCCTAGGCCTATGTTTATTTTTATATTTGTTCTAGTGATGGAGAAAGAGTGACGTGGAAAAATAGAAAGTTATTACTGGCTGAGAAATGTGAACTGTATTAATCGAAATGTTTTCATTGGCCGACGATTTTAACGATGTGTCAAGCTGAGAACTGTCCAAAAAGCTGAGGTGTCAAGCCTGGAGAGACTCTTATTGTTTTTATTGTATTGATTATCTCTCAAACTCTTAAATAATTTATCACTCAACATTTAATTACAACCCATGCATAAATTTAACAAATACAGATTCAATCATAGTACCATACGTGTGGGAACAGAACAAAACGACACAAGTTAATAAAGGAAACGATAACACTAGGAAAAGCTTTTTAAACAATCTTTTATTATTTAAGATAGATTGAAGCCAGTGAAGATGATGCCAACTAAAAGACTTACGTGCTCCACTTTGAGGCCAGCTCATGACTCCAAGACTCCAAGTGATGAACAGAGAGACAGATAAAGATTGCGTAAGGTATGCTGCATCGTTTTTCTAACCCCTGCCTTCCTATTATTATCCAATGGCAGCGATTAACCTCTTGCGTCCACGGTGTTTTTTTACCAATTATTATATTTTATACTAATAATTTTAGTATCAAAAATCATACTATCAAATCAACTGAATATTTTAGCCTTGTACCATATCTACCGACTATACAAAAATGTCACACACCAAAATATAAAATATATCTACCGACTACAAATTATGGAGTACATCTCGTTTCAGTTTTTTCTAGGTTTTTTTTTGTTTTACAACTTCAAAGTTAATTTTGTTATTTATCTACTATTAGCATTTTTACGTATATATTAGTAGTGTAATTTTAATACTTTTAGTTTGTTAACAATGGCTTCGAATAAATAGACATTTAAGTTAATTAATAATTTATCAATTAAAAGAATAAAATTAATACTTTAACGTTTTAACCTTTTTAAATTCATAAATGCAAACCGTTATTTTTATCAATGAGTTCAATGATTTCTCTTATTATTTTCTGACATATCCATCGAAGAAAAAAGGTTTATGAAATAATGTGCACACCGTACTAACTCTCATGTTGATGGCGTGATCAGTTACGTTGAAAGGAATTCTAAGAAGTTATAGAGGGTCTGATTGGTAACAAGCTGTTAGCTGTTAGCTGGAGCGGTTAGCTGAAGCTGTTAGCTGTTAGGGAATAGTGCAAAACTGTACAAAAAAATAATACACTAAAGCTGTAAAAAAAATAAAGCAGAACAAATTTTTAAAATTTACTCTGATTGGAAACATTATAGCGGTAGAAATAATAAATAATATTAAGAGTTTAGAAAAAAAAAATTACATAGAAATGTATTTTAATATATAATTATATATGAAAATTTAAAATTATGTGATGACATTTAAATGGTTATGAAAAAATTAAAATTATACAAAAACGGTCCGGTTATGGTCCAAAATACGGTTATGATTAGCTTTTGGTCATGCCTAGTCGAAACCGTTAATTAACGGTAAACATATGAAAACCGTTATTTAACCATATGGTTAACCGCATAGTTAAAACTTTAAAAATATAATTGTAACTCCATATAATGCAAAAACAATTATCAAATGTTCAGATTAAGATTTTCAAAAAAGTAAATGATACCGCGTATGAAAAAATCTACGTTATAAAAAATGGTCTTTTCTCAAACAAATATGTTATACTGTTATTTTGCTCGAAATGAAGAAAATTTGGTTTGTAACATACTTTTTGATTTTATGAAAAGTATTATAATAAGTTAGGTAACTCGTAAGATTTCGCCTCCGATATTAACCGTATTGTAGTCATCAAATAACTATAACCGTAATTATCCGTAACCGTTGTAACCGTAACCGTAACCGTTATAACCGTATTTAACCGTAACCGTTATAACCGTATTTAATCGTAACCGTATTTAATCGTAACCGTATTTAACCATAACAGTATTTAACCGTAACCGTTTTAATTTGTTTTTGTTTTTGTCTAAAAAAAGCTGTTTATGTTATAGTGTACCGCTTTTCATAAAGTTTTTGTGATTGGTAACTGTCAAAGCTGTACAAAGCTGTTCAGCTTTAAAATGGGTTACCATTCAAAGCCAGAATCTTCTTAAAAAAGGAAACAAATAAATAAATACGATCAGTTTAAGTTTTCCTTTGCACTGATTTATACATTTCCATAAACATAACAGAAAAATATTTTTTACTTTTTCGGTTCAAAAATGGCAACAGCATAAAAAACAGATTAGGTAAAATATCGAAAACGTTTTGAAAAGTAAAAAATAAAAATTGATATGAAAAAAATAAGTCTGCCTCTCTGGATTCTGGTATATGATAGGTGAGGTTAATAAGCTCACTGTTTTGGCTTTGACCCCACAGAATCTGTATTTTATTTTGTAAAACCAAATATCTTTTTTATTTAAATTTAAATCCTAACATTAATTAATTAATTTATATACATTCCCCAGCTATTTTCCAGGCTGTGTTTCCTCTCCCAATTCTTTCCATTTTTATACCTTCTTCTTCTTCTTCTTCTCCTTCTTCACTCATATCTTTCTTCCTTCAACCTAAAAACCTGAGTGCTTTGCTTATTAGCCTTCTTCAATCTTCAAACGTTGTATCCAAATCTTAAACTCCATGGATCCGTGCTCTTTCGTACGGATCATCGTCGGAAACTTGGCCGTTAGGTTTCCGTCATCGTCTTCTTCGTCTTCTTCCTCATCAGGACCGTCTGTTTCCGGAATCAATCCATCGGCTCCTAACTGTTACTGCAAAATCAGATTCAAGAACTTTCCTCGCGAGATTGTTTCTATTCCGGTTATGTTTCGAACTGAATCTGAATCCGAGACTCGTTCTTCCTCCGGTAACGTCTCCACCGTCGCTGCTTGTTTCAGTTTAAGTAAAGCTCAGATCGAAGCGTCGCTGAAGAAACCTAAGTGGGGTGTTCTCTCCGTTGAGGCTTATTCCCGCGGAAATTGCGACGGAGACGACGGTGTTAGCGGCGCGTCGTGTGGACTCGCTACGGCGGGTGAGAAGTTGCTTGGTCGATTTGAGGTTTCGTTGGATTTGAAGTCGGCGGAGACGAAGACTTGTTTGGCGCATAACGGTTGGGTTGCTTTACCGTCTAAGAAATCGAAGAGTAAAACTGGATCCGATCCGGAGCTCCATGTTAGCGTTCGGGTCGAACCTGACCCGAGATTTGTGTTTCAGTTCGACGGCGAGCCTGAGTGTAGTCCTCAGGTTTTTCAAGTTCAAGGAAACACTAAACAAGCCGTGTTCACTTGCAAGTTCGGCTCCAGAAACTCCAACTCCGGTGATCGGAATCTTCTTCATAGGTCAGTTAACTCTTCATCTTCTCTGGAATAATTAAGAAATAGAAACATTGCCTTTTTCAGATAGATTCTTTACTTGATAACCTAGCAAACTTAGAATATGCATTTCATGTTTAGATTTACATAATTTGTTTGGTTATTGAGATTTGTTGTGATCTTGTATTGATTTTGTGGTTTAAATTTTGCAGTTCTTCGATGATGTCTGAGTCAAGCTCAACGAGAAGTTGTATATCGTCGCTGAATTCGGAAAAAGAACAACCGTCAAAAGAGAGAAAAGGTTGGTCAATAACGGTCCATGATCTCTCCGGTTCACCCGTGGCTATGGCCTCTATGGTTACACCTTTCGTTCCATCTCCTGGTTCGAACCGGGTGACTCGATCAAGTCCTGGAGCGTGGCTTATTCTTCGACCTGACGGTTGCACATGGAAGCCATGGGGAAGACTAGAGGCATGGCGTGAAGTCGGTTACTCCGACACACTCGGTTACCGTTTCGAGCTTTTCCAAGACGGTATCGCCACCGCAGTTTCCGCATCTTCGTCGATCAGTTTGAAAAATGGCGGGAGTTTCGTTATCGATGTTACCGGCGGGACAACCACGACGGCGTCTACGCCGACAACGAGTCCTCAAGGAAGCTGGGATCTCGGATCCGGTTCAAGCGCGGATTCGAGACCCGCGTCGAGACCAGGATCGGGCTCCGGGTCGGATTTCGGATATTTACTACCGCAACATCCATCGTCTGCGGCGGCGCAAAACAGAGGGTTCGTTATGTCGGCTACGGTTGAAGGAGTTGGGAAACGAAGCAAACCGGAAGTAGAAGTCGGTGTGACGCACGTGACATGTACGGAGGATGCAGCAGCGCACGTGGCATTAGCTGCGGCGGTGGATCTGAGTTTGGATGCTTGCAGGCTTTTCTCACACAAGCTAAGGAAAGAGCTGAGACAGCAAAGCCAGCTTGGTGTCGTTTGACTTGTTTCGCTTTGTCGTTTTACCAATTCATGAGTTGTCTTCCACTCAAAATTTTTTTTTTTTTTTTGAATTTTCTAATTTTCTCTTTAAGATAGCGTTAGGAATTAGCCAGCCAATTTTTTGAGAGGTGGATGTCATCATTATTAAAAATTGTTAATATCTTTCTCTGTACAGCTAAGAAATGACAGTAACAACTAACAAACAACTCATTATCTCTTTTAATTTGCCTCATTAACAAGACATGAGATTATTTTAATTAGTATGGGTTTTCACCAATGTAATTACCAGGAGGATCATAGTTGCATGTGATAAAAGTGCCACCACTGTTACACACAACTTTAGCACATCCCAATCGAACTGTGTTTCTCCAAACAACTTGTGTGTAATGTAGACACGTGCCACCGTTTGGATCATTACACGTGTTGCTATTGTAATCGTAGTACTGTTTCTCGTTGATCCACATTTCCGCAGCATCTTCAGCCGACATATCTCCACTACTCATAGCTATGTTCTCTCCAAATGGTCCATTCGAATGGACCAATGCACAATCATTGATCCTCTGGTTTGCATAGCTGGCGGCATAAGCAGCGACCTCATCGTCCCAAACCAATGGGTCAAGCCCAACCTCGCTCCGGGCTTCGTTGTGGGCCTCTAAGAATTCTTGTTGCAAATCTTCGGCTAAAGAGCCATAGAAAAGAGCAATTGCTAAGAGAAATAAAATGTTGGTTTTGAGTAGAGACATTGTTTACGTACTGGTGGTGAAGCTTAGGACTTAATTTCAGTATTTATATTTCAAAATTTAGAATAGTTAACAACTTTGGATTGGCTGTCAAAAAAAAAAAACAGCTTTGGATTGTAACAAAAAACAAATTCTGTTAGTTTTGTTTACCATATTTACCGGGCCTTGTGACCTAGTGGTAAAGGGGTCACGGCTGTGACTTCCGCCACCAGGGTTCGAGGCACGGCCACTGGCGGATTTACATGAGGGAATCGCCAGCTCCCCGAGATGTGGGGTACCCTAGGGCAGATGACGCATGTGGGTCCCATGCTAGTCGGTTCCACTTCGGTGGGGCCGGACACCCGAGTTATTAAAAAAAAAAAAAAAAGAAAAAAAAAAAAAAGAGGACCATATTTACATACTCTCCATATTAAAAAGACAGCTAGTCAACGTTACATTCTATTCTTTGTATTCATTGGATTTTGCTATTTTTGGATTTTGAATATTTTGTACACGTCTCTCTTGATAACGATTAATTTTGAAATCTTCTAATTTTGGAAAAAGTTTAAAATCTAGTAATATTCTGTTAGATAACCACTAATCAGTATTAGTTTTATAGAAATGGTGTAGGAAATAAATCTATTTGTAATGTATCCAACAGATTTGATTCAAGTAATTAAAAGAAATAGTTCATCACTTTGACTTTTGATTTTTTTACAGTCACTTTGCCTTCCACAAGTTATTTGTAATGTATCCAACAGATTAGATTCAAGTAACGATTCTATTTCTAATACAGAGCCCAAGACAATCATTGGCCCTTATGTTGTATCTTCTACAATGGCCATTTTATAATTATAATTTTTTACTTTATTTAGGTTCTATATTTCAATATTCACAAAAGCCCGAGAAAAAAATTAACTTGGAAACAAAATTATATGTAGATGTAAACGTTTTGGTGCATGAATCATGAATGTAATAAAATCCATAAAAGGCAATAACATAAAAGAAAATAAAAATGTTTTTCAATTTTCAAAATTTTTCATACCGCCTACCCAATTTTCTTTCTTCACTTCCGTCCACCAACAACAACGACGAGACACCGCCGCTTTTTTTATCCTTCAGACGTAGAGAACAATGTTCCGGCGATTATTTATCGTTCGCCTTCTCTTTTTAATTCCACTGGCTTCATCGAGATCCAACCATAGTCAAGAAGTCGAGAATCTTCTCAAACTGAAATCCGCCTTTGGAGAAAATGACGAAGTCTTCGCCACATGGACTCACCGGAACTCGGTATGCGAATTCGCCGGAATTTTATGTAATTCCGGCGGAAACGTCACCGATATCAATCTCGGAAGTCAGAGTTTGATCAATTGCGACGGCGGTGGTAGAATTACTGATCTTCCTTTCGATTCAATCTGCGATTTGAAGTTTCTGGAGAAGCTTCTTCTAGGAAACAACTCCTTGAGCGGCCGGATTAGTAAGAATCTCAGGAAATGTAATCACCTGAGATACTTAGACCTCGGCATCAACAATTTCTCCGGTGAGTTTCCGGCGATTGATTCATTACAATTACTCGAGTTTTTGAGCTTAAACGCTTCTGGAATCTCTGGACTATTCCCATGGAGTTCTCTAAAACACCTGAAGAGATTGAGTTTCTTAAGCGTTGGAGATAACAGATTCGATCCGAATCCATTTGCTAGAGAGATTCTAAATCTCACTGCCTTGAAATGGGTTTATCTGAGTAATAGCAGTATCACTGGTAAGATTCCAGAGGGAATCAAAAACCTTGTTCATCTACGAAACCTTGAGCTCTCTGATAATCAAATCTCTGGTGGAATTCCAAAGGGAATAGTTCAGCTCAGAAACCTAAGGCAGCTTGAGATTTACAACAATTACTTGACCGGTAAGTTACCATTCGGGTTTCGGAATTTGACGAATTTGTGGAATTTCGACGCCTCTAACAACTCCTTAGAAGGTGATTTGTCCGAGCTAAGGTTCTTAAAGAACCTTGTTTCTCTTGGATTGTTCAAAAACCGACTAACCGGTGAGATTCCAAAAGAGTTTGGAGATTTCAAGAGTTTAGCTGCTTTGTCTCTTTACAGAAACCAACTCACTGGGAAGCTTCCGAAGAGACTCGGATCTTGGACCGGTTTTAGATACATCGACGTGTCTGAGAACTTATTGGAAGGTCAGATTCCTCCTGATATGTGCAAGAAAGGCGCAATGACGCATCTTCTGATGTTGCAGAACAGATTCATAGGACAATTTCCAGAGAGCTATGCTAAATGTAAGACTCTGATTCGTCTTCGTGTAAGTAACAACTTTCTCTCTGGTGTGATTCCTTCATGGATTTGGGGTCTTCCTAATCTCCAGTTTCTTGACCTTGCTTCAAACCATTTTGAAGGAAACTTCACTGATGATATTGGTAATGCCAAGTCTCTTGGTTCTTTAGATTTGAGCAATAATAGATTTTCGGGTTCTCTACCGTTTCAAATCTCAGGAGCTAACTCGTTAGTGTCGGTTAATCTTCGAATGAATAAGTTTTACGGGATAGTTCCTGACTCTTTTGGTAAGCTTAAGGAGTTGTCAAGTCTCTATCTTGACCAGAATAATCTATCTGGTGCTATACCAAAGTCACTAGGCTTATGCACATCTTTGGTTGATCTAAACCTTGCTGGAAACTCACTCTCTGAAGAAATCCCGGAAAGTTTAGGATCTTTACAGTTATTGAATTCTCTGAATCTGTCAGGAAACAAACTATCAGGAATGATTCCTGCTGGTTTATCGGCTCTGAAGCTAAGCTTACTTGACTTATCCAACAACCAGCTAACTGGTTCTGTTCCAGAATCTCTCGAAAGTGGAAACTTTGAAGGAAATTCAGGGCTATGCAGCTCAAAGATCGCATATCTTCATCCATGTCCCCGTGGAAAACCTCAAAGCCAAGGGAAGAGGAAACATTTGTCTAAGCTCAACATTTGTTTCATCGTTGCAGCGGTACTTGCTCTGTTTTTCTTATTCATTTACGTGATCTTCAAGATAAGACGAGATAGGTCGAATCAAACGGCTCACGGGAAGAACAACTGGCAAGTGAGCTCTTTCCGGTTACTAAACTTTAACGAAATGGAAATCATTGATGAGATCAAGTCAGAGAATCTCATAGGCAGAGGCGGTCAGGGGAATGTTTATAAAGTAACACTAAGAAGCGGTGAAACACTAGCTGTTAAACACATCTGGTGTCAGGAGAGTTCCCACGGAAGCTTTAGAAGCTCAACGGCGATGTTAAGTGACAGCAACAACAAAAATAATAACCGAGAATTCGAGGCAGAAGTCGCGACGCTAAGCAATATAAAACATATAAACGTTGTGAAGTTGTTCTGCAGCATAACGTGTGAGGATAGTAAGCTGCTTGTATATGAGTATATGCCTAATGGAAGTTTGTGGGAGCAGCTGCACGAGCGTCGTGGTGAACAAGAGATTGGGTGGCGTGTGAGACAAGCATTGGCTTTAGGAGCTGCTAAAGGGCTGGAGTATCTTCACCATGGGTTAGATCGGCCGGTGATACATCGAGACGTGAAGTCCAGCAATATATTGCTTGATGAGGAGTGGAGACCGCGGATTGCTGATTTTGGATTGGCTAAAATCATTCAGCCTGATTCGGCTCAACGAGAATTATCGGATCCTCTTGTTAGAGGAACTCTTGGTTACATTGCCCCCGGTATGTAGAATCTTCAAGTTTCGTTTTGTTTTGAATAACAACCATATGACTATCCAATTTTACAACCTTATCCAAACTTCTCCTACCATTAGGTTAACTTATCTTCGGGTTTCTTGCTTATCAAGCTTCAAATTCCTTTCATTTCGTTGTTGTTCACAGAGTACGCGTATACTACCAAAGTGAACGAGAAGAGCGACGTGTACAGCTTCGGGGTGGTGTTAATGGAGTTGGTGACAGGGAAGAAGCCTGTGGAGACAGAGTTCGGCGAGAACAGTGATATAGTCATGTGGATTTGGAGCATGAGCAAGGAGATGAAGAGAGAAATGATGATGGAATTAATCAATCCGAGTATAGAAGATGAATACAAGGAGGATGCTCTTAAAGTATTGACCATTGCTTTATTATGCACGGACAAGTCTCCTCAGGCTAGACCGTTTATGAAATCAGTGGTTAGTATGCTAGAGAAAATAGAGCCTTCCTACAAGAACAATGGAGAAGCAAGTTACGATGAGAGTGCTAGTGATGAGATTACTAAAGTTGTATAACGCATAATCTCATATATAAATTGCACTTGATAATTATTAATCGAGCTAAGGCTCAAGAATATTAATTCTTGATTGGTTTTAAAATTATACAAAGTTCTTAAGAGAAAGATTCTTCGACCATTCAAGAGTTTTGTATATCATCTACGTGGACAAAAAACAGTAGTTTTAAATACTTAACACGGTTTTTAACTATAACAAGATGAATTTAGATAATTATTGAAATATTAATTTTGGAGAGATAAGAAGATATAAGCAAAAAGATGAAGCAAACCGTAGTTAATTATTAAATAACTTACAGATCAACTTTTATAAAATACATTGCAACGACATGACATGCATGATCATGATGACAAACACAAAGATCAGAGACATCTTCAGATGTTTCTTACATAAGTTTTGTATACACACACATATATAAGGGATTGGGTTTCAAGTTTCAACCCTGGTGGTAACGGTCAATCTCCACCGTCCATCCCTTGGTATCCTCGACCCGACCCGTCTGGATATCATTCAACGTCTCGTATAGCTTCGCAGCCAATGTTTCTTCTCCTGTTTTGAATGCAGTCCTGTATTGAGTTTATACACTCAATTATTTCAGTCAACTTAACTTATGAAAAAGAAAATCATTAAAATAGACATTTTGGATTAACAAACGGAAGAAAATATTACTTTTTGTCTTTGAAGGTTACGGATGCAATACTAGTCACAATTGAAGCAGTCCCAGTACAGAAAGCTTCGTCCGCATCGAGAAAGTCCTCTAGAGGAATCACACGTTCCTCGACCTTTTACAACGAGAAAAACAAAGGAAATTATTATACATGCATGATGAATATTATTAGTTAGGAGATTTTTTCGCAAATTACAAGATCAACTTGAATCAAATATATATCTTCATGTATGATATTGAAATATTCCAACCTGGTAGCCGAAATCACGACATAATTCCATTACACAGTTTCGTGTGACTCCGGGCAAAATAGTTCCTGCAATTGTTGGAGTCGATACAACATTTCCCTATATACAAAAATATCACAACGATCGATCTTATTTATATTCTACAACACTTCTATAAATCACAACATTTCCATATATTTTGTATATTTAATTTTTACCTTGAGCATAAAAATGTTAGCTGCGAAAAGTTCTTCGACGTTTTTGCCAGTTGCAGCATCCAAAAACAAAATATCAGAGAAACCTTGTTTTTTCGCCTCTGCCAATGGTATCCAAACCTTGGACAAGATATTTCCCATTACAATCATTTGGAGAATGTAAAACAATCATTTAAATATTAAAATTTGATGTATATTTTAAAAACTTACAGGAGAATAATTTGTGATGCTCTTTACACCACCAGTTCCACTAGGAAAAGCTCGACGAAATTTATCCTCGATTTTCAAATTCAAACCAGAGTTATCCTATACCAAAAAGAATCCCAAATATAATCAAATTTAACAAAACAAGTTTCATATATTTTTAATTTAAAACCAACTCCCAATAAGTGAGTTGATGTAACTTTTTTATATATTTCTTTAGACCCATAATTTCAAATGCAAACAATTTTTTTAAAAAAAGAAAAAAAAACGTTAAGAAAACTCACCTTATGATAACGTCCAACAGGACAAGCAAACGCTGTGAAGGTGGTCTCAGGAATAGGAAATGAACCAAGAATCGGACCACTTCCAAACAAGATAGGCCTGATATACAATGTTCCTTTCCCCGGAGGAGGAATCTACATATATATAAGAAAACCTCATTAATTATATCTTTCATTTTATAAGTTTTTTTATTTTTATTTTATCTTAAGAAATTCATACAATATAATTTAAAGATATATACCCATTTCTTGTTGGCAAGAGCAACTTGTTTGATGGCGGAGACAAATTGATCGACCGAAGGATAAGGCATATAGAGTCTGTCGGCTCCGGCTTGAATACGGAGACCGTTTTGGTCTGGTCGGAATAGCAGAATCCGACCATCTTCTGTCCTGTAAGCCTTCAATCCTTCATATAAACCCTAATCATACCCAAACCACCATTATTTCAGTATATTAGGATCAAACAATTACTTAAGAGTTGTTGCGAAATTAGGTCACAATAAATTGATAGGAATATCAATATATACTTTCAAACTATTTCGGTTAGTTGATATACATATATGTATAACGACTCTTTCATTTTTGAATAGTTTAATATATAGCTCAAACAGGTATGCATGCAATAGCTGTTAAAACAATTATATATATGGTAATTAGCTCAATCATCATCTTACTATCAGTGAAAGCTATTCATGTGTTATTAGTTTTAAGTTTCATCTAATTAATAAGAATCTATATACATTCTATTAAGTCATAACAAACCTGGCCATACTGAAGAACAGCAGCGCAAGGGTTAAGTTGCAAATCAGCAAAAGGAAGAATCTTTCCCTCTTGAAAACTCTCACCATGATTGCACTTCGCAACATACATATAATCCGTACGAACAAATCCGAATGCCAACTCTTCCCATTTGACATTGGCGTATTTTTCATCCGAAACACTGTAAAGTTTGTTATATAATAACAAAAATCGTCGTCAATATAGTTCATACTATCAGATTTTAAACAAGTAACCGCCAGAGTATTTTACTTTTCTTGAAATATAATTTTTCTGTTTTATTTTCTTCGATGATATAGAAATATTTTACCTCATAGGAAGAGGTTGCGCAGAAGGAGCCATGGACGTGCTGTTTGAGTCGAGTTGCTTTGTTGTAAGAAACTTGAGTTGTCTATAAAAGCTTTGGACTGCTTCTCTTTATATATACGCTTACAACAATTTCTTTATGTAATAATAATAACCATAAAACGAAAATAAATAGAATCTCTTTAATCCATTTCTTAAAAAAAGAAATAGAGCTTGTTTTACTTCAAGTCACGTGTCTTTTAGTATATGTATCATCATCTATTGTTATTTTTAATTTTTTGATATTACGATTATATGTTATTGTACATACTTATCAATCAAAAAGTTACTAGGTGGAAGTAAAAAGACAAAAGAAAAAAAGTTACTCAGTGATCAGTTTTACGTTTATTCAAGAGTTGTAGTTTCTTATTTGTTCTCAAGTTATATGACTAAAAATTGGTCGGTTAATTACTAACTTTTATCAAAAGAATAAGCGGAACTCTAGTTAGATCACAAGATAATCATCACGTGGAGAAACATTTGGTTCTCGTCACGTGGAGAAAACGTTAAGCTTATTTTACTTTTTTATTATTCTTTTGAGTAAATGGCTGAAAGAGAGAGAGTGTTTAAAATGTGAATGCGCTCGTAGTTAGGTGGAGGTTAATGGGTAGCAGGGTAGGTCATATGTGTATATTAGTGATGGATAAGAATTTAAAACATATATAAAAACTTCAAGCTGTAAATAATCTATTAATTATAGAAACATAAAGATATAATCAAGAACCATATAACTAAATACAACACTTTTGATTCAAAAAGCTTTTTTCTACTCGGAATGTTTGGGGCAGATTACCCGTCAAGATACAACGAAGCAATAGTGAATATATATTTATTTAGACAATGATGATAGTATGATACGACTAAATTCTACACAACTTAAATTTGCAAACATTGGACCAAAAAGCGAACACTTGATTACTTGAAACGACAACGTTCGTTAGTACTTTAATTTTTGGACATCCAAAGTTGCAACACATGAGATTGTTTCTTAACCTCTAAATATTAAGCAATATTGAACTTGAGTCACTGCTGAACCGAAGGAGCCTTTAGATTTTGAGCAAATTCGTGAGAGTTTAGCTTCTCATTCATCACCCTGAATTTCTCTTTTATCCTCTTTATCTGTCCAAAACATGACCACACAATTAAATTAACATAATGTTTGTTCTTCTGCATAGTTAGTTCCAATGGCAAATAATATGATCATAAAAGTCAGGGTTTAAGTTTGGTTTACCCTTCTGAGCTCGATCTCTGTGCTCCGTTTCTTTTGATCAAGTGATTGCCGGAGATTTGTGATGTCGAAGATACTATCGAGGTCGTCTTCAAATGCGTTTTCCAACTCTTCCCGGAGAAGAGCAGGTAACTTATCAACGATGGGCATTAGAAGAAAACAGTTGAACTGCATAACAAAAGAAAACACAAATGCAAACTTTTAAAAGAAATGTCACATTAAAGGCAAGAATCTGAGTGAAAACTGAAGTAGGAGCAAACCTTTAACTCAGCAGAGGCGAGAAAGTATTCTCGTATGCCCTGAAATATCTGTTGGACCAATGCGTACACAATTCTCTCAGAGGAAGGAGCAAGCTTGCGGTTCCAAAGCGTGCTATCTAGAAGATCAGCCAACCGCATTTCTGTTGTCTGAATACTGGAACCTGAATCGATGTTTGAGGCGAGATGGCTTAGCTTTACATCTGTTCTTGACTTTGTGTCTGTTGTGCCACCTGGTGCATCTTGGGGAAGACTAAATCCTATGGCATTACCTGATGTAGTAAGTTGCTCTGTTCCGCCAAATGAGTCCAAGAATTGACGTAGACCAGCTCGGTTCTACATAACATTGAGAAGAGAAAACTAACGAATTAGAAACGCTGAAACGGAAACCAAATTCGGATGAACTTTTATGCATCCTTAATGAAAACAGTTTTACTTCTAGTGTTAATTTGATATGCACAAAACTCAAGTGAATTGAAACAGAGCTATAAAGCTGTAGCAGTAACCTTGTTGTGAAGAGACCATGTAACATAGCGAGTTGTACTTGCTAAGTCCTCCATACATCTGGAATCAATATAAAAACCAAAGGGATTTTAGTCACTTAAGCTCACTAGAACACAGGTAGGAGGCATTAGATCACTAACAACAGACAAGTGCAGGACTTGCAAAAAGATTACTTGTCACGACATGATTTTTCTGTGGACTCCACAAAACTGTTGAAAGCTGAAGCAACCCGCTTGAGAAACACCTCATGTCCACTTAAGTATTCCCCTTCTTTCTATTCAAATTTCAAACATATATCAAGAAATTTGCTGGAAAGGGAACATGAGTAGGAGCGTCAAACCAAAGAAAACAGTGCCTACCTGAAGAAGATATACAGAAATTGGAAGCAATCTCTTGAGAATGTGTAGAAGCCTCGCCCCCAACTATACCAACGCAAAACGAAAGAAAATGAGAACTGAATTCCTTCCATGTATATCTAAACTGATTAATGACATTGCTATTCATCATCCACGAAAGAAGAAGAAATTAGTAGATATATCGTTGTCACCTGATGAAGGAAAGGTTCAAACGTTTCACGAGCCTTCGCAACTGCTATAACACAAGCTGTTCTGCAACAGCAAGTAAGAGAAAAGAGAATAAGGGGTCCATAAAAACATGACAAAAATTGCAGCTCAGATTAGATACAGAAAATGGGTCTGAGATGCAAACACAATAAAATTCAGAAGTGTGGTGCATGTCAGTCAATGCTATGAAACCTGGAATAGTTTGTTCCATCATGAATATCTTCAACTCCACATGCATTTACAATTTCCTCCCGTGTTATTGGGGGACATTTGATAGCACCAACTAGAAAACGAAACTCGGCCATGGCACGGTGATACTGCGCACCCCCATAAAGACGCATCCCTGCATTCTGTAAATGAAAAAGAATTTGTTTATGTTCTCTCCTAATTCTTGAAGGTCCAATGAAGTATCTCTTTTCTTTGTTTCCAATATATTGTTCTTTGGCACATATGTTTCATGTGGTCAAATTTATCTCCCATCATATTAGAATCCATGTACAAGAAGAAGACAACTGGATTTTGAAGTCCGTGCCGAGCTTGCTCTATAAAGTAAACAATTTTCTGCTTCAAGAGAATCACTTACTGGTATTAGCTTATGTGGGAACTGGAGACCATCAGTACCAACAAATGCTCCTCCTTGTGTCCTTTCATCTTGCAGTGTCTCACCTGAAAAACACCATGATAAATTATTAACTATCAAAGAACCCAACATAAACAGAATGCTGTTATAAAATGTGCCTCTGCCAGTAACTAAAGTATCATGACCAATGATGGATTGATTAGCATACATCATTACATGTGTAATTATCGCAGTCTGGTGACCCAGTCGAATTGAACAACATGCATTTAACTAAACTGATCTTGCAAAAGTCCAATTTAACAGCACCCACAAGCCACAACTAAGAAAAATTCTTGCAAAGAAGTTGACTAGCAGAGAACAGAGCAGTAACATTACCAAATTTATCAGGAGGAGCCACAACTGTTCCTTTCAATAACAGCGATAACTGGTCAAGAAAAATATAAACAAAATAGGTGAGAAAACACAACACTGATCAATACTAACAAAGGCACTTCGTAGGTCAATCAGAGAATATGACGCAGCAATTTTAGAGTCTTAAGGGCATCCAACCCAACAAGTTTACAGCCATTCTAAATTTGTAGCAAGTCCTAGATATCATTTACTGTTGCATAATTTTATGTGTCAATAATCAATAAACAGTTTTTTTTTATGTGTCAGTAAATAAACCAAAAAAAAAGTGAAGTTTACAAAAATGAACTTGCTGTGATCTAAAAACTATTATTCCAAGAGTCTAGGCACAAATGAAAAGGTATGTGAAGGTGTAAATAGAAATCTTAAATATCGAAATGCTCTCCACAGATACCTTGGTTAAGAAGAGATCATGGAAAGTCCTGCCTCTCTCTTTGAGTTTTGCTTCATCTAAAGAGCTGCATTGAAAGGAAAGAATTCGACCACCAATGAGTTATATTTTCTTAAATCAGTAGATAACAATCAAACTGCCTAACATCAAGTAGACGTTTTCAGACAAAACAAATTGCAACCTAAGTTCCTTGCTAACGGTATCCAGCTTTCTGACTGTACTGCGGTACTCCTTTCCTAACAGTGGAATGATCAACGGAACACTCTCTTTGTACCTGGAAAGAGAATGACATCAAGACTACAGCGAAAAAGTAAACTACAGAGGAAACAGAGGCTGAAAAATCAGAGAGTTAAAAAAACAGTTATACCTTTTCCAGAGTAGTTCTTCGAGAAACAACCTCAGTTTACTGATGCCAATCCTACTCTTTTCCTGTTTTGTCAGCAAACGGCCCAACTTCTTCTCTAAAGATGCAATGTCTTCCATTTCTCTAAGTGACACAGCCTGCAATAAAAACCACACATAGTTTAGGAAAAGACCTCTTTTTAATTTGTTTTAAGGAATCAGAGAGAAGAGCAGAGACCTGTTTGAACTCGTCATTAGACTTATATACTGAATCCTGTCCATAGCCAACTCTTCCAGAAGGCACAGACGTGAAAAAAGGAGAATCGCCCAATAAGGAGCTGTCAAGTGCGCTTGCAGGAGGTGAGAGGAAGACTTCCACGTCAGATGAACATGAGAATTGAGGGATTTTGGTGTCAAGCTTTGTAGAAACAACAATCGTCCTAGAAAGCTCAGGATCAACCTACATGAGTAAAAGAAACAAACTGTAAGAGAAAAAAAAAAAGACAAGTTTAGACGCAATGGAGTTACGTCAAGTCTCATACTTGCATCACTATCCTTCGAGTAGTTGCAATGCTCCAGTCACTGCTATCTTCAAGGCATAAAATAATGAACTCTTTGTGTTGCATCTTGGCTCGGACTAGAGCTTCCACAGCCCGTGCTTGAACCTAAACAAAAGAACAAGTGATCACTCTCAGATAAAGCAAAACCCAAAACATAAACTCAGCCAGGGAATTGTAGAAAAAAAACCTGGAGAGCTCGGTTTTTCAGTCCTGGTGCAGGAGCTATAAGTCCAGGTGTATCAATGATGGTAAGGTTGGGACAGTACTTATACTGCACTTTCACAATAATCTCCTTAGAAGAGAATGGGCATGGCTCTTGCTCCAGCCTCATGTTCTCGGCTTCAATATATGCCTAAAATCCAAATCATTTCGTTAACATGAGCATTTTGCTTCTCTACAATAAACCTAAGTACTAGTGTATCTCAACATTCGTCAAATTTTCCAGAATTACGCAGAAACAAGCAATTGAAGAAGCAGAAGTAACAATAATAACAAAACACCTGAATTTGTGAGAGAGATTTGGGAAGAGAAACGGAAGGATCATCATCAGATCCGAGATGACAAAGCGGGAATTGACACTGAGGATCGTACTTCATATGAAGAGTAATCGGCCGGCGAGTCTTGGTTCCGCCACCGACGTGGTTAAATTGAAACCCCATGAGAGCTTCAACAAGCGCACTCTTACCGTCCGTCTGCTGTCCCACCACAAGAACCGCCGGTGCTTCGAACGGCGTCTCCAATTCCTGCGCCAAAGCGTGTAACTCATTGTAAGCTTCGTAAAGACTCCACCGCTCCTCAATCGCCGCCTCCGCCGCAGCGTCGTCCTCCTCAACCGTCACTGACTTCGGCACTGTCACATCCGACATCGTCTCTTATGAAGATGAGAGTAGAGGAAGAGTGTGTGTGAGTCTTTTTTCTACTCTTCCGCCATGGAATTTGCAGATACGGCTCGTTTCAATTTAAATATTTTTCGTCAAAAAGAAATACGTACATTTTTGTGTGGTTTAATCCCACACGCGCTCTCATGGCGCGTCGAATAAACGTTGTAACAGTTCTCCGCTAAACTAAAATAAAAAAGCGCGTGAGAATAGAAGGAACTCTTTTTTTTTTGGTCGGCAAATAGAAAGCTTTTTTTCCTTTTTGTTGTGTTCTCTCACTTTCTTTTTGTTGACCAATAGTATATACTGAAATATTATCGCAAAGGATTTGTGAGATTACTCGACGAGGAACCAGAAATATTTTGAGCAAATGAAATGAAATTATGATTAAATTAAAATAGTGACTTTTATTGTTACGATATGGAAAAAAAAATCAACGAGTTCTATTGTTAAAGAGAGACATTGAATCTAACAAAACTGGCTTAGAAGCCAAAAGGAGACTTAGTCCGTGTCCCTCCTTCACCGTATTGCTCGTTCCATTTTCTCAATTCGTTCATTGTCGTCGCGTCGTATGCCACAGACGGACTTACCTGCATATTACATTAAAATGATGCAATTTCGATATTGCAAACATAAACAGAGATATTGTTTTCTCTTATAGACATTGATCCAATACCTTAGCTTTAGATTGAATGAAGTCGTCCAAACTCAGTGGTCGTAGATCAGGGGATGCATTTGCTACTGAGTCCTGAGCATTCGACGTTGCAAAAACAGTGAGTGATTACAATCATTCTTTTCCACCACAACAAAAATCAACTGTGCGGGTTTTATGCAAGTCCTTACCTTGTTTTCTTCTTGTAACAACTCTTGCACAGGTCTGTATGCAGCAGCTATGCATAGATTCTGCAATGTAAAAACCAAAAGGAATTACAACTACTATAACTTTCGAGTGTTGCATCATCATACTCGAACTTGTAAATTAAACCCCGAATGAACAAACCTTCAGATCGCTTCCTGAGTATCCTTCGGTTTCCTTTGCAAGTTTTTCAAACTCGAAACCAGTTTCAAGATTTTCTGGTGTCAGGAATATCTTCAAAATCTTCAACCGGTTTTCCGCATCTGGTAAATCGACATATATCCTATATACAGAAGCCTCAATACAATCATCAAAATGAGACAAATATTCCAAAGGAGAAATTACTTGACAACTAATTTACCGTCTTGGTAGCCTACGAATGACAGCGTCATCAAGATCAAAAGGTCGGTTGGTGGCACCGAGAATGAGAATCCTTTGGCTATCTTTTGATCTGAGTCCATCCCAAGCTGCCATAAACTCATTTCTCATTCTTCGGGTTGCCTCATGCTCAAAAGCACCACCACGAGCACCCAACAAACTGTCAACCTACTCGACAACAAAAAATATTACAGTCAATCCTTGAGAAGCACATATTACGCATCACAAAAGTATTCCTCATAAAAAGCAATAACCGAAATTGAAAAGTGATAAAAAGCTAAACAATTTCTCACCTCATCAACAAATATAATGACAGGGGCTAGTTTGCTTGCAAAGGAGAACAAAGCCTTTGTGAGCTTCTCTGCATCTCCAAACCACTGTGCCAAATAATGGACGAAGTTGACTTAAGTCAGAACTAATTCGAGGTAAAGTTGGAAAGAGATTTACTCGAGTTACAATCGGCATTGACCATATTAAGTCGGTGACCGGGGTGGTAAGGTTTTTATTATAAGTCATTTATTATATGAATACGTTTACAAAGTGATAATTTATAGTTGGAATATCAATTTAACAGTGCAATACAACATAGTTAAAGGATCCATGTACCTTTGAGGTAAGCGTTGAGCCAGTTATGCTAATGAAGTTCGCCCCAGCTTCTGTTGCAAGCGCCTTGGCAAGTAGCGTTTTACCCGTACCAGGAGGACCAAAAAGCAATATGCCTTTACATGGCTGGAAAAAGAAGACCCACACCATCAAGAAAATTCAGCCGAGGAAATTACAAGTCCGTAGGCAAGAAAATAATGACATGTATATAACAGAATGTAATACCCGCAAGAGATTTCCACGGGTGAAAAGCTCTGGCCTTCTCATGGGAAGAATAACCAACTCATTTAGTGCCTTTTTCACATGTTCAAGAGCACCAATGTCGTCAAACTTTACCCCAATTTCTCCAGGAGCAACCACAGCTGAGACAAAATTTGTTTCGTACTCATCCTTTGCAATATTCTGCAAAAACAGAAATCTCTGTTAACATTATTATTACTCAGAGTATTCAGCATCCATTTGCCAGACGACCAGAGAGGGAAGAAACTAAACCTTCAAGTTATGTGTGGGCTTTCGAGAAACATCTTCTTGTGCCTTTAGCCTTTTAACTGAAATCTCAATGCTTCAAAAGAGGAAGACAATAGTAAGATAAAATAAAATCAAGATAAATCATAGACCTCAAAGATCAATCAACAACCATGCCATTACCTTTCACGGGGCAGAATCAGGTGGCCTTCTTTAATCGATGGGCTAGGACAAGAAGATAAATAGTGGTTTCTGGCCCAGCCAATAACTTTCTCCGCTCCTGGAAAAACAAAATAAACAAGTTTCTGAGCTCTCTTGGTCACAACAAAAGTAATTGGGTTTTCATCACAGAAAGCAAGAGATAAAATTAAATGATTGATCAAATAAGAAGACCGATATCAAGGTCAATCACATGGAACTGCATCCTTTTTCATGTAATATAATCATAATACTAGCTATATAGCGGTCTCCTAAAACCATATTCTTGCCATCATAGCAACAAATGACATACATATTCTTGCCATCATAGCAACAGTTAAGGCATGCTTGATATCCTCAATCAGCAACTTTAACATACTTAACACTGCTAAGACATAACGAGTAAACACATACATAATAAACCAGGTATTTCATAGGAGTTACACACTTTGCTTTGTCAATATCACGCCATCGGTGTTCACTTGGTACAAGTCAGTGCACAACAACTCGTTTTCCTCAAGCGCCTGGAAAAAATGGTTCTCAAAGTGTTACAATGGTTATGATAACATCACAAATTGACTTTCATTTCTCTAAACGAGATTCAATCTAGATCTATGTACCTTAAGTAGCTCATTTAAATTGCTCCGTGACACCACAATTCTTCTGTCTTCTCCGAGTTGTTTGTTGAATACTACGAGGTTATCTTCTTCCTGCATCAAATTTAGAAAAGAAGAAAACAAGTACGGCATTGATAAGCAAGACTTGTGGAACAAATAAATTTCAAGAAGAAGATAGCAGCATGAGCTATGTTGGGCATTTGGATCCCAGATATCGATTGCAGATGATTTAACATTATCCCAAAAGTGACTTTGAAGGAAGTTTGCATATATTTTCTCATATAACAAAGTCACAAGTTTTCAAATAGCTTTCCTACTTTATCCTAATGTCCGTAACGTAAGAGGAATTAGCAGAGATATTTTCTCAATAGACATTATCTGATTCTAAACCAGTCTAAGTCTATACAATTTCACATAAATACGAAAAAAACACATCAATGCAATTTTCATCGGTTATCCAAAATCATGTACGAAAGTTATCAAAAGTCATAAGGCATACCTTAGGAGGGAGTAGGTTCATAACATTAGTGAAGAGCTTGTATATCTCATTATCCTCTGATGTTTTCCTTCCCGTGAGTCCTTCAGTGAGATGCTTCAACGGAAGGGGCTGTAAGACACAACAGCTTCTATGATAAATATTTTGGAGTGTAGGGTTTGAGATTTATCAAATGCAGACCAATAAATGGATGTATGGTAATGTCAAGAAGGTGAAGCGAAGCATGCGAATCCACATTCAGAGACTTGCACATGCTAAGCTAATTTGACCACAAGTATCAAAATGCGACTGACAAAAAGTCAGGACTAAATGCATGCTCAAGATGTTGAATAAATTGATAATGTTAGTAGTTGGTGTGCATACGAGACCAAAAGTTTTAAGAAATTACCACAATAGATAAGTACTAAGACTATCAATTAAAGTTACTTTTATGTTTAGCTAACATACCAGTTTCCCAAGACGGCCGAAGTTTGGGAGTATCATTGTCTGTTCACAAAAAACAAATGTCAAAAAAGAAAGAAACAAACGATTTGTTTACTGATCAATAACAAACGAAGAGTCAATGAACAATGATACGTGAGAAAGGCTTACAAATTTCTCTCTCTCTTTTGAGCCTGTTTCAGTCTTGTTTCGCCCGCAGATCATTACAACAGGACCTGACAATTTATCAAACATTTCCTGAACTTTGTTTACAAACTCATTTTGTTTTGACTTAGGTACAGCTCTAGACAACCACTGTGACGAGTCGGGAAAATAGACAATAAGTGGTTGCGTGGATTGCAAAACCTACAAGCACAGAAAAAAGGGAATAAATTAATGCCACTTCATGTTGTATGTGTCTTGGAGAAAGTGTAAGCTACTTTAGACTTCACATCTAACATCTTAGGGCAATAATATCATTAATTTCCGACCCAAGAACGCAGCATATGTTGAACAATCCATATAACTTAAGTTTCAAATCAAACTAAATATAATGAGCACTTACTACTGCTGGATACATTATCTGATCTGAACTATCATATAAGGCCAACGTACAACGTTAGTTGAATGGTAACACAAAAACATAATGTAACTTCCACACATACCTCACTTAAAGCTTCCATGGCGATATAGCCATCTTCTGCCTGCATATCCAAATCATGCTTTAGGTGTCCGACTGCGCAGACAATAATGTTAGTTAGCTGCATTTACATAAGATGTCAATTGTCTACATATAGGATAATTCTCCAAATATACAGCCATATCACATCAACCATACAGAACGCCATGAAGTAAATATACCATCTATCCAGTGCATATGTAGCTTATGGGAGTGCTCTGTTGATTTCTTCTCGTTTCCCTCTGATGATGTCTCACCTACATTGTCAAATATGACCGCAACACGGTTCCCATTCACCTCATAGACCTCTCCACGTTGTCCGCTAGATAATGGCCTGTAGGTATATCAATTTTGGTTGAAGACAAATCTTAGGGCATCTACTATCCTTCATCCATAATATTTAGCATGCCATGGAAGTTTATTACTTCCAGAGCTCTATGAGTTCAATATGTGTTTTAGAAAAGATCAAATGTTACATTTGCAGGCACGTCAAATTGCTGAGGAAACCATGGATAGTATAATATTATGAGATACAACATCATCAACCTAGTGATGATATTAGTAAGCATGCAAAACCAGTCATTTAGTTACACAAAGGCAGAGTTCACAAATAAATGAATACGTCATATAGAAAAGCATTCAAATTAAACGTTCTTAAACCATTACCAAAGGCATATCCAACAATCTCAATTAAGGTCAACGTGGCAGTTGATGAGAAAACTACTACTATAATGAATAGGTAGAGCAAGCAGAGATCAAGTCAAACAATAGGAGACAGTACACAGTCATAAAAGATAGTAGAGCGTAATATTCTTCAGCAAGGTTAGAGAATAATTATCACATAAGTGAATCAGCAAACTACCTGTGCTTTGCATCAGCCTTCTTAGAAGGCCCAACATATTTTACACGATCTCCTGCAAAAAGTGTTAACACATATAGAAATGAGGAAAAAGTGAAAAATTGACAGCACAGAGAGAACTTAGCAGTCTGACAAATAGAAGAGGAAAGAGTGAAAGGCTAAGATATAAAGACAACACCAGGAAAATATGACTAAATCAAACTTCTTCAGCAAACTGATACATTCAAGTCTACCTAGCACTTATAATGATGAAGATGCCTTCCAGAGCCTTGATATTGATGTTTACCTTTCTTTGCCGGTCGCCTGGCTTTTTCAGAATGCTCAACAGCTGCCGCCTCGCAAGCTTCACCAGAACCATGTAGTTCTTCTGCTACTAGCTGCCACAATTTAGAGCAGGTAAGCAAATTTCAGAAATTTCTGAAACTCATTTCATTTGAAAGATCAAAAATGGAACATGCAAATAGTCATCATGTAGAACCAAGAAACAGTATTCAAACAGCAGGAATGGTAAAACCTTTTGATTCATGCATAGTAACTCCAATAACGTTTTCATACAAATAAAAAAAAATCAAGAATCAGAAAATTTATATGACAGGGTCACACTGTCCACGGGGTACAGCAAAAAAAAACAATAAATATCATGGTATACATAAAATTAGAAAAAGACAATCAGGACAGACAAAATTTTCTGAATCTCAGTTAACGCAATCATACCTTTTCGAACTCCTCAAGTTTTGGCACAATTTTCTTGATAGCTTCCTCAGAAACCTCGAGACAAGCTTCCTCATTGTCACTCCCATCTGTTTTCGCTTCAGAATCCTCCTCGCTTTGAGCACCAGATTCTTCCTCAGCTTCAGACTCTGTCGTGGACTCATCTGCTTCCGCTTCTGCGTTCTCACCATCAGATTCAGAATCTTCATTGTAGTCATCAGCAAAATCCTGGTCCAGAATAAAAAAAAAATTACATGAACACGAGAAAAACGAAAGAAAATTGGTGGCATGTTATAGGCAAATTACTTAAAAGAATCTCACATATGGGGCAAGAACGCTGCTGTCAAGAACCAACAGGGGAACTTGTACATCTCGAGCAAGTGCTCGTACCAACCTCTCCCGGTAAAGCTCAGTACCTGAATAAACATCAAATTTCTTATTGGTCATCTTACATTTCCTCGATATTTATACTTGATACCAGAAGAGCAACATCAAATACTGGTCTGCCTTTTTTACTTTAGTCAATAACAAACCTGGAACACTCTGGAGCAATATTCTTCCACTTGAAGATTCTAAACGGGCACCATATATGGAAGCGGCATTCTTTTGTCTTATATGTGAGGTAACACATTCCACCAAAATATTTTTCGTGTGGTCGCTGTGAAAGAAACAGGAGCAGAATACATAAACAGAAATGGAGAAATAAACATGATAAGAGAAAAAGAAACATGTTGTAGATTATTACTGGATATAGTAAGGGAAGGTCTCCCACGAAAGCTGTATTTTTTCCCAAGGTTGGATTCTCCGTAAGAACTCGTTTTTGAATCTTTCTCGTCTATTAAGGAAAGGTGACTCCTTCTTTTTGCATTCACTAGCAAGCTTCTCATTATTGAGCCATTCTATTTGGTCCTGTTCTCCAAGTTGAGCATGAGAATCCAAATGCCCAACACTGCTATTACTTTTATCCTTCCCGGTTTTTCCATCATCTACCCCATTCCCTTTGTTCAAAGAGATATGTTTATCCTCACTAGCATTCCTCCCATCACCCTCAGAACTAAAACTACGCAACTGACTATTCTTCAAAATACTTAAACAATTCCCCGAGGCAATAGTACCACCGCGGGGAGAAAATGAACCAAGTAGAGACTTTCTTGTCAAATTTGCACTATTAGTTAAATGATTTGTTAATGTATTTGTGAATCCACAAGATCTGGAAACCGTATACTCACGAACGGCTGGCCTAACTAAGTATTTGGCTTGCTGAAATACCAAACCCCATCTCTGGTTCCTCTTTAATGCCCTTGTATACATCACAAAGTCCCTTCTCTCAAAATCCAGTACAACTACAAATAAAAGAAAAAGCAGATATCATTGATTTAAAATCACTAGCATGGTCCCTTTCTTGCACTATCCAACATTTATGCATTGCAACATGTAATTGCACCATTCAAAAAAACCAAACCCGAAATCAAGATCAATGCAAAACATAGATTCTATAAAAAATAATTTCGACTTGATGAATGAATAACACACTTCAGGGAATTAAATTATTAAGAACATACATCAATTAAAATGAACGATGATGACGCATAACGGAAAATCCAATGTAACAACGAATATAAGGCATCGATAGAGATTTGATGGGTAGTATATTCAGCTTTTGTCATACATAAATATTACAAAACACGAACCTTTAACAGAGATGGACAACAAAACCAGTTCTATTCATTCCCCCAGCTCTAAGAATCAGGCTTGGTGCAAAGAGGAGATGTAACCAGGAACGAGATAGGGTGAAGAAGAGAGAGAAAATCCCGACAGAGGAGAGAGAGAAAGAGACCGATCTAAGTCTGTAGGTTCTGCTTCTGAAGCTGGGTTCGCAAGCTCAGCTTCGTAATGCAGTATTGTCGTTTTGACGCAAAAATTGCTATTGCCTTCATATGGATATGGGCCGAACACTAAAAGCCCTTTAAACCTATAAGAGTCGGTATTTTTACTCCATTTAGACAAAAAAGCCCTAGGAAGTTGTCGAATTTTACAATCGTACCCCCACTTTTAAACCGCGCTTATCTCGATAGAGAGAGAGAAGAAGCATTTGGGAAAATCGATTGAAAACCCTAGGAGAGAGAAAACAAAAAATCTAGACGGAGACTAATGGCGACAGCGAATCCTGGCCGTGGAGGTGGTAGAAGAGGCGGTGGACCTATGGATGACGATAAGCTGGTGTTCGAGACGACGGAAGGGATCGAGCCCATCACTAGCTTTAATGATATGGGGATAAAGGAAGATGTGCTTCGCGGTGTTTACGAGTATGGATTCGAGAAGCCTTCCGCGATTCAGCAGAGAGCGGTTATGCCGATTCTTCAAGGACGCGATGTTATTGCTCAAGCTCAGTCTGGTACGGGGAAGACATCTATGATTGCTCTCTCCGTTTGCCAAGTTGTTGATACTTCTTCTAGAGAGTATGTTTTCTGTTCCTTTAGCTCGAGAAAACCCTTAATTTCAATTTTAGCTTTACTTGCTTTGCTCGGATTGTTCTTTTGCTCTGATTTACATTATTAGGTTTTTGATTATCAACACACGGTGGGTTTTATGTGTGTTGATGATCAGATTCTTACCATTTTTGTGGGATGCATTTTGGCTGATATGTGGAAGAGATAAACTATTAATTGGAGTAGTCGGTTATCGATGTTCGTTTTATCACCTTTAGCAAAAAGATGTGGTAGTTATTCTCGCTATTCGATTATAGTGATTGAGTAATACTTTATTGTTTAGGCTGCAGGATCTTGTTATAGGTTTACTGATTTATTTGTTATCTTTCACTGCAGGGTTCAGGCGTTGATATTATCCCCAACAAGAGAGCTGGCTACACAAACAGAGAAGACGATACAAGCTATTGGATTACACGCCAATATTCAGGCACATGCTTGCATCGGTGGGAAGAGTGTTGGAGAAGACATCAGGAAGCTGGAGCATGGTGTTCATGTTGTGTCTGGGACACCTGGTCGTGTCTGTGACATGATAAAGAGGAGAAGTCTTCGTACCAGAGCTATTAAACTTCTGATTCTTGATGAATCAGATGAAATGCTGAGCAGAGGGTTCAAAGACCAAATCTATGATGTTTACAGATATCTTCCACCAGATCTTCAGGTGCAATTTCACTGCTCAAATTTATTTTGTGGCTAACGCCTGGTTTTTGGCTGTTATTGCATTAGCTTTTTTTTTTTAATATGGATTGGCTGCTTGGACTCTGTGTGGATTTAATAGAATTTTAAGGTGTTATTGAATGTTCCATGTGTAGATTTGGTAGCTATTAACTGTATTATGACCAGCTAAATTTCATTCTATGATAGTTGAATCCTAATATGTTTGTTTATAGGTTTGCTTGGTTTCTGCAACCCTTCCTCACGAGATTTTGGAGATGACATCTAAGTTTATGACGGAGCCAGTAAAGATACTTGTGAAGCGTGATGAGTTGACTCTTGAAGTATGTTTCTTCTTCTGCTTCTGTATGCTATTATGATTATTTTTACAGTAGGGCCACACTCATATTCTTCACTGGCTAACTATTGTATACAACCTTTTCCAGGGAATCAAACAATTTTTTGTTGCTGTTGAGAAAGAGGAGTGGAAATTTGATACACTCTGTGATCTTTATGACACACTTACTATCACTCAAGCTGTTATCTTCTGCAATACAAAACGAAAGGTAATTCTGGTTCTCATGCAACTGTATCTCAAACTTGTTAACATTAAACTTCTAGCATTGTTATCTTAACTTGATTTGCGATCTTGTAATTGCTCAAAAATTTATACTATCTTGTGAATATATGTAGGTGTTTATTCCTAAATGAAATTTACAATACAAGGCCACTGCTCTAGAGTACTTGCAATCTGTTCTCACCTGCTGATATCTATTAGATTGCATTGGCCTCTTAATATATCATGTGATGCTATATACCATCCTGATGCTTGTTAAACTTTTCTCAATGTTTCTTGTAATTAGAGTTCTTGAATTATGTTTTTAAAGTGATTTGCTTAACTCTATCTCTGCATTTGTTTTAGGTGGATTATCTAAGTGAGAAAATGAGAAGTAACAACTTCACTGTCTCATCAATGCACGGGGACATGCCTCAGAAGGAGAGAGACGAGATCATGAATCAGTTCCGGTCAGGTGAAAGTCGTGTTTTGATCACAACTGATGTATGGGCACGTGGGATTGATGTGCAGCAAGTAAGTCATTACTTATCCGCTATATCAATGCGGGGGGAAAAACTCAATCTCTGTTATTGAGGCCTCGGATTATGTGCCATGCTCTTATGGTAAAAGTTTAATTGACATGACAATCTTTCTTTAACAGGTTTCTCTTGTCATCAATTATGATCTCCCCAACAACCGTGAGCTGTACATCCATCGTATTGGACGGTCTGGTCGATTTGGGCGTAAGGTAAGTAATTTATTATAATTGCTGCATTGTTTGTTTACCACCACTTTGGAGCTAAATTTCTTAGCCTGGAGATACTAAATAGATATCTTTTAACCAACTTTATGGTTATCTTGCTAGGGTGTTGCAATCAACTTTGTTAAAAGCGATGATATCAAGATCCTCCGAGACATTGAGCAGTACTACAGTACCCAGATTGATGAGATGCCAATGAATGTAGCTGATCTTATCTAAAAGAGCTTGTCTGAGGGTTTTTTGCTTTCAGCGGGAAGTGTCTGGATGAGAAAGTATTGTTGAGAGCTTCTGTCAAATTATTGCACTATCTTATGGTGTGGTTCCTTGTGATGTTTCTATGGGCTCTTTTGAACAAACTTAAAACTCGCGTGTGGTAAATGTTTAATGACTTGAGAAGCGATTTAGGTTTAGCGTTTGAACCATCTGGTTTTCTTTTCCTCGTAATTGATTTTGGGGTTTTGATTGTTGGTCAAATCTTTCAACTATCATTACTTGCAAGACTTTTGGTCGACAGTTGAACTGGTTCATTGTTTTTAAATTTTGTAAAAGTTTGGATCATTGCAAAAGCAAGCAAGTTGACGAAATTACAGGACATGATTTTGAGGTTTTTGGTATCGTGTGTTTCATTTGACAGAGAGAGTCAGGTGTCTTCGCTCGTTGGTCGATGGGTTGGGTTAAATTGATGATCGAAACCCAAAACCGGTTAGGACCGAATTAGATTCAATTTTTTTAATAAAGGCAGGACCATTAACCGGAACTTAAAAAACGACCGTCGTTTTTGTTGGTGGTAAGTCAGCGACACGGAACTCAAACTTTGCTCTTTCCACCTCTTCTCACTGGTCAATAGTCGGAGATAATCGCCGATGGAGAACACGGACGTCTTCTTGGGGCTGCATGATTTCCTAGAACGGATGCGCAAACCCTCCGCCGGAGATTTTGTCAAATCCATTAAAAGGTCTCCTCTCTCCCTTTCTCGGTTCAGATCCGGCGGTTAAATGTGTGTGTTTCTATGTACGATCTTCCTCTTAGCTTATGTCGGTGCATAGTGTTTTGCGTTCTTACTTCTGTTTTCACTTGATGATGAATGATACTCTATGTGAGCAAGATTTCTACTGATCGAGACAAATAGCTATGTTGGATGATTTGTTATAAAGCTTAGGTGATTTTCTGGCAAATGGAAGCATATTCTCTGCTGATATAAATATCTCTTGATTAGATCTTATACCACTGCATTTCCATAACATTTTTTCCGTCTCTTCTTCAATTGCGGTTACTGTGGAAGGCAATTGGATATTGTTAGCAGGCTAGATCAATTAGAAAATTATTGAAAACCATATTGGAAATATCGTGGATAATGCGTCGTTGAGTATGTTTTGTGGTTTACTTTACTTCTTCCTTCAACTTCATAAACCATGTCGTCAGTTTATGTTGCAGTTTCATTGTTTCATTCTCGAACAATGCACCAGACCCGGAAAAAGATTGTGCTACTGTTCAGGAGTTCTTTTCTAAGATGGAGGCTGCTTTCAGGGCTCATCCACTTTGGTCTGGTTGTTCTGAGGAGGAATTGGACAGTGCGGGAGATGTGAGTATCAGTATTCTTCTCTTTCTATCTGTGGATTGCTTGCATGTTTGTGCCATAATCATTACTCCTTTTTATACACAGGGCCTAGAGAAGTATGTTATGACAAAGCTATTTACCCGGGTATTTGCTTCAAACACTGAGGAGGTTATAGCTGATGAGAAACTCTTTCAGAAGATGTCATTGGTTCAACAATTCATTTCTCCTGAGAATTTGGATATACAACCAACTTTTCAAAATGAATCATCGTGGCTGGTAAGCCAATCTAGTCAAATCTAGCTCGCTGTACTGTTTCCTCTTTTTGTTAATGTTTTCACTTGTGATATTTTTTCTCCTTACGGCAGCTAGCTCAAAAAGAGCTCCAGAAGATAAACATGTACAAAGCACCTCGTGATAAGCTTGTGTGTATCCTTAACTGTTGCAAAGTGATAAATAACTTACTGCTAAATGCTTCAATTGCTTCAAACGAGAATGCACCTGGAGCAGACGAATTTCTTCCTGTTTTGATATATGTTACAATAAAGGTATGGAGAACGATTGAACAACTTATGCATACTAGTTTCTGAAGTCGTATTTTTGTTGTACATGATTATGTTTCGAATGTGCCAGAACATCTACTATTGCTCATTCTGTTCTTTCTTTTTCGCAGGCTAACCCTCCACAACTTCACTCAAACTTATTGTATATACAAAGATATAGGCGTGAATCTAAACTTGTTGGTGAAGCTGCGTACTTCTTCACAAACATACTCTCTGCAGAGTCTTTCATCTCAAATATTGATGCAAAATCTCTTTCATTGGATGAAGCTGAGTTTGAAAAGAACATGGAATCTGCACGAGCACGAATTTCTGGTTTGGGCAGCCAGTCTTATCAAACTGGTCATGGCTCTGCACCACCCCCTCGCGATGAGTCCACTCTTCAGAAAACTCAAAGTCTGAATCCCAAGAGGGAAAACACTCTTTTCCAATCAAAATCGTCTGATAGTCTTTCTGGGACCAACGAAATACTGAATATAAACAGTGAAACACCAATGAAGAAAGCTGAATCCATTTCAGATTTGGAAAATAAGGGTGCAATACTTCTGAAGGATACCGAGCCAAGCAAAGTCTTTCAAGAATATCCTTACATATTTGCCAGTGCTGGTGATCTGAGGATAGGAGATGTTGAGGGCTTGTTAAATAATTATAAACAGCTCGTTTTCAAATATGTGTGCCTGACCAAAGGATTGGGTGATGCAACATCTTTAGCTCCATCCAGTTCACCCTTGCAAGCGTTGTCCGGTTTTGATACGTCTAAGGAATCTGAGGATCATACAACATCGTCTTCAGATGTGCAAATGACAAGGGAAACTGACAGCAGTGTTGATGATTTGATCCGAGCTCTACAAGGTGAAGGGGAAGATGTTAATAATTTGTCAGATGTAAAACATGAAGAATATGGCGCAATGTTGGTAGAGCGAAAGGATGAAGAACGTGATCCCAAGATGCTAGGAGAAGCAGATGCCAAAGATACTGATTTGATTAAGCAAACTCCTAAGAGAGAAAGTGAGAATTCTAGTTCCCGACCTGCAGAAGATGAAGATGTTGGTTCCAAACACCCAGTTGCGGAAGCTTCTGAGTGAGCAGAATGACTCGTCAAGGTGATGAGAGTCTCTTGAATGGGATCAGTTCTTTGTTGAGGGAAGAATTCATTTAGTGGGGGGAAGCACAGGTCAGAGCATAGTTAAAATGTCATCCATTCGTTTCCTGCAGCTGTGTGTTTTGAGGATGAGTGGAGAGTTGTATGAGGTGAAGGCTATCTGTATCTGTAGTCTCTTGGGAAACAGGAGCAGTCAAATGGTAACTCTACTTTCTTTAATTGTGTTTTTTTTTTTTTTTTGCAGTCCACTCTTTGTTGCTCTATGATATGATTTTGGAGGGGCTCCTTAACATTTATCAATCCATATGTAACTCTTACATCTGCTATTGCGTATATACAATAAGGATATAATCAGAATAATATTCGCCAAGTTGTTAGATACGAGAAAGAAGTAATGGTTGCGTGAATTTGCTGAGTAATGGAATGGGAAAAATGGAAGTAAAAGATGGTAATGGTAGTGTTTGAGGCTTGTTTTATTTCCTTGCCATGGGACCAATGTTGTTGGAAGCTGTGAGAGTGTAAGACAAGATCAGATCAAACGTGAGTGTCTGAAAAACCTGAGATAACAGTAAAACACAAGACAAGGCCTTGTGAGCTTGACCATCCCTCACTATTCAGATGCTTTTGGCTGAACTTGTGACTCTAGAGACTTTGATGTTTACCCTACCAAGTGGGAGTGAATCTAGTGACAACCAATTCTGAGGAATCTCGTAAAGACGAACGGTTGATCAAGAACTTATACTCGGATTATCGTTCTTGATTCCATGGATGTTCAAATCTATATACAAAAACACGGCTGAAATTTGAATTTGTTAACGGAAAAAATAAAATCAAGTTTGGAGTAATTTGAGTTTCTTTGTGATTGGTGATTTTTGAGAGGTTGGGCCTCACTCCTTGTCTTGCTTTCCTGAATCTGTTTAGATAGGATTGCCTTTTGATGATTTCTAGTTAGACTTTGTTGGACGTGGCAGTCGTCGTAGTCGTATTCGGAAGCGTGCTCGAGGTTCTCTCAACTCATAGGTTTTGCTTGCCGGGTTCTGAAGTCTTTGTTTCTTGGTTTCGAGAGATCAGCTCTCATCGTGATAGGAGAAGGTAGATGTTATTTTAGGATTGGCCGCGGGCATCCTAGGTAAATCTCAATCGCAGGTGCTTCAGAAGAAGTGGTTTCCTTGTATTCTTTTGTCTATTGGTTTTCTTAAGGTTTTTACCTTCTGCTTCTTTCTTAGTTTATGGTTTCGTTCTCTTGCGTTGTCGGTTTGCTATATTTGCTTTGTATTTCCAGTGTTTTAAGTTCGCCTAGTTTCCGGGGACATTTATGTCGTCCGCCGGCTTATGTTTCCCTCTTTTGGGCTTTGGTTTCCGGGGATATTCAGTTTTTCCGCCGGCTTATGTAATCTCAAAATGTATCTTTCTATGTTTTTATATATAAAATCAGATGAAAAAAAAAAAAAGGAGTAATTTGAGTTTCCATCAAATATTATATACACGTGACAGAAATCTCTCGAACCGGTAAAATGCGATCTCTCGAAAATTTGATCAGTTTAAACCGAACCAACCAAGAGAATCGGGATCGGAGCGCCGACGTTGAAAGTAGGAAGAAGAAGACGCGACGAGAGAGCTAGCGGTTTTCCGATGAAGACGCCCACGCTCCTCCTCCTTCTCTTTCTAGCCTTCGTATCCGTTATTCTTCCGTCAAGCTGCAATGGCGAATGGGAAATCCTCACGGAGCAAAACTTCTCTTCTCAGATCCGTCTCCACCCTCATGTCCTCCTCTTTATCACCACTCCATGTACTCTCACTCTCTCTCGCGTATCTATTCATAATTTTCTTGTCAAGCTGAATTTGCCACTTACTGAGGTTTTTGATTGCCTTTGTGGAGATTTTTTCAGTGTCCTTCTTTGTTTTCTGACTGATTTTATTGCTTGATTCATAGGGTGTGGTGAGTCCAGATCTCTTAAGAATGAAATTACTCAGTTGGTTCAGAAAAGGGAGGAGTTTGGCTTGTTGAAGTTAATGGTTGTATACAGAAACTCAGAAAAGGTGTTAGCACAAGCCATTGTTGCTGCTACCAACGGGATAACAATTTTGTACTATCACAATAGTGTGCCTTACAACTATCTAGGGAAACTCCGAGCCTCGAATATATTGTCCTCTATTCATCCTTATCTGACATCTACTCCTGAAGAACTCCCTCTCAAACATTTGAAGTCTCCAAAGAGTTTGAAAGATTTTCTTGAATCATCGGACAAGGCTTTACTTCTGTTTGAATTCTGCGGATGGACAACTACGCTGTTGTCTGAGCTGAAGAAAAATGTAACTGAAGATAACCTTTGGCAGGGTGAGTTTGATCTGCTGTTGTTGACTCTGGCTCTACATGCCGAGGGATAATCCTGATCTTGTGAGATTATTTATGTTCCTATCATGTTTGTTTGTTTTATGGTTTGATTTTTAAAGAGTTTTCTTAAAACATCTACTAGATGTCTTGTGATGGCCATGATAGTAGTAGAAGGCGCTTTTTAGTTTTATTTAGCGAAAAAGTGGAATGTTTGGCTAATCCTAGACATTCTGATCATTACTTTGCAGGAAACTTCTCCAAAAAAGTAGAAACTGATCGAGTGCTGAAGCTAAGAGGAAAAAATAACCAGAAGGTGGCTGGTAGATTCTCACTTATGTCTAGATGATGTTCATATGTTCTAGTAGGTGCATTGCTTCCATAATTTTAATTTTCTTTGCACCCTGGAAACATGCTATGCAGAATGGAACAATATGTGTGGACTCCAAAGTGGATTTGGTAAAGTTCCTTGGCTTGAGGATTTTAGCTATGCCAATGATACTGCTGCTTTGCAGGAACATGGCAGGGTAAATCTGGGTTTTGGACAGACATGTAACCATGAAGAGTTTAAGCAATTTAGTTCATTCCTCTCGAAATTGATTGCCACCACAAAAGAGTTTTCTCTGCCTCCTGAAAGGCAAAAATTTGGTCTGGTCACAGAAGAATCATTGGCTTCATCATTTAATATTGGAAAATCTGATTCGTGGGCAGCGGTCCTTCAGCTGGCAGGATGTCCACATTGTTCAAAGATTTTCAAGGCCGGGGACGACATCCAGAGATTTTTAAAGATGGAGAATCCGATAGTCACAGAGGTATGGTTCTCTTTATGTCTCTATGTTTAGTTGACTTTGCATATTCAAGCTAGATCCCTATGTTGTTTAAGTCAATACAATTTGACACTGTCGTTGCGTTTTTGTTCGTTTTGTTGATTTAGTTATTATTTTACTTCCTGCCCATGTTTATTAAGCTTATATAGTTGTGTCCATTTAAATTTTTCCATCTTGCCTTACATACATCAATCTTCTTTGTTTTTCTCATCTAGCTGGAGGACGACTGGCAGGACCATGAATCATCTTTGCCTGCAAGTAAACCCTCAGTTATTCTTTTTGTGGATAGATCAAGTGGGTCCTTGGAGGAGAGGAGAAGGAGTATGAAAGCACTTGATACTTTCAGAGAGGTAGCTGCACAGCATAAATTGTCTGACATAAAACAATGGGAGAATGATAATAAGTATGAGAAATCTGTTAGCCAGGCTGATAAAAAATCGGGGTCTGTGTCACTTCCGAAAACTGTCCAAAAGTTTAAGAAAATTAAGTTAGAGAATAAGGTCTCTTTTATGATTTTGGATGGGGATAAACATGTAGCCCTAGATACTGTAGCGCCAGGTATGGAAGGCAGTTCCCTGCAGGAGATACTGACAAATCTTCTTCATAGAAGAAAAGAAAGTAAATTGAGCTCGCTTGCCAAGGATGTTGGTTTCCGTCTGTTATCTGATGATGTGCACATAAAAGTGCTGGATGCGTTACCGTCACAAGCAGAATTCGTGTCTGGTCAAGATACACCTTCATCTTCTGCAGAAGGTTCCAGTGAAATTTCTCTTCACCCTAAAGAAGCAGATGTGCAGAACAGAGTCAGTATGAGTTCTGAAGCAAAAGATGAAATGAAATCCTCTGAAACTGAATCCTCCTCCCCTAGTGATGAAGAGCAGGTTACTACAAACAGGAGTGAACAATTAGTAATGGCAGAAACCGATAAGACTGAGGTTTATTTGAAAGAAAATATTAATGGAGAGATCAAGGTATCGTTGCACTCAGAACCGAAGGAAGATCTAGTGCATAAATTCACGGGTTCATTTTTCTTCTCTGATGCAAATTATGTATTATTTAGGGCTCTTACTGGTGATGTAAAGATTCCATCAGCAGTAATTATTGACCCTGCTTTACAACAACACTATGTCCTTCAAGATAAGTTCAGCTATTCGTCACTGGTCGACTTTCTTGATGGATATCTCAATGGAAGTCTATCTCCTTATACACAGTCTGAATCTAGCATTCAGACGCCTAAAAAAGCTACAGTTCCACCTTTTGTTAATCTGGATTTTCACGAGGTGGATTCTATTCCCCGTGTCACAGTCAGTACCTTCTCCCATATGGTTCATGCATGGGATCAATCCAGTGCAGAGAAGGCTCCTTGTCCTCTGTGCCAGGACGTTTTGGTCTTTTTTAGTAATAACTGGTGTGGGTTTTGTCAGAGGATGGAGCTAGTTCTGCATGAAGTATACCGATCACTAAAAGAATATAAAGCGATTATACAAGGAGGATCTACGAACAATCAAAGGTTCAAATCAGGTATGTGATATAGATTGACTAGTGTTTTTACTCCTATTTTCTATCTGAGTGTACTAATTGAAATATTGAAAGTGAAGTGGACATGTTTTTTAAGTTTCTTATTTCTCTTCTTCTGTTCTGAAGCAGAGACACCAACTAATGGCGAGAATCTAAAATCTCCACTTATCTACTTTATGGACTGCACGTTGAATGATTGCAGCTTGATCCTAAAGTCAATAAATCAGGTACTTTTCGTGATAGCTTGTCTGATTTTTAGTCTGGTTTGTTTTATTTATTCTAGTATTTCCATAACACTGTTTTGCTATTGAGTAGTTAGAGCTTATGATTGTATACACCGTATTCTCATTTCTGAATCCAGTATTCACTCGCTCTATGAATCTGTAACATTGCAGAGGGAAGTGTATCCTTCTCTGATATTATTTCCAGCCGAGAGAAACAAAGTCACTCCATATGAAGGGGAGACATCTGTAACTGACATAACAGAGTTTCTAGCTCGCCATGCGAATAACTCTCGTGAGTTTTTCAGTAAGTCATCATCTGAATCCTTGTTTATTCACTTGTTTATACGTTTATGCTGTATATTTTCTCTAAAGAGTCTGACCTTCCAGAAAAATACTGTATATTATAGAATTTTAATATGCTTTAAAACTTGTGATTCAGTTTTTCGTAGTAACTCGTTTTTTCCAGCCTCAGCTGTGTTGCTGAGGAATGCTTTTGGCTTTTTATATTTCTGTTTTGATCTGAAGCATAACAAAAGTAAGTTATGAATCTTTCTCTGGCAGGACTCCTTCCTACTCTGTATAGAAATAGAAGAAGAAACTCAAACAAGTTGGATCAATCTTCATCTGCGGTAGACTATAAAGTGACAGATGGTGATAAACTTGTTGAGGTCGTTTTAAGGAACAGAGAGCCCGCTGAAAGAGAGGTAAACCATGACCAGGTCGATTCCGAATCGCCTCCAACACACTCGCTCACAACCGCTCCCCAAGTGAAAACTGGCACAATCCTGGTCGCTACAGAAAAGCTAGCTGCCTCCCAAACATTTGCCAAATCAAAGATTCTGATCATAAAAGCAGGCCCCGAATTCGGTTTCCTGGGTCTAATCTTCAACAAACGGATAAGGTGGAAATCGTTCCCTGACCTAGGGGAAACAGCCGAGCTTTTGAAAGAGACTCCTCTATTGTTCGGAGGTCCCGTCGTGGATCCAGGAATACCACTTTTAGCTCTGACCCGAGAGAAAGCCTCATCCACGGACCATGATCACCCGGAAATCTCACCAGGCGTTTATTTCTTAGATCATCAATCAGTGGCCCGTCGAATCCAAGAGTTGAAATCTAGAGAGCTAAATCCAAGTGAGTACTGGTTTTTCTTGGGATACTCAAGCTGGAGTTATGAGCAGTTGTTTGATGAGATAGGTCTTGGAGTATGGGATGTTGATAACAGTGACATTGACTTTGCCTGGCCTTGAAGCTGTTACATTGCATCTCGTGAAATGTTTTCTTTTACTTTTTTGTTTTAGAAAGAAGAAAAAAAGAATAGAAGATAGTAAAACCCATCATGTGGTTAACTGTAAGAATAACACTTAAAAATGTCTTCTCTACAGTTACAACAGATAGAATTACATTAGCTTCTTTTGAGATCATTCCTCTTGCAGATAGATTACTTGTAAAAGATGAGTCAAACTTAAAATCTTAATATTCAATAGGAAAACATTTTAATAAGCAAAAGCAATACACATGAGTCATTCATTCATCTCTCTTTTTGCCAGTCTTGTGCTCTAAGTAGCAAATCTTATCCTCGGGATCAGAAAATGCTAAGAATGCCTCTCTGTGAGTTACATCAGCCTGAATATGACTCAACGATGCAATGTATAAAGGCGACCACATCCTCACACCAGTTAGATTATTGAGGACCTTCATTGTATCAAACACTGTACTAGTCTTGTCATCTGAGGGCTGCTTATTGCAGGTTTGTAGTGCGCTAAGTGAAGGGATGCTAGCTCCAAGAAAATCATCGAAAAGGAAATCACCAAACATATCATCAAACATATCATGATACATATCAGCAATCATTTCAGACATAAGATAATCCATAAGGATTTTTCCATCGCTCGCAGAATTTTCATCAGACTCCTCCTCTGTTGAATCATCAGACATATCATCATACTCTTCAGAATCCAAACTGTTTTCCCCAACGCTTGATCCTTTGGATCCGCTTGCATTATCATTGTCAACTTCCACTTTCGAATTATCCATTTTTTGGGAATCTACCTTGGTCCCTTATATTTTCTAGCTTCAAGCCAACTCCTATAATGAAATTAAACAATGCAATGTTACAAGAGCATATCTGTAACATAATAATAATAATAATCTAAGCTAAAATGATTAGCAAAACATGGAAAATCAGATCAAAGCAGGAACTCAACGAAAAAAACAAAATCTAGCACTAGAATTCCATATTTCTGAGGAACAAATCTAGTCAAAATCTCAAAATCCGATTACCTAATTTCCGATAAATCATTCAAATCAAACTCAGAGAAGCAAAAAGAGACGAAGAAGAAGATATCATCAGTACCTTTTTAGAAATCAGTGGCGATGGAGAAGCTTTTCTAGGTCCGAGGGTTTTAAGAATTGGGCAGGTAGGGCTCTTTTGTGGTTCCCAGATAAAGGTAAGGGTATTTTGGTCATACTAGTTTGACTTTTTTGGACTTACGACTTTATTTTTGTTTGGAGTATGAGAAAACGACACGTACGTCGAGAACCAAAAGACTGGTGGTGAGTGGTAATACCGGATAAGGTTTGCAATTGCATGGTCGAGGACCTTAGCTTCTTCTTCACAGACACAGAGCGAATCATCATCCATGGCTGTACGTTGTTTGTTCTCTCCAAATCTCTTGAACTCCAAGAACAAAGTTTCCGGCAATAATCATCACCTTCCCTTTTCTTCCCTCTCCAAGAAACACCAAGCTTCTTCGGTATTTTTACTGCTTCTCTGCTTTCAACTTTTCTTTTCATTGCATGTTTTTTTTTATTGTTCTGGGTTTTGGATATGTAAAGAGTCCTCACATTTTGGATCCAAACCCAATGTTTTAGGCAGCCCTTAATGGAGGAGGGAGCTCAAAAACAGTGAAGCGTCTGATCACTTTATCTCCTAGTGAAGGAAAATGGAATGGAAACTGGAACACTCAGTACGATGTCTCTCTGCGTGATCTTCACCTTCAAGATCTTGTTGAAGATGGCCCTCCCAATTCACGTGTCTCTGTCGACCTCTCCGTCCAAAGGGTAACTATCTTCTACACCACCGTGTTGTGAGCTTAGCTATGCATTTATGGTTTAATGTGTTGATGAAGTGACAGTGTTTGAAAATTAGAATCTGTCTTCTCTCTTACCCAATCAATCATTTAGTGTTTTTACTTGTCTAGCACGCGAGCATGGGCCTCTCAGTAGATGGAAGAATCATGACTTCTATCGCAAGAAAGTGCAGCATTTGCTCTTCTCTTTATCCTCGACTGGTAACTGTTTAACTCTAAAGAGGTTTCTTGAAAAACCCTGTTAACCATCCGGGCAAAAAACTGTTTTGATGACCAGATTGATACAAGTTTCACCGTCTGGATTTTGCCATCAAGCCGGGAAAATCGAGCTTCAACACTGCCAGAAATTGGCGGCGATGATCCTTCGGTAGAACATCATAACCTCTCTCTCTCTCTACATATTCTATCTGCATCTCAACAAAGTGAGATGAGTAAAATCTCCTCTGTTGGCAGGTTATATATGTGAGACCTGGATATGAAGCTAACCTTGATTCCCTTGTACAAGACACTATCCGACTCACAACTTATGCTAAAGTAAGATTCTGTTTAAACAATTTCAAAGTTTCATGGAATCCATAAGGCCAAAATCTGAGATCGATTATGCATATATCTTGCCTTCATGAATCTTGCGTGTGGAGTATACATGTTTCACTTAAATTGTTATTTACTTGTAGGATATATGCTCGGATTCTTGCGAAAAATCGGAACCAACACTGCACTGTAAGCAACATTGTGTTGGTTATGTTTCTCTATTTTCACAAGCCATGTTTGTTAATTGGTTCATAAGGATTAAAGAGTTTTGGTTTTCTCAATTGCTTTTGCAGACGTTGGTGAGACAAATACAGCTTCTGTTCATAAGCGATGGTCAAGACTACTTGAGCTTAAGAAGAAGTAGAAACCTTTAAATTCTTTGAATCTCTCTGTTTAATGTCTTCAAAGTCTCAAAATATTTTGATACTGTTCATATTCAAATATATACAAAAATAGAAAACACATTGACAAGAATATGTAATGATTTTTATAACATGTAAATTTGTGAAATTGATGATGTGGCTACAACGCTCTCATATGACGTTTTGAAAATAAAAATCTGTTTCTCTCCTTTGATTATTGATTCTAAATAAAAATCATATGATGAGCTTACAAAAAAAGCTATAGCTACTTAAGATTCACTTTTGAACATTATCGTACATCTGACTTTGAGGTTTATGACAGTGAAGAAAAAAGAATATCAATACAATTATTGTTGAGTTTAGTTCCTCAGTCCCTCTTTTTGTTGCATTTGCTCTCTCAGGTTTCCGAGAGGTCCATATCCTTTATCCTTCTCTTCTCTGCCACAATCACATTTCCTCTTATTCAGATTCGCACCACACTTCAAGCACATTCCTTTACATGCAGAATCGCATATCGCAGTGATGGTGATTTCTAAATGCACCAAGTCTCTTATATGCTTTGAGATATCTATTTCTTTCACCTCAGGTGGAAAATGAAGCGTATCCTCCCAATCTATCCATGAATCATCATCATCATCTTCGCCTTCTTCTTTATCATTCGACAATCCAGAGAATGAATTGGCTTTGTCACTTCCGAATGTGAATCCTAGATCAATGACATCGGGTTCTTCAACCGGATCTTCGGTTAGTAATAGCGAGAAGTTGGAGAAGATGCTCTCACCTGTTGACTCACCACATCTTCAAACACATAAGAGAAAACCGGTAAATAACAACGTTGATGCAATTACAAGACGGTAAAAAAGCTTTGATGAGTTCCTAAGAAAGTACCTATTGCAGCCGAGTGTGATAACAGTTCTGACAATTCCATCTAGTCTCAGCTTCTTCTTCTTCCTTATGACATCAACAGAAACTTGAACCGGCGTGCCATCTGGATAATCCTTAACATCTTTTGTCACTCTAAGTCCCATTGCGGAAGCTCTCTTCTTCGAGACCTCTGTTGACAATCTTCCCAACCCAAGCCTCTCTAAGGTAGTGCAATATTCCACATGTGTAACTGAAGCATTTCTCCTATACATAACCGAACCTTCCCAAGGTGACCCAGTATCCTCAATTTCCTCCTGATCTTCCCAATCCATATCTATTGTGCTGGTCTCTGTAAAAGACTCCTGACTAACTAATATCCAACTCTTTGCTAGCCTACGAAGCTTAAGCGGTTCTGTGAACAAGTAACTGATATGCTTCCTGGTAAAATTAGGGTAGCCGGCGGGAGAGCATAAACTTAAGGTACATGTTTCGAGTTTCTGAAAACTTGGACGTGACTGTTTAGTCTGTGATAAGGGAGCTACAGAAGATGTAGAGCAAACCAGAGACATTTTCGCAGCAAAGGTTACAACAAGAGGCAATTCTATCAAGGTTTTATCAAACTATCATGCTAAAATATGGTATAAAATCTAGCCAAATCCCAATAGGAATGGGTTTGTTCAGCTTGAAACAGAGCATACAAGATTCAAACCACCTGTAAGAAAAATTTGCTGATATAGTGTCAATAATAGAAAAGACAGGAAATTTACAGGAAATCTTGAGAAGGAAAATAATCTCAAAATATTTTTCAAAAAGAGTGAACTGGGTATCGAGACTTCACAATTACATCCCAATCAAAGCTAATGTAACTAAAGGAATGGGAGAAAATTTGAGCTAGGCATTTCGTCGAACACCTGCTATGCATCATTTTCTCTAGATAAAGGACAGATCTTTCCACTTCCAATTTACAGCCGCAAACATCATGATAGCTAGGGACGGAATCGGAAAACAATGAACTAATTTCGAAAAGAAAAGATACAAAGTAGAATTTATAAATCGAAATTACTTACCACTAAGAAGTGCTTCAAACGCTTCAGAAGATCGACTCTGTCAAATTTCTTTCAGAAACAGAGCTCTTCTTTACTCGAAAATGGCTGCTTAGTTTATCCTAAAATCTCACCCGGTCAATTTTGGTTCAGCTACCGGTATTTACCGGTTTACATCAAACCAAACCGCGTCCCAATCAAACATGTTACAAATTCGGTTTTAGTCTAAGACTCTAAACCTCAAGACAGTGTCGGCCCAGTATTATTTGGAGCCCAATACAAAATAAAATCTCTAAGCCATTTAACAAGAAAAACTTATTACAATTGGATTAGTAGATTTTTGGGCCTCTAAAAAAAATATATTAGACTGTCGATAAATTTATTTAACTTTTTTATTATTAACACATGATTAGTATTTGGCTACACTTTGTGGGTGAGAATCCACATACGTGGATCATGACAGGTGTGAGATGTACCGAAAACATTAACTTTGAGAATGAAGCATACGTCAAGGGAGTCCACCGCAGGTTTCGTCCGTAAATTTCTTAAAAAAACAGCTTAAATGTATTATGACAGGTATGGCGAAACTTGCGGTGGACTCTCTTGACGTATGCTTCATTCTCAAAGTTAATATTCTTGGTACATCTCACACCAATCATGATCCATGTATGTGGATTCCCACCCCCAAAGTGTAGCCAAATACTAACCATGTAACCATAATGACAAAGTTAAATAAATCTATAAAAAAAAATTAGTATAAAATTATGTAATATTAACAATAATGAAAAAAATTAAATAAATCTATCGAAAAACTAGAATGAAATTATGTAATATTATTAGTAAAACTTACTTTTCATCACGGTTGGCCACAATATCGTACAGAAAAAGTATGATACTTCCGTTGGGTGCAGCAGGAGTTGACTGTGTCAACGAGTTAGCATTTTGAAAAATGAGGTTCAATTCAGCGCCAGTTAACCACCGATTTTGAGACTGAGCAATTATTCCACCCACAATATCTACACATTTGAATATTAAAAAATATGATTTCAATCATTAAGAAATCTAATTCATCTAAAACCTTAAATATGTAAGCCGCAATCAATCTAAATCAGCCACAATCAATCAATAAGAAATTGTCATTTTATTTCATCTAAAACCTAGCCACAATCAATCTAAAACCAGCCGCAGTCAACAAGAACAAGAATATCAAGCATCTACACGAGCCACAATCAATAAGAACAAGAATATCAAACATGGATAGATTCAAACTATATCATGAAATCATTTCATGAATTTCAAATTTCAGAACAACAATCAAACTATATCATGATTCGGAATAAAATCAAACTATCAAACTTAATTTAATGCAACGATTCATGAAATTGAAACGGAATGAAATTATCAAACTTAATTTCATGAATGATTTCATGAAATTTAATCGGAAATAAATTATCAAACAGTATGATGAATCAAAAAAAAATATGAATAGACTTACCGTGATCTTCATGGATCGTCTGGAGGTTGTACAAGCTTGGTCTACGGACAGGGCCAATATGACGAGGACGAGGATTTGGTGCGGCCACTGTTGAGCAGGGAGAAGAAGAAATTAGAATTTGCTGGAGAGAATTTAGATAGGTTAAAATGAGATAAATTAGAAAATTTTTAGGAGAAGAGAGGGAGATATTTAAAGAGAAGTAGGAAAATCTTTCGATTGTGAAAAATTTTGAATTGGGCAAAAATCCCATAGGAACAGACCTAGTGTAGATACAGTGCACCCATCAAACTTATATGTGGTAAAAAAGAAAAAGTGAAAACAGTAACTTACCGACTTGTAACTCTTCATAAACAGTTGCAACCGCTTATTCAAATCATTGCAATATTTAGTTTATTTCACGAACAATTGAAATCTTAAGTTTATTTTATAAATCGTTGTAATATTTAATCATCTACCGTCGGTGTAACTTTTCATAAATTTTTATTTTAATTCTTAGTTTTTAATTACTAAAATGTATTTAAATGAGATTTTAACCGTTTAATTGAATTGTTGCAATATTTGGTTTATTTGACGAATCATTGCAACTTTTGGTTTTGTTTTACGAACCATTGTAATCTTTAGTATATTTGACGAATTGTTGCAACTTTTGGTATATATTATATTTACGGTCGCGTCTCTCGGTTAAAGTTCGTGATATTTTTTTAAAATATTTAACTATTAAAATAAATTTAAATAAATTGTTGCTACCTTTTAATTTAACATATTAGCATTTGATTTATTTGACGAACCAATGAACATTTTGGCTTATTAATCAAACCGTTGTAATATTTAGTTTATTTGATACCTTTTGTACTTGGAAATAGTTTTTATTTACAAATTAATGTTTTTCTAACACTAAGATACTTAATAAATTCTTGTAAGGATTTTTTTATATCATAATTTTCGTAAAATATATATTAATTTATTATTAAAAAAATAAATTGTTACAATTCATTATGACTTTTCGTTTGATATTTTAAAAAAAACGATTTTTGAAATATTTTCCCCCCGCAATGTCATGAGTCCTAGTAGTTATAATAGAAATGTAAAATTTTGAAAGAATATGTAAATTTAAAATGTTTAAAATTAATTTTTTGTAATGCAACATTATTATTTATAAATTAATATCAAGTATACAATAATGTTGCTGTACTTTTCTTTTTAGGCGTTCAGAAACCCTTAATGGTTTTTTAGTGGCTTTATAAAATTGTTTCGTTTTGGGCTTTTACCAATCTTCGGAGTTCGGACTAGCCCATAATATTTTTATAAAATAATCAGAAAAGAAAACTAGCTGAAATAAAATGCAAATCCGCTGAACCAACATTTGATTCGTCAATGTCTTTTACGTCCAAAGCAAACCAAAACATTAAGAAAAAAAAACATTCAAACTAAAGCCCTCCTTCGTATCCTTACTCCTTTGCTTATGCATATGCATCTCTCCCTAATATGGTACAAAGAGTACTTCAAACAAAATCTCATAAGCAAATCCAAGTTTTAAACTCTAAAACTCCACTCAAACCATAATAAGTCAAACAACAAACAACAACAAGAAGCAAATAACAATAGTCTTCAGGACACTAAAACTGAAATTAGGAAACAACAACATAACAGACACTACTAGCAATACCAATAATAATCCCAAGCCACTTCATCAAACCAAGGCTTATTACTTAATCTGCCTCAGCATAAGCAGTTTCGAGATGAGCTTGTTCGGCTTCTCTAACTTCTTTTTCAGTCTTTCTTCCTTTCTTGGACTTGTAGTAAACACTCATGAACGTTCCAACAGCTCTATACTTCTTGCGGCACTCCTCATACAATTCACCATTAAACATTCTCCAGAAGCTCTTCTCGTCAAGCTCAGACACTGCGTACTGAGGCTGGAATCCATGGTTCTCAATCAGCCATTTCTCCATCTTACGTACGGCTTCTGATCCATCAAACTCTTCACCTCTTAGGACAGGTCCAGGTGCGTAGTAGACTCCAACATCAGTGTACATCTGTGCATCTTCTGTGTCTCCTTGTCTGTTTTCATACTCAAAGCCTGGTTCCGGGTAGATCTGGCCTTTGATTGGCTGCTTGTAGAGTTTGTGTGGGCACAGCCAAATTGGATAAACCTGAAAGAGAACACACAATTCATGAGTTTGCTAATAACAACATCTTTAACTAGAAGAAGATGATCAAACATGAAAAGAGCTTTTTAGTTTTACCTCCATTTCGCGGTGAACCCATTCAAGGGCATCGCCAACTTTGTAAAGAGGAACAAGCATATCCTGAATAACATGCATATCATGGTAATAGTTCCTGATAGCTTCACCTTGGGTGGCCTTAAGAAGAGAGACCTTTGGAGGCATCAACCAACCTAAGAGGTACCTAAACCAGAACTGATCACCAAATGGAAGAATAAGCTTCCCTTCCCAGTACAAGCACCTTGTGTGCCTGTGGTAGTATTCACGAGTTGGGATGTACTCAACAAACTGTCCCTTTTTCAGCGCGGTCTGCGCATGCTGGTAGAACCACGGCTTGAACCACCATCCCACATTGTTGATTTTGTTTCCTTTCTTCTTCGCCTCTTCTTTCGATGCGTATGTCCCAACCATCATCACTCCTTCCGTCGGGTTGTAAACCATGCCTTCGACGAAATCCGGGATTTTCGACTTGTCACCGTCTTTGGGAGCGAAAGAATCAATGTAACCTTGAGCTAAGGCTTGAAGATCTCCCTTGACTGGTATGTAAGTGAGTCTCATGTACTCCTTGATCTTAATAAGCCTGATCTCAGCAGCTACAAGGAGTCCAAGAGTTCCTTGCGACCAAGGGATTGCGTAGAAAAGATCGGAATACTGATTATCCCTTGTGGCACGGACAAGTTCCCCACCCGCAAGGACAATCTCGTAAGCCTCAACGGTATCAGCAAACAAACCGTAGATGTGAGAACTTCCTTCAATACCATATCCATTGATGAGTCCACCAACCGTAAGGTCGTCAAGCTCAGCAACAACAGCAAGAGACAGGTTCATTGGGACGGTAGCACGGGAAATCTGTCCCATGTTGACAAGAGGCTCCACTCTAGCAGTCATCTTCTCCTTGTTGATCTCAAGGATGTTACGAAACTCGCCCAAGTCAACCTCGAAATGCCGGGCTCTCTTGTAGTCAACGTTCCTCATTCCCACAGCGATCCACGGCTTACGGGCAGTGCAGACAAGCCCGTCCTTGGCAGCATCCCTATTCTTAAGCCTTTTGATGACTTTCTTGACATTCTCGTCGTGTTCCTTCTGGCGTTTCTCATAGGATTTGGACTCAGACCACATGTCCCCGAGGTAGATGAGGAAGTAGAATGTGGCTGAGAATGGAAGGACGATGAAGATGACAATGATCCATCGGAACTTGACAAAGTAATCAACCCAATTCTTCTTCCTCTTGGGCCTCACAAGCGGTGTCTGAAGATCCGACATTTCCTCTCCTCACTGCATCAAACAAAAAAGAAAAACAAATTACTGTAAGTAAATAAAAAAGAATGCTCAAAATCAACCAAACTTTGAGAGATTCAAATCCATCACTGTAAAACTCAACAACAAGGCTCAAGAAATACTAATAAATCTACCAGAATGTCAAAAATACTATAAAGTTAATTTCTTGAATCCATAAACAGTATAATAAGCATACATATATATACAGATACACAATCAATCTGTAAGAAGTATATATTGTGGAGTCCATGGAAACAGTGAGCTAGTGAACAGAAAGACATGAAGTTATGTTCTGAAAGGACAAGAAAACGAAGAAAGTGGTTCTAATCTTTAGATCTATACATCTAGTCTTCCTACAAAGCCATCAAAGTCTGTTTTCTACCACAAAGAACAAAAGTTGACGAACAAAGTTTGAAACTTTGCTTGAAATTCGAAGACTGAGATGGCTAAAAATCAAAACCCACATAGTTCACTAGTGGTAGGAAGCAACTATGAACCAAGTTCTGAGAGATCTAACGACAAAAAAAAGATAAGTCAGCGACTGAGACAGAGAGAGAAAGAGAGGTAGAGAGAGTACCTGAAGAATCCAAAGGAGAGAGAGAGTGAGAGGATGAGATGTGAAAGTGTCCCCAAGAGTGAGAGAAGATTTGTCTTTATAATAAAACGTGATTCAAGCCAGCCTGCTTCACTTGCATTTTTTCGCTCAAAACAAGGTATATATTATTTCCCATTTGTTGTCTATAATTAAAAAGAAAGTAAGTAAAATAATCTAGCAATAAAATTATAATATTTAGAAATTAAGAAATATATAATGTAGGTTCTTATGTTTTCGGTTTTAGTTGTAATGTTGATACATCACTATTATATTTAGGAGAAATTTTATAGTTATAGAATTCTGATTAGAGTCAGACACAAAAAAAAAAAAGAAAAAAAAAAAGACATGTCTCTTTGTCTAAAAAAAATTATGACTTAGAATTATAAAATTTATAGAATTGTCCTCATATTTACAATTCTTAATCCAGTAAATCATTCAGATTTTCTCAATATATATTTTACCAGCTCTGTTAAAATTTAAAAACTATATAGGTGAATCGTACCTAGACCTTAATTACTAAATCTTCAAAAGTATAATTTCTTACTTAGCAGTTAGCATATATAAGGAATATGAGGACAAATTCTTTGTTGGGATATATTTCTCTGAAATAGTTGCTGCTATATATAGGTAAAATAAACAAAAAAAGGCAAAAAATCTTAGCAGTTTCAATTTCTTTTAAATAGGTAAATTACCACCATTTAGAAAATACCACTTTCTTTTGGTATAAATCACAACTAATTACAGGAATACAAAAACAGGAAGACTTGTGCCCAATGAAGGAAATATATCTGTCAAATTTGTTTCTTCTAAATGCATTTTAAGGGTTGATTGGATTGAATTTTATTTTCTGAATGCTTAGTGAAACAGTCCTATACATGTTTGTGAGGTTACTAAACTAGCCGATCTTATATTGTTTATTGGCTACAAGTTTATTACAACTTTTCTTATCATAATAGTTATAACAATAATCTAGAACTTTTCGTTTTGATATTTTCTGCAGATGACAATGGTGGATATGTCATGATTGGAGCAAAAAGCACCGCCTAATATATCTTGAAAACATTATACAAAATTGTATGATTTTCATCAGAATTCATATATGAAAATTATTGGTACCATTATCAGTGCCTACATAATGATAAACATAGAAACTATCACGTTATTTGGTGAAAAAGGTTCTCAATATATAATTCTATAACCAATGATATGATTTCCACCTTAATTATTTTAACAATTGATTTTGTAAAGCAAATAGAATAGTATCCACTTGAACTTTTTACTTGGTAAAATCATGACTTTTTAAGAAAAATGGTTACACTTTAAACTTTAAAGTAATGAATTGCTCAAAAGTTTTTTTTTGCCACCAAAAAGTAATTAATTATTTATTTGAAATATATATATATATATATATACTCCCTCCGTATTTTAATAATTGTCGATTTAGAAATTTTATTTTTTTGAATTGGATATCGTTTTCAAATTTTTATGCAAAATTTATTACTTTTTAATGTTTTATGACATCATAAAACATTAAAAAGTAAGAAATTTTGCATTGAAATTTGAAAACGACATCTAATTCAAAAAAATAAAAATTCTAAAACGACAATTATTAAAATACGGAGGGAGTATATATTTACGGGGCTGATGGCCTGTCTGACAAGGATATCCAGCTCTTGCAAAATCTCATATATAAACTATATTTTTAAAAACGCCAACCATTTACAACTACAAATATTTTTTATGTAATACTGAAAAACAAATTTCTATTTGGCGAATCACACTTTTTGACTTTGACGTCAGTTAAAATTTGGTTCACGGTTGACACGTTTTTAACCTTAAAAGGTCATATTGTTTATACAAAGTACAAACATATATATAGACAAATTCAGAATGTCGAAATTAATTGGTAAGTTATAATTCATAAAAAAAAGTATCCATTACTCTTTTTAAAAGCTTGGCATTGCAACAAGTGCAAGCCTGTCTGGCTGTCTGTCAGGGACATCAATGTTTACATTACAAGAAACGCCAAAATTTGTTTATATATATCCAAATACAAAGACATTACTATTTGGTCCAACGCCAAATAAACCCATGCGTCATTTCTGCATCAACAAAAACCGTCTTTGTCCATTTAAATTCGTAGTTCCATTATTACAAACAAAAAAAAAGGTGTGAAGAAACGAGAGACAACAACCCACATAAATTATGATTTGTGAAGATTGGAGCGTATAATAGTAACTAAACACTTCTCTAAGATTCTATTTTCCTTTCAGTTTCTAAAGGAAAAAAAGACTAATAATTGTATTGAAAAGATCTTACATTATTATTGTAGTAAAGAAATAGTGAAGTCAAAAATGCAAGAAAGGATAGGTGAAAGAAAAAGACAAAAGAGAACGGAGAAACCGAAGAAGAGAGTTGAAGATAACAAACCTATAAACGAGGACTGTCCTACTCCACATGTGCCTGACGTGATCTCAACTCCTTCACGTGATTTCTCTTCCTCTTTTTTTGTAATTTTATTCATCTTCTCTAATTAATCTCCATTTTTTTTATCACTAATCCCTTTGTATTATTCAATTTTTGTTTTCTGTCACTTTCATTTTGTTACTATTCTTTGCTAAAAAAGAATCACTTTGTTTAATGCACCCACGATCCCGTTTATATTTTAAATTGTTTTGCCTTCTGTTTGATTGCATGTACTTAACTTCTTATAATAAGTGTCGATCTACTCTTAACGTGCAATTAACTAATAGTCTAATACATCTGGAACACGTTAAATTGTTAGTAGCATTCTTGTTTAACATTATATATAATCCATGATTTTAGCAGTAACAATCAATTATTCCAAAAACAGATCGTTTATGTTTTCAGTGGCTTTTCATTAGACGATACATTGTTACCGTACTCAAAAATTTAACGTAAATGGTGTGTTACTTTAACAATCACCATTGAAAAGAAATCACTTCTCTAGTTCTCTAACATTATATTAAGAAAGTGACCAGAAATGGAGACTTTCTTGCGCCTTTGGCTTAGTTCCCTGAAAATTATCCATAGTCCAGTCTTAGTAACAGCAACAAAATTGCTAAACTGATCCTAAAGAGAAATGCAATCCATGCACTACACACTTTGTTACAATTGCTAAACTGATCCTAAAGAGAAATGCCGTGTTCTTTCCTTTTGTTACGAACACTATTTCTAACCAAATAATCCAATGATTTTTCAGGCAAAATATTGTGAATAAGAACCAGTTAGATAGGTGATATGCTAATAAGAATGAGTTGATTGGGAAGAAAAGAGATTAGCTATCTGAGAGCCATGAATAACTTTAACATCTCCCTAACATGATCTAGCAAGATTTAGTAGCCAAGAAACCAGCAAAAGAAAGAAAAAAAAACAGAAAGATGATAAATGTACCTTGTTTAGGCTCTAAAGTCTATGCATTATCTCCATGAACTTTTTGTTGCTCCTCCGGAAAGGCATATCCGTGGCAGAATATTACAGTTGTTGTATCTAACAATATGGACAAAACTAGAAGAAGGAACCAAAAAGGCTACGTGAAAAAATCATTACTACTTCCAAGTGTAAACTTCCACCAGGAATTCCTGAAGAACACTTTTCTCAAGCCTACAAGTTAGCGACTGCTAATAGCAGGCGTCTTCGGGCAATGTATTATGGAATCCTTTCAGAGAAAAAATCATCTTTATTTGAATAGAGGATTAATTTTTCGTGTACTATATAACAAACCATTAGTATACACGTTGATCACAGTTCTAAGAGATTGGGTGAAATGGACCCTAAAACTTTCTGCCGCCAATAAGCGCCCCTCTTCTACATGCATACAACAGCATTAGAATGTAAACACAAAACTGAGACCTCGTAAGAAGCCATCTCTGAGGCCGAGAAGAGAATATTAACCAACCTGCCATTAGATAAGAGGCTTTGGTCAGGCAATCAACAATGGGACACTAATAAATGCAAACAGCAAAACAGGACTATGTCACATTATATAAGACTCATCAGACCATTGCCAAATCGCACAATCTTTCCAAACACCACATTGGTTTTTAACTTTCTAGTGTAAACTGTATGCTAGGTTCTCAGTATCCTCTCAATTACAGAAAATTTGGTTCATCATTTCAACCTACATAGTTTTATCTAAGTGATACCTATTTTTCAAGTAACGGTATAAACATAATAAGCCAAAACAGAAACTACACCCAGCATAAATCCAGCGAAAAACGGTACAGTGATTCCAGAAAAGATTGCAAGGCCAATCCTCAACTATATGCATAGATTCCATATATCTAATCAAGTGAAGTCAACTGATATTGGCAACCATAGGCATAACTTACAAATTTTTCATTTCGAGGTTCAGACTTACTTTGGCAAAAGAAATCGCAAGTATCCATACAACACCATGTTACGGGTTGAAGAAACTTGAGCCGCCCATGTTGATAGCAACGAGCGCCAGTACAGAAGTGATTACACCGAACCACAATAATGCTAATCCTGAAATTAACAAAGCTTAATAGTTTTAGACCAAGCAACCATAGAAACAAAATCATCATAAGATAGAGCCTCGATATACCTCCATCATCAATAGAACCTCTATCAAAATTCGCATTTTTCACTTCCGAATCTGTTATGTCCCCATTGCCAGCATCTTTTGGTTGAGATTTTGAGTCCGCCCCAGCCTTTGAAGGAACATGTGACACGCTTGATTCACCATCATCAACTTTATTGTTCCCAGCTTCTGATGAAACTATGCCTTGAAATTCCTCGCTCAAAATCAATGCAGACAACACGTTCATAAATGACTCTTGACCAATATCATCAGAAGGGATCTTGTCATTCTGCACAAATGAGCTAGGTTCTTCAGAATCAGACATTTCATCATCGGAAGCATCTGCATAAATGGCTTTTGCGTTGCGTTTATCATCTTCTTCATCCTCCACGTATGCTTTGTATGTAAGCCGGAGTAGTATTTCTCCAGTAGATCCCTTTCCGAACAAACTCCAACCGCCTCGCAAACTAACGAATCTGTCTGTAGGAACCGTATCTGGCAGTGATTCGAGGTCAACCTGGATGTATAATCAAAGTAATATGGTTATGTAGACAGCAAATTTAATATTCGGCACTATTTTCCTGGTGATTTTTTTACAGATTATAGTGACAAAGTTATCAGAGCAGTGGCTGACTACTCAAACTACAGCACCAATAAATAATTGTGTTATCAGGTTATCAGGTTTTTGTGCAGAAACATGTGAATTGGTCGCTTAGTAGCTAATAATTGGAATTGTGCTAAGAATAGCTAAGTGAATAAAGGTGCCCTTAGTAATACTGACAAGAAGATCAATAACCGAAAGGGTGTGTAACCTGAACAAACTATACAAAAGAGGTGTGACATGCTCACATAATACCAGGTACTACTACTGATACAGCGAAAGCATTGCCGTTGTGGCACTAATTGTTCACTCAGTCACTGTTTCTCTTACTCATTCAATCACATAGTTTTTACATCATAAATTAAAAGCAAACTGCTATCTTATTAGTATTGGTGCTAGTTCTCAGTCTCATCTTCTCAATTCAAACCCTTTAGTTGAGATACTGTGCAGAGAATAACAGGATGGAACTGGGTTCTTGTATAATGAATAACAAACAAGAAAAAGCTTGACACTGAAATAGATGATCATCTTAAGAAATCATTTCTGTTTAACATATCAAGCTATTCTTCTGCAGATTTCAAATGGGATAAAAAGAAAGATGATTTACCTCTCCTATACCAATAGCCATATCGGCAAATCCAAGACAGTCGTTGACTTCAATTTGTAATACTTGCTCTCTAGGATTTGAAACAAGGAATTGGAAGTCCTGACCATATATATGAATTCAGCATATACTATAATTCACAATCAGATTATGAATAAGCCATTAAGATATATTGAGCAGTTCAACCTGATTCCAGATTGGCTGACCAGGAGCACCAAACACAGTAGTTTGACTGTTCTTCTTACTGCGGATAACTTGATCACCTATTCGTAAAATAACATATGGATCCGTTCTACCTGTTACAAATTATCAAAGAACATGCGCTGAATGAAGGAACTTGTAAGTGATGAAGAATTCACTATATGTGATATAAGCATTAGTATAGAGGTTCTTACTGCTCAAAGAATTCAAATATACTTAAGGGTATATATAGATAATACAACAACACAGACTGCTAGAGAACAATGAACTGAAGAAGAAGAAAGCTGAGGAGTGAGTATGACTTACCAGAGAACATGTATGGAAGTTTCTGGGCATTTACAAGAGTAACAGACAGTTCCCCTACAAAATCCTTGTTCCCTTCCTGCATTTCTCCAGATTTTAAGTCTTCTGAAACAGGCCCAACAGCTTTTCCTTTCTGGAAATCCAAGACAATTTTCTTTGGGCGGACAAATAATCGAGGCAAATCTTCTGTCAGCAGTTTGGTCAAGAACCTGAGAGAGATGAAGCAAAGGAAGGAGGAAAGACACTGATATATCAATACATCGAGGAGAGTAAACAATCAACAGAGAGAAAAAGCTAAAACGTATACATCGAGGAGACTTACATTGATAACACAGGAATTCCTGATGTTGTCATCCAAAGCATTCATGCAAAAAGAAGAAATTGATTTGAGCTATTACTAATGTACATCATTTTAAAATCAAAGGAGATTATGAGAAAGCAACAGACAATTATGATTAACTCATACCCATTAGATTAAACAATCGGAATGGAGCAAGCTCAAATTTGATCTTTGGAAGTGATACAAACGCCCATGATGCTGCTCCAACCCAAGGCGCTGACGGAATCAATCTTAATTTAACCCATAGTTCACCGTCAATGTCAAAATCCCGAATACCGACTGGCACGACTACTGGAATGATACCAAATTTTAAAGAGAGCATTAACAACATCCGAGCACCACCAGTATATCGAAGACCAATCTGGTACCTATAAGAAGAAAATTGAGAGTATAAGCAACCTTCAAGAGAGCCATGAACAGACTGTTTGGAGTACCCAAGTTCCAAACGAACCAACAGAGTGAAAAATTCCAAGATGCAGCGAACAGTGGCGTCCCAAAAAAAGTCACTATTGTCAAAAACCTACTAAACTCTTGAATCGAAACTTTTTTTTAAGTATAATAAAACTCATTGGTGGTTGGCAAACAACAACAACTGAAACCAAGTAAGAAGAATCCCACCATTTGATCCATCAACACAATGCATTAGCTACCTAGCATATGAGAAAGCAACGTAGGCAATGGCACCAAAGTATATAAACTTACTGCAAGTCATTAACACGGCGAGATGTCCTCCTCTCAACATTTCTAACAGACAAAGGCTCATCTCCAAGAGAGAATTGCTTAATTTCAACTCTCTGCACATAATCTGGCTTCTTCAAGTCATCAATGACAGGCTGCAACAATCCAACAAGCCAATTCTCAATCCCACCTCTATAAACTTTCCAGAGCTTAACCAAGACCATGTTCACCCACTCCACCGACTCTTTCCTTTGCAAGTCCTTCTCAAGGGACAGCGAGAAGCTGGTGGGAACTTGTGCCCATGGCCCGGCTCCTATTTGGCCTCCCTCATCACCACTCGTTTGTCTCCGCCTCTTTCTCCAAGTCCATAGCTTGTCACAAATAACACCAACAAAGAAGAAGAAGGCGAATAAACCAATCGCATTACGACTAATCAGTGGCGATGGGATTGGATGGATTACACCTAGGTGAGTCCTGAGCTTATCCACAATCGGGTCTTCTCTAAAGTTAGTGAAATTGTTTCTATCACCCTGAATTACAGACTCCTGTGAAGATGAAGATTCTTCTTCATCCTCGAATTCATTCGAAAAACGAGTAACCACAAGACTTCTTGCAGCTCTTCTCGCCGAATCCGCTAATCCAATGTTCTTCCGAATTCCGCTGGAAACAAACCTCGAATTCGAATTCGCCGCCTGAACTCGACGGATAATTCTCCGCCTCTTTGCGAACACAATCAGACCGTGCTCATTGGAGCAAGGACAGAGCAAACGACGTGGCACAAAAGAAGGGAAATCGAAAGTAGAACAAGAAGAAGATTGTAGACTCATTTATCATCAATCGAATTCACCGGAAACTCCACGCAGGTGAACCTAATTGACGCATATCTCCGCTGCTAAAACAGCACAAGGAATGGCGAATGTCTCACAGCAACGTCGTGAACACTGAAACAAGCGAGACCTAAGTCTCCCTTAGGGTTTCGGATAAGAAATTCGAATTCGAGAAGGTTCAAAAGGAGTAGCGACAAGGGATGCACACAAGAAGATTGGAGAATGTAAGCGATCGGTGGATATTCTATCGTCCTGACCTTAAATTGTACCTATGCGACCCAGAATATATGCAAACGCCTCAAACTTATTAATAAGCCATTTATGCTTCTTTTTTTGTGGAACGCGTTAGGCGCGTTACTATGTATATGGTTGGTCATTATTTCGTTTGTAGTACCATCAGATGAGTTTATTTTCCAACTGTTGGTTTATTTATATATGAAAGAGCCTAAATACGTTAGAAAATCTTGAGATGTCGGCGACCTAACTTGTTAGTAGTTCGTATTCCTTTGCTTTTTGGACTCTTCCACTTATGGGTCGGCACTCGGTTACCCGGCCACGCGTTTTATGTCCACAAATTAAAATTACAGTGGTAGTGAAAACATGTTTTTCTTTTTTTTCCTTCTTAATAATCAGAGAATGATTCGAGCTTTTACTACTGCTGTTTATTTATATGAATGTAAATTATGTAATCATGGAGTAGCTCAAAAACATGTTACCAGACAAATAAACAATTGAAAAATACGGTTTGAATGAATGATAGTAAATGGGTTGATGTTAAATTAGATGGTTACTAATTGTTTGAAAATGAATTCAGTTTCATTTAAATATATATATATATATATATATTTTCAGAGATATTTTGCTTATTTTATAATATATTGTATATTAAATCATTTTAACAATGTTATTTAAGACTTTCTTATCATTTTACAAACTTATCAATAATAACCATTATTGACTAATTTATGGTGATATAAATAATGGTTGATTTTACTTAGTGGTACTGTACTTTAAGTAACAAAAATAAGCGACATTTTATTGAGTTTGAGATATGGCCATTCCGCTCAATAGAAAATATTCAAAATAAAAGTAATAACTAACTATTTTTTTGGGTGCAACCATGTTTATTGTGTGTTGTTTTCTTTTGTCGGATGTCAATAATTATTGGCACTAAATTGATTATTTTCATCAGTCAACTTTCAATTTCCATATGTTTGAATAGGCCTTTTATATACTTTTGAATCTATAAACATGATCCACGTGCGTATAGCATAATGTTTTCTTTTCGATCTATGAGGGGTTTAACGACTAACGAGTATGAAATTGACGTAGGGGTGGTCAAATCACGAAGAAAGAAAACTGGGTTAAATCAGAAATTGATCTTAAAATATAAGGTCTTTCCCTTTAATAATTTAAAATACATCCGTCATTTTTCCCCGGAACGTAATCTCAGCCGTCCATCGTCTCTAATATCATACGATCTATCTAACACCGTCGGCTGAACTTCGTTCTCCTGAATCGCGACATCGACATCTTTTGATTCTTCCACACTAGTTTTTTTTCCTAAACCCTAACTTCTTCGTTCGCGTCCACGAAGCCGCCGGCAATTTTTCGTCGGCGACTGTTACTCGATACCACCACCTGTTTACTCTTTAAAGGTAATGGATAGGGAGAATACAACGGAGCCGCCGTACACGACGGCGGCATCTTCGGGACAAAGTAGCTTCGTCCGTCCTCCTCCAATTGCTCCAGTCTTGGCTACTGCTTCGAATGTCTCTCAGTCGGAGCAACCCTCTATGTCTGTATGTTGCTCATTTCTGATTTGTTGCATAGTTTGTTCACCTTGAGTGCTGGTTAACTCGTAAAGAAGCTTGATCTTGGTTCTAGTTCTTGTCTTTTGATGTGGTTTTGTGTAGAACCTTGTACAAGAACTTGTGGTATTCTTAGTTTGAAGGGTTCAATATAATTAGATGAATTCATGTCTTTTTACATAGGGTATATACGCCAACACCAGCTATGAAAATCTGCCTCTCTTATTGAATCTATCGAACTTTTGGGTGGTTTTGATGAAATTCACTAATAGAATTTCTCAGGATTCAACCTTGTTTGGTATATACATTGAACACATGCTGATTCATCTATTATCAGGTTGTTTCCTTTAGTCTCTAAACTGGTTCCGTGGTTTTTTGGTTGCTGTTGTGCAGATTGCTAGTACAGGTTTTGTCTCTCAGCCAGTTCCATCTTCTGTTACTGCACAATGGGGTTCTAATGCAGCAGCCTCCTCAAATGTTAATCTTTTACCTCAAGCTTCGCCCATGCTACCAAATCCGCCTTTTGGTCGACCAGGAACACTTGCCCCTCCTGGACTAATGACATCTCCGTCTGCTTTTCCTGGTTCCAATCCCTTTTCTACTACTCCAAGACCTGGGATGTCTACAGGTCCTGCTCAAATCAATCCTGGTATTCATCCGCACATGTATCCTCCATATCATTCACTGCCTACAATGCCTGGAACGCCTCAAGGAATGTGGTTGCAGCCTCCTCTTATGGGTGGTATTCCCAGGGCACCTTTTATTTCTCATCCTACTACTTTTCCTGGTTCATATCCATTTCCAGTTCGTGGAATCTCTCCTAACTTACCATATTCTGGTTCTCAACCGCTTGGTGCAATTCCTATGGGAAGTGTTGGCAATGTTCATGCATTACCAGGTCATCAGCTTGATACATCTCCCGGGCAAAAGACAGAAGCACTCTCAGGAATCGGTATGCTCGAGGTTTCATGATAGATTACTGATCCATGTAAGAGCTGTTTGACCTTAATGGTTATTCTATTTAGTTTACATATCCTTTATCAGGATCATCTTGTATTCTGCAGATGACAGAGCTGGTTCTCAACTAGTTGGAAATCGATTAGATGCCTGGACTGCACATAAATCAGAAGCAGGAGTTGTTTATTATTATAATTCCGTTACAGGGCAATCAACCTACGAAAAGCCTCCTGGTTTTGGAGGGGAGGTGAGTATAGCTGATTACATGACTTGTTCATTAGTTGAGACTACGTCTATACGCATTCAGAACCACATCGACCTATTTTGCTTCACGACATGTCATTTAGAAGTTGGTGTCTATAATAGGTATTTGCATTTTTGGTATATCTGTCAGAATTTGATCCAGATTTTTTTTTAAGTCCTAGCTGCTGAAAAAATTATTCTTTATTTTCCGTGCCTTATATTGGGATTGTGAACCTTTGTTGGTATCCAAATTTGTTTTACTTATACTACAATAGTTGTGAAGTTGCTTAAGATTGTCGAGTTACTATATTGCAGTGAACTTGTTGTAAGAGCATGTGAATTGTTACACAATCCACCTTAAATTAGTCACAGACGGTAAATATAAATGGCTTGCCATTTGATGCTAGTGCAAAAACATATGAAGGATACTTGTTCAAGTATACCTTCATAATGCATGCACAGTTTTTTCATGTTGCCCTAGTCCTTTAGACTTTTTAAGCAATTTATAATCTATATTTTTTTTTAACTTTTGCAGCCTGATAAAGTGCCAGTGCAGCCAATTCCAGTTTCTATGTGAGTTTTTAGATTCATATTTTCTCTGACAAGATTAATTGTCGTATTTTTAATTATATTAGCTTGGTTCTGGGTGGGACATTATATTGTTATATTTCTTGTGTATTAATCTTTCTACTGGGTCGCCAACAAATTCATTCCCATGAAATCAACAAATTTATATAGTTGAATTACTTTGAGCCTGCTAAAATACTTTGTACCAAATGTAGGGAGGATTTACCTGGGACGGATTGGGCTCTTGTGTCCACAAATGACGGCAAAAAGTATTACTACAACAATAAAACAAAGGTCAGCAGCTGGCAAATTCCTGCAGAAGTGAAAGATTTGGGGAAGAAACCGGAGGAGAGGGCTATGGAGAGTGTAGCATCTGTGCCAAGTGCTGATTTCACTGAAAAGGGTTCTGATCTATCAAGTTTGAGCGCACCTGCTATCAGCAATGGTGGCCGGGATGCTGCATCTCTAAAAACTACAAATTTTGGTTCGTCGGCACTGGATTTGGTTAAAAAGAAACTACATGATTCTGGAGTACCCGTCTCATCTACTTCAACATCTGAAGCAAATGGTGGTAAAGCAAGTGAGGTCACACCAAGTGGAGAAAGTGGAAATGGTACGGGTAAGATAAAAGATGCTTCTGGAGCTGGGGAACTTTCTGATTCTTCTTCAGATTCCGAAGATGAAGATAGTGGACCATCGAAGGAAGAGTGTTTTAAACAGTTTAAGGTATTGTGTAGCCTGGACCTGTGAATGGTCCTTGTGGTCTTCGTTTTTGTCCTTTTTGACATAGGGTTTGGTTTAGATTTCTTTTCTCATGTTTGTCTTTCTGCAAGTTATAATTTAGCCATTCAGACGCATCTGATTTAAATCATTCTAGCGAAAAAGAGAAGATCATACATTGAAATTTTCCTCTGTAAATGGTTCTTGTTGGAATATTGGAGTGCCGTGATGCTTTGTATGATGCATGCCAACTTGGAAACCTTGAAACCATTAAGATTGAAGTTTGTTTTCTAATATCTTGTTTCTTATTACTTTACCCTTGCAGGAAATGCTGAAAGAGAGAGGAATAGCACCGTTTTCTAAATGGGAGAAGGAATTACCAAAAATTATCTTTGACCCTCGCTTTAAGGTCTGTCAAGCCTAAAGATCGTAACAATATTTTAATATCTTATACTGTTTTTAAATTCCCTGTCTATTGTTTCTTTCCTTGCATGCGTTTGCAACTTGTACATTTCCAGTTAATTTTATTTGCGTCTATGCCAGCATTGTAACATCCATTCGTTTTTGGTGCTCAAATAGAAACAAAGGTTTTCTAGATTTTCTAGCTCGGTGTAGAACAAAGATTATGTACATAGGGACATACCTGTATAATATTATACTCTATTTTCTTCTATTTTTATTCATCTTTTTACTGCTCTCTTTTTATTTGAGGAGTTCGTTTTTCTTGCAGGCAATACCAAGTCATTCTGTTAGAAGATCTTTATTTGAGCAGTACGTAAAGACACGCGCTGAGGAAGAACGTAGGGAAAAGCGTGCTGCTCATAAGGCAGCTATTGAAGGTTTCAGGCAGTTGCTGGATGAAGCGTCTACGGTAAATCTTTTTAAGAAACTGAATGTATTTTTACATTGACCTACCTAACGTCTTTAAACATTTCTATTATTTGGTTTGGGATGTTCTCAACTTCTATATCTCTTGTGGGAATTTATTATCATCCTGATTTTTCCAGGACATCGATCAACACACTGATTATCATGCTTTTAAAAAGAAATGGGGGAATGATCTCCGGTTCGAAGCACTTGAGCGGAAGGAGCGGGAGGCTTTTCTGAATGAAAGGTACCAATCTAGATCTTGCGATCATATTCTATGTATGTTGAAAAGTTTGCTTATAGCCTTAAAGTTTACACTGGATGTGTTTTTCCTTGTTACTTTGTGATGTTTTGGTTGTAGACCTCACTGTCATTTCTTAAGACTGAATGTTTTTTTAAAACATTTTTACTTTCTTAGTGTAATTGCGTGTAAGTTTGTAACTGCCGTGTATCCTTTTGCAAAAGTTTTTCCCTGTACAAGATTGACATGCGCTTTATGATTTTTTTCTTCATGTGGGTTTTGAGTGTCTTATAGTTATTCACTATTTGGGCTCTTATATTTTCCCTGTTTCTGTTGCAGGGTCCTTTCTTTGAAACGAACTGCTGAACAAAAGGCGCAAGAAATTCGCGCAGCTGCTGCCTCTGATTTCAAGACAATGCTACGCGAAAGAGAAGTATCATTAAATTCACATTGGTCCAAGGTACGTAGCATATTTGTTTCTATCCTTTGCGAACAAGAGAAATAGATTAGGAAAAGTTATAAAGTTTTCAGGAACTTATGCTGTTTGAGGAAATTATAATATTACTTATCAAAGTTTTTTATGTGTCTTATCTCTTATCAAATACATCCTTTGATTGCACCATTTAAAACTTGGTAAGCATATTACTACGACCTATATAATATTTTTCTCCCCTGTTTTATTAGGTGAAGGATAGTCTGAGAAATGATCCAAGATATAGATCTGTTGCGCGCGAGGACAGGGAGGCTTTTTATTATGAGTACATTGCAGAACTAAAAGCTGCACAAAGGGGAGATGATCATGAGATGAAAGCCAGAGACGAAGAGGTAAATTAACTTAATATATTCACAATTCCACAATGTTCAAGCAGCCCTCTTCTGCTTGCTTTTTAAAGTGAGGATATTCACGTATTCCCTGTTTGCTGGCATGTTAATACTTGCTTGTTTGTTCTAGTTTGAGACACATTTTGGAAAAAAATTATTATCATCAGATTCTCTGCATGCATGCTAGTAGTGCAGGAAGAAACAAGTTGCAAATTAGCGAATGTTATAGTTTGCGATTATTTATTTGCAGATACAAAAAATTTGGATCTCTTTTGTTTCTGTTTTGATGATTTTCTGGCCATAAATGCTTGAAACTATGTAGACTCATATGTGTATACATCTTTGTGATTCCTTAATTTGGGTTCAGGACAAACTGAGGGAACGGGAGCGTGAGTTGCGGAAACGCAAAGAAAGAGAAGTGCAAGAGGTGGAAAGAGTACGACAAAAAATTAGAAGGAAAGAGGCAAGCTCCTCTTATCAAGCTTTGTTAGTAGAAAAAATCAGAGACCCTGAGGTATTTCTACTTCTTTTATGTAGCTAGCTAAAGATTTTCATTTGGGCTAAAGATGCAGGAGTTAGTTTGTAGTTTTTTTACTCTCTGGGGATTCTGATTGTCAATCTTTCTTTGCTACCTTCTTCAACATCTGAAGGCATCCTGGACGGAATCTAAGCCAAAACTTGAGAGGGATCCTCAAAAACGGGCCTCTAATCCAGACTTGGATCCTGCTGATAAAGAGAAGCTATTCCGAGACCACATAAAGACACTATATGAGGTACGCGTACTGCTCATCTCTAAACCTTACCAAATCAAACTCTCAGCATTTTCTGCAACAAGATCAGAACAAAACTTAGTTTTGAGGACCTTTTTTCGGCTTATCTCCTCTTTGGTCGATTTGAGGAAGGAAATATACTTTGTTGCCTATTTCATCTAATTATTTTTCTTATTGTGCTTCACAGCGATGTGTTCATGACTTCAAAGCTCTTCTAGTTGAAGCCTTGTCATCTGAAGCTGCTTCTCAACAAACAGAAGACGGAAAGACTGTGCTTGATTCTTGGTCAGCAGCTAAACAAGTACTGAAATCCGATATCAGGTACAGCAAGATGCCAAGGAGAGATAGGGAAGTCTTATGGCGCCGATATGCTGAGGATATCTCGAGGAAACAGAAACAAGAAAACTATCAGGAGGAGAAATAAAGAGATTATAAGACCTAAAAATCCTAAACCGATAGGCTCTACGCCATCCATGGCTTGATATGTTGTGAAAAAAGATCATCATGTCTTGTTGGTTTTTGTACTGTTTGATTTTTGTTCTGGCTAACTAAAAACCAATATAGTTTGTTTGATGTTTCTACGTTAATCTTTCTGAACAGTATTGTTTTAGTCAAAATATGTGATTTGGTAATATCTTTAGGTTTTTGTTTTTGCTTTGTCCCAAAAATTTAAGGTTGGGAGATGGATGAAGATTTAAAACGTTGTTTTAAGAAATGTCAAGATTTACAGGGGTTCACCGGATCAGATAGGGTTTATTAAAAAAATAAAGATTTAATTAACCGTTTTCTGAAAATCATTGGAAATATCAATCAAACATTTATACGTAGTTGGATCTATTTGGTAAAACTTTTATTTTCGTGCGAACAAAGATATAAGATTCTATGTAGTACATTTTGGTGAATTGTACAAAGTGGGGAATGTTAGGATATGACAATTTTCAGTCTACGTTTGTGGTTTAATCTTAATATCCATGAATAAATCTCATTTTCAAGAATATCAAATCTGAAGGGGGCATGTGACGTATATAGCCAAGAAAATATTTTCTCCCGTGATTTGGTTTTGAATTGTTTTGTATACAATGCTCAATGCATTCAAAGGCCAACTTGTTGATTTAATAGATTCTTTCGATTAGCATTTTTATTTTTTCTTTTCTACAGAACCAGAAAATCCAAATTTGAAGTGTTTCCTATAATATTCGAAATCTGTACTTGTTAATTATGTGAAGAACTTGCAGTGACTAAGGAAATATGCCTATAACAAAAACTGGTCTTTTTCTTCTACATCCACTGAGCAAATGCCTCGAATCAAAGAGCAACTATAGAAACATACATAACCTTGCTAATTAAAACAATTTGGACGTCTATAACCCATGATTACTCAAATTACAAAATATCCATTTTATTTGCATCCACAAGGACATAATTATATGCATTCTCAATACTACGTGAAATACATTTTGCATGAAAAAGCTTATAATATACCCGAGACGTGCATGTGTGTGATGATGATGATATGGTGACATACCAATCTACTATATCTAGAGAAATAAGAAAGAAAAAAATGAAGAGTGAATTAATTAACAAAGCCTTGGAAAACTAGAACTTGAATGAGTATGTCCATGCCTCACCGATCTTGACACTACTTCACTCTTCTTTTCCTTACAAACTTTTTCAGAACTATTCCATTGCTTCCTCTCCAAATTCATCTTTAGATCATCTTCAAACTTCTCCGACATCCCAAAACCTTTCAAATGCACCAGTATTGGTTTCTCTTCTAAGTACTTACGCGAATTCCAGATCTTGTTTACTTTGTTATTGTCCTCTCTTGAGTGTGGTAGAGTCTCGTTTGACAATTGTTGTGACTTGAGTGCTTGAACTGCAATATTTGGAGGGATCTTGGGATTTTTTGCAAGTTGTTTGCATGTGTCCAATGTCAGTTTCTTGTAGTTTAGACATCGACATAATTTTGTTCTATCCTCGGATGATAGTTTTGGATGAGACTGCAAAATCATAGTTAATATTAGTTCATGCCTTCAAAATATAACTAAACAAAACCATTATTTGTATAGTAAAAGAATACGGTATATTGATTTTCCTTTTCTTTGCAAGATCACATTTAGCTTAGATTGAACATATCTAGTTTTCACGTGAAACTAATCTTGTTCTTCCTATTTAGAAACTTAATAATAATAATAATTAATTAGTCAAACAAAAGACAGATTAGTCAGATTCTGATCACATGAATGTCCAATAATTAACCTGGACAATATATAACAGTAATTAGGTTGTTTAAATTTTAATTTCTTATATACACATAATTAAAATGTTAACTAATGTTTTAATCAAACAATATTCGAAAATTGCAAACACAAACGTACAAACCAATCAAAACGTTTGTGTGTCGTATTTGTGTTTTGCAATTTTCAAGTGAATGTTTGATAAAACGTTAAAACTGTTTTGCTTTTAAAATGCAGACAAAATACTTTAACTAGTAGAACACAGAAATCCAAGTGTAAATGATTTGCGTTTGAAAGTTTCTATATAATTCCACTTTTATGACAATTATTAACGATTTTGCCACCAAAGTTACCACTAGTACTTCCACGTGTATGAAAGTATGCACATATATATGCAATCTCAGATTTTCGAATCTTTAGATATCACAAAATAAAATAAAATAAAAAGACAAAAAGATAAGTTAAACTCTTTCATCAATTCTCTTGAGAAAGCCAAACTATATAGAAACTTGTATACTTGTTGTCATCTTCTATTTCACTTTACTTAGCTTGTTTGTTTTTGTCTCATTTTGTTCAATATCTTTTTTTCCATATATCTCATGAACGTGCAATTATTTCGAAAAATCAGAAATGTAATGAGTGAAAAAACTGACCTCAAGATAGATATCAATGGCTCTGTATAATCCATCAAACCAATCTCTAGCTGAATCTGGCAAACTCTCTGCAACTTCAAGAAACTTTGACACTTTAAGATTCTGGTCTGGAGATATCTCTCTCAGATACTTATCAATCAACTTCCCAATTCTTCTCATTCTCAAATTCTGTTCTTCTTCTGTGTTTCCAATTCTCACAAACACTTTGAGTAATCTTATCACCAAATCCACATCGTAAAACCCTTTTTCTCTTTTTCCTCCTGCTGGAATCAGAAGATCATCAAGTGTTGCTTGATCCAGCATTTCTCCTATAACTCTCTCTAAACTAATTCTTGATTCTTTACTGATGCTAAACCCTGATAAAACACGAAGAACCCAGAACATTTTTCTGCATGAAAATGCGGTTTTCGCAGCGAAAACAACTCCTTGAACCGCTGTATCAGCTAAACCTGCATACTCGAGCTTGTTGTTTGATTTGTTTTGGACCTTTGTCTTGAGGTAATGGAGGAGAAATCTTGTGAGGACCAAGCTGTCATTGTTCTTATCATGCGCACCAAGTGTTTCTACCAGCTTTTCAATGATTTTTGGCCCGAGAATTGACATATCATCGAACCACCACTCGTTACTTGTCCTACAAGAAAACGATCTCGAAGTAGACTGTTTGTCTGAATCAAACCTATTCCTTGCCGTCTCCGGCGACTGAGACGAGGCTGAGGCAGAGGAAGAAGGAGATGATGATGAAAAGACATGACTCATGTCTGAATTCTGAGCGATTTTGGCTAAAACCCCGAAAACAAGCTTATCAACAAGACCGTAAGAATCTGCGTGTAGGAACACTTGTTCGCAGCTCGTGAGACACAAAACGATGTCATTCCATGACCAGTAAAACATACCTTCTAAAAACTTCTCTGTTTGAAGCAAAAGATTCGAGGAACAGAGTTTCTCTGTCATCTCAAGGAAGACAGAAGAGCAATGCAAAATGGAGACATTTGAGACATCGATCGAGATTCCTCCACTATAACAGAATCTTGAAACCAAGTCGAACCCATCTGACCCACCTGGAAAATCTTCCACTTCGATAATGATTCTACTGTTCTTGTGATTCTTCTTCTTCTTATTGCTCTGTTTTATCATCTTCCTCAAGAACCCTGAGTACTCTGAAATCAAATCCTAACCCAAGAAACAGAGTTTAGTTCAGATAATGGAAACAGAGGAAATTAGGTTTGAATTAGAGTGGAGATTTGGTTTGGTTTATTACCTGATTGACGAAGAAAGTGAATTGGTTATTGAGATTGATTTGAAGATCACAGAGAAGAGACATTGTATCAACTTCTTTTGCATTTGATGAAGATGAAAACTTCTTGTGAGCTTTCTTGTTTTGCTTCCTTTTGGATTGGAGAGAGAGAGTGTGAGAGAGCAATAATAGTTATCACATGGAACCTGGCTATTTATATATCTTTTTTTCGGCGTCTTTATTTCAATATCTCTAATACACATTTTCTTTTATCTTCCTTTATAACTCTCATATAAATTTATGCAAAAAAATTTTATACACAAACATAGAAGTATATTGGTCCCGTGGACCAACATCTAACCCTAATAGAAGTAGAACATCTAAAAACGTGAAAATGTAATAATTTCTTTCTATTTCAATTGGTCTAGTACATTCATTATTGTTCAGTTTTTTTTTTTTTTTTTTTTTTTTTTTTTTTTGTTTGAAATGATAAGATTCATTGGTTATTCGAAATGTATTATATGCTATTAAGTTCGGACTTCAAACTAGCAATTAGCTTGACATCGTAGTTTACTATTTCATTATAAAATAAAACCTATTTTCCTAGTGTAATTAAAATAAAACTTAAGAAAAGTTATATAAACTGCATGGACCGCATATTTATTTTGAAATCCATATAATTTTGTGTGCAGAGCACATATCAATATGACGAGGTGCTGTCATAGTCTCGAGAACATAAAGGTTTGTTAGAGTTAAGCACTTTAGCTAATTAATTAGGGATTAAATCGAAAGTGTGAGTGTGATTTAAATATTAATATATGTGAAAAGTATATATTTTTCTGTACTAATCTATTAACAAAAACATATGTTTACCCTAGCTATAACAACAAATGCAAACTATAAATTTGGAAGCTTCATATAGACAAATATTGTTTGGAATCCAAAATTGTCACTGCAGTTTCGGTCCAGCTGCACCTATAATTAAACAATCATGGATATGAATTAAGTTATTTTAAACGTTTTATTTGACATTAATTAGTCCATTTAAAATAATAGAAAAATGGAAACCAGGTGCTTGCGGTTGCGAAACACTTGCAAAGACCAGGTGCAAGATTGATTCCTTTATATATGCTTCATTGATCCTGAAAAAAAAAAAAAAAACAGTTGTTGAAAATAAAAATACAATTTGTTGTCAGAAAAAGAACTATAGGTGGATAAAGAGCAGGAAAATATTTTGCAATTTGTTGAAAATAATTCGTAATTAATTATGATTGACATAAATTATTCATGTTATTTGGGGTAGATTATAAATATTTTGCATCAAAACAAATAAGACTTACATTTTAAGATTTGTTTATCTTGTTATAAATTAATCTACTTCTATTTGAATTTCCATAGTGAAGTGAACTATAGGTTACGACTGATATGAAAAATATATTTCCAGTAGCACAGA